ATGATTAGCAATTATTTATCAAATGGAATGACCAATGTTTTACTATTTCAAAAGCTCAAAATCTTATAATATTATATATTAAGAAGTGACAAAAGGTTTGATAACCCGAGTCAATTTAAATTTTAAATATATCATGTTAGTAAGTTACATTTATCTTTAAGAAAAATAATTTTTTTTTTACTATTAAGAAAAATAAATTTTAACTTATACATCAAAACAATTAAAATTATATAATCATTTTTTAAAGTAAATTTCAGATTACTTACATCTGTGTGCATGAATCATCGGTACGTGAGCTCGTATATAAGTGTATGTGGGTGTGTACGTGCATTATTGGTATATGTATTTTCTTTGGAGGGCTCATATATAATTAACAACAAATATGTTCATAAAAGTAAACCGACACAAAAAGTAATAACAACTTATCGAAAAATTAAAGGGGGGGGGGGGGAACCCAGTTAATCATTTTAAAATATATTTCATTTATTTTATTTATCATTTTAATTCAAAACTTTATTGTTATAATTAATTATTATCTTCTTAATAATGTTCATACTTTTACTTAATTAATTTTTAAATATTTTACACATATTATAAAAAATAAATAATGATGAAAAATATTATAATCAGAAAAGATATATACCATTTTGATAAATATATATAGCATAAAAAACAAAAATATAATATAAAATAATTCTATTATACATAAAGATTATTTATATATATTTTTCATTTATAAACAATAATTGTAAACCATAAAATTAAAACCGGAGGGAGATAGTACGTAAAGAAAGAGGCAGAATTATATACATGATCAACAATTAGTCAAATTAATAATATTTTTAAGGATTCATTTTCTTAAATAGCTATCAAAGTACTTATTTTTTTATCAGTAACTTTAAATAATGTGTTTCATTAATTAAATTTTTATGAAATAAATTACACTTATAAATATTCATGTCATTTTTAAATTAAAAATGATACTTTCCTTAATACTTCATTTTTAAATCTACAATATTCTATATTTAAGAAAGTATTTTAAATATACTTACAGCTTATAAAAATACTTCAAATATTTATAAACTTTTTAAAATTTATTTTATATGGCTTCTCAAGGTAAGTTTCAATAGGATTTGCATAAACTTCTTTTCGGGTCTCGCTTGCTTCCTTGGTTGGGCATTTTGGGATTATGGAGTGGTGTCTTTGTCTCACGTTGACTTGCTATGAGTAGTTTTCGTGTGTCTGCGTACTCTATTGTTTTCTTGAATTGGGGTACTGCTATTTCTTAAAGATTGATGTTTATCAATTAAAATTAAAATTTTAGTTTGATAAAAGAAATTGTAATTTTAAACGATAAATAATACTAAGAACACTTAATCAACATTACATAAGTTTAATCCAATTGAAAATGCTAGTTTATAGGGGGTCCTCTGAGATGGAATTGAAATGGTCCCCATCGTAGCCTTTATGGGTCCTATTGAGCATTGAAGGAACGCGTTTCAAATATGAACATGTTGATGGAGATGAATGAGAGTATTTTCACTGGTAGACGTGAGATGGAATCATTAAATAAAGCATGGTTGCTGTTGATTGTAGTCACTAGTCAGACACGGGCAGTTTTGGATTAGTGTGACAGAATTGAGAGTACTGTTCAACTTCAACTTCAATTATATTAGTGTGCGGGTTGACTTTTCTAGAACGGTTGAGGCCACCCCTATATAGCTAGTTACAACTTTTTAACCATTATTTGCACCATGTTATCCTCTTATATTTTTCAGTGTGAGCTTGTTTTCGCATTTAAATCATCATTAATGCTTAGACATACGTGCGATTCCATCAAAGTAATAAAAAAATTGTATAGTGTTCACTCGGTAAAACTGGTAGTCTTGTGAGGAAACCTTGTTGAATGTAAATGTTAATTTACACTAAGTTTGAGTAAATTTATAGTTAGATAAGTTATTGCACGAAAAAAAGTATAAAAAAATAAATAAAACTTGTTTTATTTAGAAAAGTTAAAATGTATATAAAGGTATAAAATATTTTTAACTTATAAAAAATGTTTTATTTAATTTTTATATTAATTTTTTTCCTACGAGAAGTTCTTTAAAAGTTTACCAGTTAAGGATTTGAATCATAAAAATATTAGAAAAATTTATATGATTTCGTTACAAGACAAAATTTGTACAAGTCTAGACTTTTAATGTATGAAATTTGTAAGATATCAAATTAAAAAATTGGCCTAATTCATTTTTAAAAATACTTTTATAAATAAAATTGATCAAATCTTATAAAAAATATTTTAATTATACTGAAGATATTTTAATAGAAGCTTATAAGTTGGATAATTTACATACAGTAGTTTTTCGAGTTATGTTATTTAAATGATTGCTCGTCTATTCTTGTTCCTTCTTTTTCACTTTTTTACCAATAAATTAAAGGAATCTACTACGTACTGAGTTATTTAGCTTCTGAGCAATGTCGGTGTACATTCCACGAGGAACAGCGGAGCTTATATATCCCATTCAATCAGGAAATTATCAGGTGAAATTGGGGGTAGAGATCGGAGATAGAAGACTTAAATCTTTGACGGTTTATATATTTAGTTTTTAAAATAATTTAACAGTGTAAATTTTAAAAAATATATAATATTATTAAAATGAAATATGCAGAATGATGCATAAAAAGAATATGCAAAGTGAAACGGAAAGATAGGAATGTGATAAAGAATGTGTCAGAGGAGGATACAATGCACTATATATATAAAATATATATATATAGAAGGTGACAAGGTGCAGACTGCAGAGATAATGCATATGCTGATAGCAGGGTGGGGGGTGACCCTTGGTTTCTGTAGTTTTATTCACTAATTAAAAATCCTATCTCATTGGGTGAATGGGACCCTGCTATGCTATTTCACATGGGTCGAATTCGCTAGTCACTTCCATATTTTTCTCACCTTGCTAATTTTTCATTTTTGATGTATATTTGATCATCAAATATAGAGTAATAAATAAAAATGGAACAGTTTTAGAGGCATGATCCTTGAGACACGAACAACCAAATTATTCGACCTTGCCGCGGGGGGCAACCTACTTTCTTCTTAAGACCTGTATGGGACTATTTAGTGTGTGGGAGAGTGGAAGAGAGACAAAGAAACAATATCAACTTATATATAAAAATATTTGTCTTAGGTCATTATTTTACATTTTCTTTAAATTCTAGCATAAAATGCTAAATTATCTTACATAAGGAGAGGGGGAAAAAGAGTAATTGATAATCCTATTTTTTTCATAACTCAAAACTCTACACCTTATCCTTATATCATGTTATGAATTTTTACACACAAAAATACATATAAGAGTAGGATGTAATACTTTAGAGTGCAATATTTTTTTAAATAATTGAAACTTTTTCCAATAAATATAAAAATGTATGCAAAAAAGTGATGAAAATTAATTAATCCTAACAAATAATGCATTCAAACTAACAGGTTATCATCACTTTGAGCGCCCACGCTAATGTCTAAACTTTGAAAAATGACGTTTGTACTATTATTAAGGAACATTTTTTTTAGCACACTTCTATATTTGTAGCGCATTGTTGTATATATATATATGTGTGTGTGTAAAATAAAATATAAGAAAGGAGTTAAGGTGAAAATCAAGCGAACGGAGGCTTTTGGCGTGGTGAAACCTGTTGAATGGATGACCAACGACGGCGGAGGACAAGGATGGCGCAGCGAGTCAGCGACAAAAGGTGGAGATGAAGGCTGCTAACGGGCTTATCGAGGTCTTCATTAGTAATGGTTACTAAGAATCTAGGAGGGTCTGCAATGGTTGCCTTATACTAAACCTATTAGACAAGCTACTATTAAAAGTTGAAAGTTTGAAAACCTAAAAATAATAAATAAATAAATTGAATTAAAATATTTGATAAACTAATTATTAAATTATTGGATAAAAATAAAAAGAAATTATAATAAGATAATGACGTTAAAGATAAAAAAAAAATAACGAGTTAAGGGTTTAGAAGGTTTAAAAGTTATATGAAGTAATCTTTAAAAAATGTTGTCAAATATTATAAATTGCTAAAATATGTTTTTTTATTATAAAATTATGTCTGGTTAATAAATGAGTTTTATATTAAATTAAGTATGTCTTTTTTTTTTTGTTTAGTTTTATTATCTGAAACAACTTTGACAAGAATAATACAATATATTTTTTGAGAGGAAAAGAAGGGCAGAATTGTTTGGATAACTTATTTACAAATATTAAAATTACATAAAATTTGATATACATAGTAAAAAAATAATATAAAATGATTCAGATATTTTACGAAAAAAGTGGTGTAAGCGTGTTAGTTTCAAAACAATATATATATATATATATATATATATATATATATATATATATATATATATATATATATATCCTTTAGCTTCGGTTTCAGGCTTCATGCTTGCGCCGTTGGAGTATTATTCAGCAAGGTCGAAATAACCCGCTGAATCACATGTGCATGTGATCCCTCAATGAGATACAGATAGCCATAAACCTGAAAACTGGCCCATGAGAGTTAGGCATTTAGAAGACAAAAAACCGGTGCGTCTACAGATAGGTCAAAGTTTTGTTTTATCATAGTGATCGTAAGAGTCTAGAATTAGATCTTTCATAAGATTTGCATGTTATTATTCAAACATTTTTCTGACATTCTTTCTGATTAGATACAAGTGAGAAAGATCATTGAGTGAATCGGTAAAGACGACTACATTTTTTTAAGAAAACTGAGATGGAGAACATATATTCATCTATTAGTTTATTAAATTACTTTTCCCTTTTAGGTTTGCAAAGAGAGAAAGAAACTCTCGAACCAATGACAATTACACTGACAAACACTGTCTTTATAGTTTATAATCCCATGCACGATCACCAAACTAAGCATGCAATGCATGAATTTTAATATTTTTTTCATTCATATATAAAGCGAATTGCCCTTCTCTCTTCTCAACTGAGCATTTGTTTAGAAGCAGAACCCAGCATTTGACAAGGTTGGCAACCCTTGACAAAAGCAGAATAATTAACATTATTGGTGTTGGACACCACGGGAAACCCAACAGCATTTAGGGGTCTATTTGCCCCTGCTTGTTCCAGCGTTTGCACTTGTTTCTTCAAGAACTTCACGTAGTGTATAGCTTCATCTAACATAGAAGCGGTGTCCATTTTGGTCCCACCAGGAACTAATCTCTGAAGGATCCTTATTCTCTCGCTTATTCTCTCTCTTCTGTGCCTCGCTGCCACACTCTGCGGATCCTTGGAAATCTTCACGTTCCTTCTCTTTGGTGGCTTGATAGATTCTGGGTCTATATGAATGGGTTGCATAACCGCTACACGGAAAATCATCTCCCTCATAGCCGCCACAGAATTCTTCTTCTCCGAAAATGAAACATTGGGTTGAAGAGGAGGTGTCATGGGTTGTTGGAGAGGGTTGTTAAGGAAATTAGGAGGGGAGGGCGGTGGATTAATCAAGGATGGTGGAGAAGGAGTTATTACATTTGGGTTAATGTTGGAGAACACGGGCAAAGTGGTGGTGGTGGTTGAGCTTGAGCTTCCACCTAAGAACTCGCTTTCTGGGTAGGTTAGAGTGTTATATAAAGGTTCACATAATTCAGGAAATTTTTCCATTTGCATCATCATTGCCATCATGTCCATGCTGCTGTCACTCGTACAAGTTTTCAGTATGTCCACATCCATGAATTTCAAACAGCGAGAGACAAGGAGGAATGGAAGAAAGTGAAGAAGAGAAAAGTGAGAGCAGAGAGTATGGGAGGGGTGAGAAAGGAGAAGCTGTGAAAGTAAGCCGGGTTTGCAGTAGTGAGATAAGGAGATAGAGATAGAGAGAGAATAAAATAGTAATAGAGAGTGCAGAAAGTGGAGGGAATAGGGATTATATTATCTCTGTAACCGACCAATGCAGCAGGTAATGGAAGGGCTTTTTATAGCAACTTGTGAGCAATATTTTTATTTATCTATATATGAGGAAATCTATGATGAACTTATGACATTTTTATTAATTGGAGACCGCCCATGATGTGTGGGGTTGCCTCCAGGAAGGGTTAATTTCATTGCCACCATTGATCTTTTTTTTGTGAAACGTCAAAGCTGGAGCATTTAAGATCAATGGTTGACAAAGAGAAGCAAAGGGACCACAAGAATAGCGGTAGGGTTGGGGTAGAAATTAAGATAATGGTTGAATGTTGGTGCATGAACCCGCTTCAATTCCTTCAAAGTTTTGTGCGATCCTTTTTACTCAAAGCTAGGTATTTGCTTGAATATTTTACCGGTTTCTTTGTAAGATAAAGCCACAAGTAGCTAAGCTAGTTAGCCCCACTGTCACATGACATTTGTCAGAACAATTCTGGGAGATAAAGTTCATTACTATAAGCTTGATTGCCTCATTCACCGGTGAAAGTTGGAGCTAAAAAGAGACGATGAAGGAGATAAGAGCGTGGAGTGGTCCCAACTATTTATGTTTAGCAGAAAGAAATAAAAAGGAAACACTGTCCAAAAAGAAAGAGGAAAATGAATGTGAATAAACGTTCCAAGTCCTACATGAATTGGAATAGATCCTGTCGAATCACTGCGCTTTGGCCAACCTCTCACTACTCTCTGGGAACGCTTTTCGAGGTGGATTGAGAATTGGCACCGAAGCGTAGTAACTGCGTACTTTCCTCATGTCCTACATTTACTCCCAGAACATAGCTGGTTCCATGTTGTTTATTTTTTCCCTTGTAACTATTTTAGCTGTCTTTTTCCAAATGAATAATCCTATTTCTATATATGTTTTTAACACGAGTAGTGCCATATTATCTAATATACCGTTTGAAATATAATTTCATAAGTTTTACTCAGTTTTAAATAAATTAACACTCTTCTTTTAACAATAATATTTGCATCAAGAAAAGCGACGAGTTAGTCTAAGTTATTTTAAAGGGTAAATCTTATTTTAGATGGATTGATGTAATTTTATTTATAAGAAATTTGACATAATTTTTAATATAATATTTTACTTTTATTCATTCATCTAAAATGTAGTTATTTATCCGGTAAGGATAACTTAAACAATTTTTTATTCTTTTTAAATAGTTAAATAATATAATAGTATTCAACTATACATAGCTTTTCAATTTTCTTGAACGTGTGCAAGTCAATAAATTTTGTTTTAGCAATCATAATTAACCTTTAGATAAAATAAATATTAATTGCTGAGTATTTAAGGAAACAAATTTATATTTACTATATGTAAACTTTAAAAACTAAAATAATTAAAAATACGTACGTTTTATATCCCTTAACGAATACCTCTTCACAAACTAAAATATGTCAGTTAAAATGCAGTATGCAACTTATCATGTTTCTCACTGAACCTGCAAATGTGATTTTGATTAGTTTTTCTTATAATTAAATGGTATAATTGTACTTTTAACATATATGCGGTATTGATCTTCTTAGTTTTAAGTGTTCATATTTAATTTTTTTAATTTTTTAAATATACTATTTTGGTTTTTTAATTTTAATTACTTGCATATAATCTTTTTAGTTTTTTAAATATGCAATTTTAGTTCCTTAATTTTTCAAAAATGTGATTTTGGTTTCTTTAGTTTTAATTGCTCATATTTAGTTCTTCTAATTTTCAAATATTTAAATTAAATATTTTATTAAGAATTTTATTATATTTTATTTTATATTTTTATTTAAATATTTTGTTTATATTTTTATTTATTAGTATAAATCAATACAATATTATTTTTAAATTAAAATTGCACGTTCTAAAAATTTGAGTGACTAAATATCAGTAATTAAAACTAGGAGACTAAAATTGCTCATTTAAAAAATTAAAGAAATCAAATATGATGGATTAAGATTATGAGGACGAAAATCGCAAGATATAGGGTAAAAAAGTGCTTACCCTAGTTAAATCCTATAGTAGAAATTTATGATATATAATGCAAACCCAACCACTGTTACTAAAGCTAGAACACTTCTGTCTTTCATTAGACTCGCTTTCTGATCCTACCCTGCAAATAAACTACAATCCTTGCTTCTCTGTTGCAGGGACCCATTTGAGAGTGAGAGCCTAAGAGATACTGCTATGTTTGAAGCCAGGCGAGAACCTAACGGGAAATTTATAAAAACAGGAGAAAAGTGCACGAAAATTGAGATTGAAGTGTTTATACAATATAAAAAGAAGACCAGATAAGAAGATAAGTTGCTTAATTATATTGCAGAAAAAGTGGTCCCTTTTCTGCTTCCTTTCTTTATAAATTCATCTTATTTGCATGTTATTTTTTAAATGATATTTTTACATTTTATTTGAAATAATAAAATAAAAGATGTTGCATATACATTGTTTCTTTTATATTTTAATAGTGATTTTTATTATACATATATTTGTATTTTTTAAACTTTTAAAATTAAGATATTTTGTAAATTTATTTTTTAAAACTACATGTGTTTTTTTATCAAAAATAATATTGTTTGAGTTAACTATAATTATCATAAAGAATTTAAATTTGATATTACATGTTAAGTTGGAACAATTTTTACTAATTAATTATTGCACTAGGTGATTATGAATTTATTTTTTCTCACATAATGTGATATTATTATTTTAGATAAAATATATATTTTTTAATTTTCACCATGTATAACTTCCTTGGTGAAAGTGTATAAATTTATTAATTTTTTTACATTTGATTACATATAAAAATATATTTTTTAGTATTATTTAATACAATGAATATTTATTATTAATATAATTTAAAAACATATTTAATTGTTTATTTTTATAAATTATGCAAAATATTTTTAATTTTTTTAAAAAAATTATTTTAATCTAATAATATTTTTGCAGTCAATAAAAAGCTCACCAATATAAAATTTTAAATGTATATATTACAAATTATAAATTCTTAAAATTTGTAGTAACAAAAAACATTCACATTAATTATCCATGTGTAATTTTTATATAAAAAAAAATCGTCTATAATTATTCATGATAAAATCAAAGTAAAATTAATATTTTTGTCTTCTAATTTAATAATCAAATTTAATTTTGTCCTTTAAATTTATTTTAATTTTATAAATTTTCAAAATGTTTAAAACAAGTCATTTTCCGTTATCAAAAGTTAGTTCTGGTAATAATTTTTTTGTCTCTTTATACTATGTATACTATTTTATATAATTCATCATCTTTTTTCCTTGTGTCTGTATATTGTTTATTATTATTTTTTCTCTCAAATCTCTTATTTTTCTTTCTTTTTCAGGTTCATGCAAGATGGAAAATATTTAAAAAATATATTTTAATTAATTATGTGTCATTAAAATTTAGGAAAAATGTGAGAATAAAAATTGAAAAAAGTTCATATTTTTTTATTTCAGGGTTATTTACTTGTGAGCGGAGGAAAAGTATGATTTTTGAAGGAATTAACAAATGGGGTGTTTTTAATTTAATTTTATTTATTTGTTTGAGATAAAAGGTATAATTTTGTTATTTAAAATTTGAATTTTAATGATTGGTGAAGAAGATATAGAAGTGAGAGATTTTTCATTTTATTTTTTTTTGCTTATGAGAGAAAGAAAAAGATAAAATAATTCAATTAATTGCACTGAAGATATTCTCTCAAAAAGGTTTTGGTTATAAAATATAATATTAAACATTAATTATGTGCTTATTGTACCAAATAGAAGGTTTGAGGGAAAAAATAATGAAAAGTGTATGGATAAAACAAAAATAACAATGAACAGTGTAAAATGGTACTATGTGACAAAAAGAAACAAAAAAATATCAATAAACTTTACATTTTTAACGGAAAAATTTATTTAAAATTTTCTAAAATTTAAAAAATAAGAATGAATTAAAATAAAGTTAGAAAATAAAATCGAATTTAACTCCTAAGTTGAAAGATAAAAATTAATTTTACTTAAATTAAAATGAATATTTTTATGTTTATTTTAAAGTATTTGTATTTAAATTATTATTAATAAATTATTAAATCAACAATTTTTTAAAAATTTCACAACATAGTAAAATTGTAAATGAATTATTAAAATATAATTTTAAATTAAATATTAAAAGTTTAGTTAGAATTTCATGTGTTGTTATATCATTTACCTCTTTGTTGAGTTTCTCTCACAATTTATAGTCGAATTTTATATAGCCATAGCTTCACGTTTTGAACGTGACGAGCTAAAAAGCTTGTACTTAATTTTTACTGATTATACTATTTTAGAAAATTTGTCATTTCATTCCATTCCATTGTTTCTGTTTCTTTATTTTCTTTTTTTATATTAGTATAAAGCTTTTTTAAACAAGTAAATTTGTTAATGAAAATATTAAAAATTTAATTATTAACTATAAATATTTTATTTATTAAATTAAAAAAAGAATTATACAATTGAGAGAATATGTTATTCCAAAATTTAATATATTTAAGATCAAATTTAAATTAATATTTATTATGATTATAATAATGTAAAAGTCAGTTATCCAAAAAATATATATTCAGTTTAATATACTATATCAGTATCTAAAAATTAAAGAAAATTTAAATTAAGTTATAATGTGTGAAAGAAATAAAATTATAAATAAAATTTGATATTGTATAAAAAGTCACGTAACTTAATAACTAAGAAGATAATTTTGAGAAAGCATATTCTTCTTTAATAATGAAAATGTGTGATTATTAATGAATACTTATAAGATGTTTCGAGAATTAAATCAACGCTTTATATTGTAGACGGCTATGTTTAATATATTATATCTCATGTTACATTATTTCGCTTAATTTCATTCTAACTTCTTATTTAATTAGTTAAACAAATTATACTTAAAACAAATGTTAAACAGATTAGGACTTACGCGTCTCGTTCGGTTTAATAATCAACAATTTTAAACGCATCAGTTTCGTAGCTTCAAGTCTTAATCAACACTGTTGGCTAATATATGTTGAGCTACTGCATCAAAATGTTTAAATGAATAATTTCTGTAAAATTTCACAATTATCTTACACAACTGAATAAAGACAAATAGTATTAATATAGACTTGGAAATCTTCGTTGACCCTGACACGACTGGGTGGTGCCGAATGCTTCCTACTTAATTCACGTGTTGAAACATGAATGAACATGGGTTAAAAGCATTAAAATTGCATTTTATTAACGTTACAATGAAAGATAACAATGTATAAAAGATAAACATATGTGAAGATAGAAAAAGTGTCTACATTTGATTTTCATTTAATAGTTTAATATTCAAAGTTTGTTTAATAAAAAATATAACTTGCTATGGACCCTGAAAGACCACATTTGCAGTTTATGGTCTTTTACAAATTCATTAGCGGACACAATTTTGTTCCAATCTTTTACTAGATTGTAAATGCTAGTTGTCTGCATCTTCCATTTCTTCAATAACAAAGTAAATTCTCTAAGACATGGGTCCAAGACAATCACTTCCACACCATGACATCTTCCGCTAGTGCCTTCTTTTTCATCCAATTTTGACTTCTCATCTTCTGTAAGAAAATCACTCATAATTTCTTTTAGCGGCATTGACAAACGGTTGTTATTTGTCCTCAAATCTGAGAGGAAGAGTCTCTTGTGCATGATAAATTTAATATCATGTCCATTCAATTGAGTAATTCGACTTTTGAATTTTGCAGGCAAATCCGGTGATGCTTTGTTCTTTGACGTGATTATAACTTTTGGTTTTTTAGTAACTCTTTCGTCTTCAAGCATTTCTTCAACTTGTCTGTGTCGTTTTGTGATTGTCCTCTTAGAATTCATTGTCCTTGATCTTGATTTAATCCTTGGGTGCAGTTTGTGGAACTCCATAACTTGAGCCATCTCTTCTTTGCTATAAAATTTTGGTGCAAGTTTTGATATGATAGCATCTAAATAACAAGGCTTAAAAGGTTTGCAAGACATCTTTTGGCGTGTCTCCGAATCTACAATATTTTCCATCAATTCTTTAAGAACTTTGATGTCCCTCATGATGGTAAAAGAAATAGTGTAAGAGCTGAAAAATAAAAGGCTGTGGTAAATAAGAAGAGAGTATAAAGATATGTGTTTCTAATCAAAAAAGATTAGTGAGTTAAAAGCAACTCAATAAGAATCCATGCTCTATCCTGAAAACATATTCATCAAGAAAAAATAAACACAGAATAAAAAGAAAAGAAAGAAAAACAAGTTACTTAATTAATATAAACTTAAAGACACGATTAGACAATAGATATATTGGAAGCAAGTTAATTTAATTATTAAAAAAATTGTTTCAGGATATCAATCATAGATTTGAGAATAATTTAGTTAGTGTCAATTTTAAAATATCCTAGGCTCTGGATCCTTAATTACATGCAATCAAGTGTGATATCTTCTGTGAATAAAAAGGAAAGAAAAGTGACACATTTATTTGTAATGCGTAGGGTTTGAGTAAGTCTCGTGTTGATATGCGTATTATAATTTATTAAATTTATAGTACCCATGCATGGCTTACTACTGGGCTTTATGAATGGGTTTGAAAATTTGAGAGTCTTTAAAATCAATTATGGGCCTCTATTTGGAAGTCTCTATCCATGCTCCATTCAAACAGGAAACAAAATTCATGATCCATTATACTCATCTTCTATAACAAATAAAACAGTTCTTTATTTTGGGATAAGCAAAATCTTGAAGTTGATGATTGAAAGTTAACAACTATATTTGCTGGTAAATCTGAGAACTCGAACCGAATTGATGGCTCGAATTGATTTTGATCGTGACTCAGCCCACCACAGAAGAGAAGGGTTATCAGGCCAAAGAATATAAGTAAACTTTCGCCAATGTAATGTAGCCTAAAATTCATTTAAAATCAGAGAAATTATAATTAGATAATAAATATGCATTTTAAATATAAATTAATGAAAAATAAGGAAATAAGAGAGGGGGGGGGGGTAACTTAGTGATAAAATAAGTAATGTGATTGGAAAAAATTTTAAAATATTATAACTCAGTGAGTTATAATTTCCTGCTAAGATTGAATCATACGTTCTGAATACTTAAAAACGACAAGCATTGCTACCTGGATTCTTGAAGAGAGTCTTGAATGTTGGGATAGTGCCTCCAAGATGGGCTAGAATTTTCAAGAACTAGAAGTGAAAGGTGTACCAGTGAAATACTCAAATGTTAAAAATAGTAAGAGTACTCGCAAGTATTTGAGTAAAGAATATGAGAATTCGTTGTTGTACCTGAGATTACTCCTTTTACCTTTTATATAGCATGTGTTTCTCGTTATCAAGAGAAATTAAAATTATATAATTTTATAGAATTATCTCCTCTAAGTGATAAGATGCGAGTTAATTATTATTATCCCTTAATTAACAGTGTTATCTCCTTTTTTTAAGGAAATTAGTAGTGTTATCTATTGGAGAAGATCTTTGTCAAATCTCTCCAATAGATTGAAATATCTGCATATTCTATATTTTATTGCTGGAGTTCAACTTCACACTTTACACAAGAGGAGTTTATAGTTTGATTTGAATTGATTTTAAGGTAAGAACAAAATATTTGAATTGATCGTAAAATCGGTTTGTAATTTAGTTTGAACTAGATTAAGAAAAATATAAATATTAAACTCGTTGAAATTGATTTATTGTTTTTAGTTTTGAATTAGATAGATTCTTTGGGAAATTTCTTTTTTAAGGGAATAATATTTAACATTTTCAATAAATAATTTTTTTATTAATTAGAATATGAATAGAATTTTAAAGTAGTATGTAAATATTTCAGTGACTAATATTTTCAATTAAAAGATAACATTTATTATATAAAAATTAAATACATAATAAACATTTAAAATTTATTAAAAGTGTTAAATATCGTTATGAATTACAATTTAATCTCAACTTGCTATCCTATGAGTCTTGTGTTTATGCACCTTACATTTCATAAGTGCTTCTCACAAAGGATTATTGGTATGAGCAATGTCAACAATTGTGAAGATAATAGAATTCCAGGTATTTACAGGATAATAACATTGAAACACTCTCGAAATAATAAGAGCATTAAAGTGATTGATAATCATGCTATACTGGCATAATAATCAATTTCACTCTATCTTAATTGCATTAAAATACTATATAACCAACAATATATTTTATCTTGAAATAAGTGATTTGTTTCTTGTATTTATGCTACTGATACAAATATTTAACTTGAATGTTAGAATATTTTTACAAGTATATCTATCCCCTTGTTCATCATCACCTACGTTTAACATTCTCTCTACTATCTCAACTCATTACTATTAGATTCACCGAATTTCTATTAGATCAAGATTATAAACTGCAAGTTAAAATAATGTATACGTATTTTAAAAATATAATTTAAATAAAATTGATGATTTATAAATATTTATTGTGAAAAAAGAGTTGTGTTAATATGGCGATTTATGGTGTTGGTAGATTGTGTGCATAATTTTAGGAAGTGAAGGTGGGGAAGTTGGGGTGTGTTAGTGTGTTTAAAATCCTAGTGACCTATCCGCCACACGACAGATATTCTACAATGCTATTCATTAAACCCTCATCAATACGCCGCTCTCTTCACTTCCGTCGATCCCATCCAACACATTAAATTTAAACAAGACGACGCCGTAGAGAACATGATCAAGAATGGAGCGAAACACAGAGAAAGGGTGTGGGGGTGCACGATAATAGAGGTACGGGCACGCGTTGATTGAGGGCATTGATGAGACACAGCTGTAAAGCAATAAGCTTTGGCACTAACACCATGTGATTCTCTGTCCCCTGTCCCTCACACCCAAAACAACCAACATCAAATAAAACTCTTCATTCTTCACTCTTCACTCTTCACTCTTCATCCCCCAAACCCAAATCTGTCTCACTTTCTCTCATGGCTTCTCTTCCTCTTCTCAACCTCACACTCGTTCTCTTACTATGCATTGCCCTAAGCCCCAACCTTGGTGTTTATGGGCAGATCGAGGAGGCAAGCTTGAAGCTGATGTCGGATGCTTTAGAGTGGCCAACGACAATGTCGTTTTACGAGGACGTAGATGAAGAGAGGGAGGAAGAGATGGAGAGTGGTTATAGTCGTAGATCTTTGTTCTGGCGGAGAATGAAGTATTACATATCGTACGGTGCTCTTTCTGCGAACAGGATCCCGTGTCCACCTCGTTCTGGAAGATCTTACTACACTCACAACTGCTTCCAAGCCAGAGGCCCCGTTCACCCTTACTCCAGAGGATGCTCCGTCATCACGCGCTGCAGGAGATGAGATCTTCTCGCGTTTCATGTCACCAATAAAAATCACTCTTTAAGCTCTTGTTTCTTCAGTGCTAGCTAGCTTTCTGTTTTTGATTTGGGGTTAATTATGGCTGAGATTTTTGTATGGATTCGTCGCTGGCATCCACTCGTTGCGCTCTCCAAATGGATCTGTTTGTTACTTCATTTTAATTCGTTTGTATAAACTCTAAAATGTAATGATAATATTGCATTGTAGCTCTATACCTACGTCCATTATGCCCAAATTGATGTGTTTGATTTGTTTTTCTTTATATTGTCATGGGTTGACCCAGTCTCTCGAATTGCTTTTACCTTTTTTTTTTTTTTTAAAAAAAAAAAAGCTTCTTTTAATTGAACTTTGATATATATTTTTTAATAACCCTTATTTTATTCTTTTTGAATTTTTTACAACATTGAAAATTATAGAAATAATTAATAAATAATATTTTTTATTATTTTTTGTTTTTTATTAATAAAACTAATATTGTTGGTTTATTAGGTATTTGCAGAAGAGTATCTACTTGTGATAGCAACTATGTTATGTTAAATGAATTTTTATATCTGTAGTCTAAAAACTAGATGCTCAAGTTCGAGTCGTGTTAAACACTGGAAGGGAATTATAAAAAAAAAAAGATGTTCCTTTCTATTTTTCATTTATATTTGGCACGTCAAAAACAACAATTGCTTTATGTTTTTTTTTTTAATCTCTTTTATAACATGGATTCACGCGAAATTGGAGAAATACTTTAGACACATCATTGAAATCAAGAGTCTAATAAAGAGCATTATTCAATTTATCCAATAGTATTCTTCTCTAGATTTCTATAATTGTGGTTACGGGAACAAGCATTTTAAATAGCTTCAACGAACAATTTTGTCAACATTTATCATTTCACCGAAGTTGTTTATGTCCCATTAGTCCTCATAAATGCCATGTCTTTCCCTGCCTCCAACCTTTTGAATCCAGGAGAATCTTAAAAAATTATTATTAAAAATGATAATAGCATAACGTTTGTATAAATTAAATTGATTAAGAAAGCTAGTTCAGCACTAAAATTCTAAAGAAAAAAGCTTAGTTTTATAGATGTTTTTTAATTAAAATATGAGTTTTATTTTGAAAATTTTCAATAATGTTAAGTATAGATATTTAATAAAATAATTTTTTAGTTTAATTAATAAACATTATTAATAGTATCCAAGTTTTGTCTAATCCTAAACTCGTGGCTGTTTGATTTATGAATGGCAGAATAGCATCGAGTTTATAAACTCAACTGTACAGCGCGGAGAGGAAAGACTGGAATTTAAAAGCAGAGTTGCCTATAAACAAAGTAGGTTTCAGTTTAAAATAATGTAGTAAAATATGAATTACTCTGGTAATTAAACCTTTTTATTTTAGTAAATAAATTGGAGTATTTTTCATGTCATTGTTTTATTTATTGAATGTCTAAATTTGGATTCACTTGTTTTTGTCCTACTTAGGTCAGATTGTAATTTTGTGTTAGACTTGATTCCTTCTTACGTAAACTATTCGTCATTAGACCTATATGTGTCTATAGAGAGACAAAATTATTTTATAGTTTAAGACTATCCTGTTGGTTTTGGCCAATTAAAAAATAACATTTGATAACAATTTTAAACTAAAAAAAAAGTTAATAAAAATAAGTTATGTATCATTTTTTAATTGCCTGAAACTTTAGATGTGTGATGGTCCAAGTCATATATTTTTTTTTCATGTAAAGAGAGAGAGAGAGAGAGAGAGAGAGAGTTCAGATAATCAAAGAAAAGATCTTTTCAACAGTGGTAATAACAAGTTGATTGCTCAATAATTTTAAAACATAAAAACACAGAAAATATATAACTGTACGCTTGTAATTTATTGTCATATAATATGACTTTTAACATTTATATTATAATCATTATCATCATCAAAATTACATTCACCAATCTTAGATCCGCCACTGACTATTTGAAGTTGGACCAGCACGTGACTGATGGAATCACGTGCATGGCCTTTGAACAAACTCAGCTATTGACAAATTTTAAAATTTAGACATCTAAATTAGCAAGTCCTTCCCGGCAGCCTACTAACTTTTCGTATCATTAACTATTCATTAGTTTGACTCAATGAAAGAAACGTTTAGGATGAAGAGTTTCGAATGAAAAGACAAAAGGGGATAAAATTATTTATTTAAAAAATATGTATTGTATATTTAAGATAAATTAATTAATTAAACTAAGAAATTATATAATACAATTCAATTATCTCTTACTGGTTTTTCAGTCGAATACATTTTTCGAATTTTATTAGTTTTTTGTTTTTTTGGTCAACGATGAAGCGTCAATGCATATGAAATAGGCAGAAAGCACGAAACACAGCCCAAGTGGGGTCCACCAAGTTGAAATGTTGATGAAATACTACAGGTCTTCAGCCGAAAGCAAATTGAATGAATATTGCTTTATTATCCTAAATATGCAAATGTTAATTAAATATATCTTTGATAAAATGTTTGATGAATAATTTATAAAATGTATTACTGGAACAGTGTCCAAATTGACTAGGTTTATTTTGCCGCGTAATAACCTAATGATGACACGAGGGTGACAAATCACAGGTCAGAATCGAAATTTAAGGTTGCTAACTTGGTCCATGAATGCCGTGAGTCTATGATCCGGCGAGCGTGGAGCATACAAACAATTTGGGAATTGACTGGTAATTCTTTGCTGCTTGATGTTGCATTTCTCCACCGTGCAAACGACAGATCAAACAATGTCTATCCATGGCATGAAAGCAGGGGTCTAACTAAAATGGACAAAACTTTCCACTTTTTTTTCTTAAATAAATTTTAATTCTTTTAAACATTTCGAAAATTGATTTTTAATTTTGTTAATTCCCGCATCTTATAAAATGAGTTTTATTAATTGGTAAATTAATTATTAATGAAACAATTCAATACTATAGTGTGTCATTTGCTTAAATACATGTTGTCAAGTGACTTTTATTACCAACTTTTTTCCTTTTCTTTTTCTTTGATTCTTTGAATGCTCCCTTCATCTTTTTCATCCTAAGTTATAGTAATATGAAGTCTATTACTGTCATTGAAAAGTTGACTAATAGACGAGGTCCTGGTCGATCGCACACCGTCGGCTACAAATTCAATATTTAGGTTGCAGTGGTTCTCTGCATCTGACCTCACGTGCCATTCAGTCGTCCTTTCTTATAATAATCAAACTTGAAGTGTGAACATTGAACCATGACCTTTCTCCCAACACTAACCAAAATTTTTCCTACATCCCTCGTGCATTCAAATTTGGACTTGAACTTGAGTCGTCTCGCAAAATAATCATGTCTCCCGGAATATACCCACTCTTCAATTAATAATGAGCTTTGACCAGATACTTTAAACTAGTATGATTTGTTCCACTCTTGTTGTAATAATGAATATCTAATTAGTTATTTGTTGAACTTCATTGCCATGTTAATTGTGTGTGTGTGTCATCGATGAAAAATTGCAAAATTTGCGCAAGTGTGTTATCATTACTGATCGTTCTAGACACGTCCAACAGGGCAAACTCTTTTATGATTATTGATCGGTGGTGTTCTCTTCTTTGACCACCTTGTGCGGCAGAATGTAGGAGTGGTACCTTAAAAAAAAAACTCCTCTTTTTGGAAGGATTACTTAGTAATTAATTAAGATGGGTTGAGCATTTTAGGTTAAGATGCCATTAAGTTACTGTATGGGTCCATTATTATACTATATAATTTTAACTTGAAAGATGATCCTCTAGCTCTAGTATTCTAATAAAATTAAAAGGTGCCCCACTTAACATATTTTATATCTAAAAGGTTGTTGGAATCAAGAATAAAACATTAAATAATTAATAAGATAGAATCTGGTATAAAAAATATTTTAAAATTCTCGATAAATACATACAAAAACAAAGCATATTTCACGATAAATAAAAATATAAAAAAAATTATTTGTTTATGCAAAGTTTGAGAGAGTATTAATTTATAAATAACAGTTAAAATTTCATTCCTATGAGATATGTGAAAATAAAATATTTTGAAAATTGGTTCTAACATTATAAAATTACTCTCATTTATTTTTATTACCAATTTTATTGATCTTATCAACTTAAAATCACATATTAAAGTAGACTAGTTGATTCATGTGTTCAGTAATTAATAGTTCATTTATTTTATATTTTTAATTTAAGTAAGGATATTTTTAAAATAATTGTAGTTTTAAAAATATTTTATTTGAAATTGACATGAAATAAAATTTCGATCGATTAAACATATTGTTCTTATGCCAAATATATATTTTAAATTATTCTTAAGAATCTTATTTTTAAAAAATTTGAAAATGAAAACTTTTTTTCACCTTGACGAAATATTTCAATCTTTATTGTGTTGACAAATACTGAAAGTACATTTAAATGTTTAGAATTTTTCATTAATTTCAAGCTTATTTGTTATAGTTTTTTTAATCCATAAATATAGATTCTTAACCTGATTGGAAAGACAACTGAAACCGAATTGACCGCACCCGACCCACATAAATGTGTTTCGTTGCAGATTGCGGCATGGAAAAAGCTGGCTACTTCCTTCACTTTGCTTTTAGATTTTCAATGGTTCCAAGACTTCGATTATTGTACATACTTTTATAAATTTATTTAATTATGCAGATTATTAGGAGACATTAATTCTTAATATCAAATATCTTTTTTTCGACTAAAATAATAAATTGCAAAGTATAATTATGAGTCAAATAGATATTTAAATCAAATCTTAATAAATAAAAAGAGGTTAAATAAACTACTTCACTAGCGCTTGTTCAAAACTCGATTTTTACTAGTTTTGTGCTTCCATGATCCTTCAGTTATCTGTATGGATAACTTGACTAATTTGCAATCCAATCAATTGAGTGAGATGATTGAATCCAAAATTTCGAACCGTGGTTCTTTAAGCTTGCTAGTTGAGAGCATTGCTATTCAATAATTTTATAGCTCCATCTCTATTTAGGATCTGAAATATCACTTTTTCTTAACTATAATGAGTAACAGATCCAAGGAAGAAGATATGGGAATGGATATTAAATTTGCTACACTTTAATCTTTTAATATAATTAATTTATCAACCATGGTAAATAACTATGAACAGGTCTTTCAATGATATTTTATTTTTCTATAACATTTAATGTCATCAACAACTATTTTTGAACATCCTGTTATTGGTTTTAGTATTTTTAAAAGTATAATGAAATTTAAAATGGTGCTGTTATAAATTTGAAATTTTATCTAAAGTTTTTTGTTTCATAATTTAAGTTCTCAAAGTCGATAATAGATGTTTAAACAATTTATTAATCATGTCAAGAACCACCATAGGAGAAAAAAATTCTAAAAACTTAATTACATTAAAATAGTAAAGAGAATAAAATTTAACATATATTTAAAAACTCGAATGTAGCATACTTTTACCTTTAAAGAAAGGAGAGTGTATATTTTTAAATAAAAATGAGAAAATAGTTTAATTATTGTTAAGAAAAAAATATAAATTATTCTATTAATTTGTACAAAAGTACCCGCAAAGCAGTACATAGTTATATCAAGTTTAAATAAATTTTTAATATTTATAAATATTATTATTTTAAATTATTTATAATTAAAAAATTTATTAATATTTAATTTAATATTTACAAAGATAAAAAAATTTATCCCTATTGTCCAAAAAATTTATTAGGGCTTAATCTATGATAGAGATTAATTTATTTTATTTTTTAAATGTTGAGGACTGAATTTTATTTTTATTGTTGTTAAGAATTAATTTAAAATATATAAGTGTACCAAATCAACTTATTTGAACCATTATTATACGGGACTTTTAGGCCATTCAATTTATAAAATATATTTTTAAAATATTTTTTCTACATTTTAAGTATGATTTCCTACAACATAAAAACAAAATAAAATATCTCCTGTTAGTCCACCGTGGCACTGATAATTTTAAGTAAACATTGTTAATACTGTCTGTTACGTTAATCACTCTTTTTTTCTCTTAAGCATCGGATAATCACTTATAGTATCACTTAATCATAATCTTTAATTTTATCATGAAATATATGATCAAGTATTTTATTAATTTTGAAAAAAAATTCTAATAAAAAAAATCCAACTGCACTGTATACATCAAAATTTGTTATATTGTCACCTATTGACTACTCCACCGCAATTTTTTAAGCAATAATGTAAATTAAAAAAAATCGTGTTTAATATACAGCTATTGACTCAAGTATCCAATATATATAAAAGATCTCAATAGTAATATTGAAATTTGAAAGAAAATTTCAAAAATTTGTTGAGCTGGTTGAATTTAGTTTTTCCATCGCAGGTATAACTTAAAATCATTATCACATGTTAAATTAGAACAAATTTATGAGTTGATTCACGTGTTTAGTGTGCAGTCAACTTATTTATTTTTTTAAAAAAATTATATAAAAGATAAGTTAAATATTTTAAAATTAAAGAAATGTTATTTCTAAAAAAGCATTTTTAAATTTTATACGAGATTATGTAAGATTTTTACAATTCCATTAATAACGATTTCATAGATTGGGTGAAGATTACTGACCTTGTGAAAAAGAAAATTTTAAACAGTTGTGATTATCTCTTGGATAAATCTTTAGTAACTATTTACCTTTCAAAAACAAGAAGACTTCAACGAATGGGGTTTGAATCATCCATAGATGATTATATGATATTCAAAGAGGAATACCTTAGGGATATTTTCAGGGTTGATCAAACCAACAAACTACGAATAGCGCAGTCAATTGATAAGTTATTTAATATCATATACGTGTTATATTACCTTTATTAATATCAAATATATCCTTTAATTTATAAAAAAAAATTGTAGATATTTATTTCGCAAATCTTGGCATTTGGCAATTCAGATAAAACCCCGATAAAAAGATTTGCATGAGAACTTTGGCATAAAGTGAGATCTTACGTGCGCAAAAATCTATCAATCAGAAAACACGCCTACAGGGAAAATAACCTTAATTATCACGTGCTTCAAAAAATCAAATCTTATTTTACCACTGATTTTATTCTATTTTCCCGCACGCGTACATAGTTATATTGAATTATCAACAACACTTACCTAATTCAAATGGGACGCGATTCTTCAGTAGTTTACTTATCTCCACAAATCCTTATTTCTTTTCCAAACGAGAGAAACGCCTAAACACAATTTCATTAACGTGGAGATACAATCACTTACAATGATCCTTGTTCAGTTCCAGTAGGGTTATTCGTGTGAAAGATACGTTTAAAAGCGCAGACATGAATTGGGTTCGCGGAGAGTTGCTGGGGAGTGGAAGCTTTGCCACCGTAAACTTAGTGATACCCACAAAAGGATCCACGATATTTGATTCTTCCACCGCCGTCAAATCCTCCGACGTTCATACCTCGTATATGCTAAAGAACGAGAAACAAGTACTCGATCGCCTAGGATTTTGTCCCCACATCATCAACTGTTTTGGTCACGACCAAACCATCGAAAACGGCAAAGAGTACTACAATATTTTTCTCGAATACGCCGCAGGTGGTTCTCTCGCTGATCAGCTCAAGAAACACGGTGGACACATCCCGGAACCTCTCGTTCGGCGATACACGAGGTCCGTCGTCGAAGGTCTCAAGCATGTTCACTCCAAGGGTTTCGTCCACTGCGATGTGAAGCTTCAAAATGTTCTCGTTTTGGACAATGGCGATGTTAAGATCGCGGACTTTGGGCTGGCGAAGGAGACAGGGGAGAAACAGGGGAAGTGGGAGTGCAGGGGAACGCCATTGTTCATGTCGCCAGAATCAGTGAACGACAACGAGTACGAGTCGTCGGCGGATATATGGGCCCTTGGTTGCGCCGTGGTGGAGATGGTAACCGGAAAACCCGCGTGGAAAGTGGGTAACGGGTCGAATATACTGTCGTTGTTGATCCGAATTGGAATGTGTGATGAATTCCCAAATATTCCCGAGGAACTCTCACAAGAAGGGAAAGATTTTCTTGGGAAGTGTTTCGTTAAAGATCCTAAGAAGAGGTGGAGCGCTGAAATGCTTCTGAATCACCCTTTCATCGCCGATCACACTGTTCCATTGGACCAAGTCAATGAGTCGTTGCCTTCGCCGTCTCCGAGAACCCACTTTGATTTCCCGCACTGGGCTTCCGCTGTTACAGTTTCGCCGGATTCCGGCGAGAGGCATGCATGGGACTCGCCGGAAGACCGGCTCCGGCGGCTGGTAACGGATAAGAGGGCGATGGACTGGTCACAATCGGATAGCTGGATCAATGTGAGGACAAGAAGAAATTTTGCAGCAGAGTAAGGGCAACGGAATATTAAGGGTGTTCAACGTTCAATCACATCGTACAGTTCTCATTCCATCACGTTTGTTGATTGTTCTTTTAAGTTGTGAAGTAGTATTTAGGAACAGGATTATTACTTGTACAGAGATTCATTCTGTTAATATCATTTTTTTTTTTATCATTTTGCATTCTATATATAAGTTGTTATTTCTTTTTTATTGGAGTAATTGTTCTTATTCTGCCATATTTGTTGAGAGAATGGCTATGCATCTATCTATTTTAATGTGTGTGTTTGAACATGGTTTTCAACTGTGATTTTACAAAATTAATTTTACTTAAAATGTAAGATTAAAATATCGCAATTAATGTTTATAAACCTTTTTATTAAAATTAGTTTTTTTTAAATTAATCTAACATAAAAACTATATTTTATTACGTCAATTTAAACATAAAATTGAAGATGAAATTATTTAAATTAAAAAAAATCAACCATCAAAATTTAACGTAAAAAATTATGTTACAAAAAAAAACTTTGATTTTTATAATATTTTGTTGTAAATGCATACATGCACTTAATAATTTGATCGTTCTAATTTCCAACTTCATTGGTATGAATTATGTCAAATTGAAAGCTCATGGCTTGTTGAAACAGTGTTGGGGAGAGTGAAAAGTATTATTGAATATTCATATGGATAATCTCGGACTCTAGCAGCCTTTTCATTACTTGACAGCAGTTAGTTTAATGCTATTTGACTGGTATAATTTAATTCATTAATTTGGTTACTTTATGCTATCAGCTGTAGACCTAGATTGTTGATTCTAACCCTATGACTACAAGAAAGAATTTCCTGTAAAAAAAAAAATAGTATGTGTCTTTTGACAAATATACTGCTTCCAAACAAATATTCAATACTCATACTGTGCGTTATAGATAATCGAAGACTATATGTATCAAAATTATATAATTTATATATATATATAAAAAGATATGTACACGTTGCGTGAGTGTTGGGACTATTTAATCTGGAACCATAAAATAATTTATAGTACTTAAACAAAGTTTTACTTTGCTTTGCCCATTCATGAGTTCATTTATTTATTTTGTTTAGGTGCTGCAGGTTGGAGTTGTTTCAGATTAGAAAATATTTTTTTATTGGTTAATTAAACTAATAATAATATTTAAATAAAAAGTGACAATAAACATCTTGAAATAACAATAAGCACTCTTCATTGGATGAGCTTTAATTTGAAATTCATGAACAATCATTCTAAACCATAGATCATGCATCGGAAAGCATAGTTCATTGATTGAACGGTTCACTAAACAGACACTAAAATATAAATGCTATTGTCCTACTCAGTGTAGTATACTTCTGAAGTATCAAACTTTTTGTCCATTACAAATCAAGTCAATGTCGACGGGAATGTTATAGTTTTTTTTATCTTAAAAAAATTGAGCTGTTATTTGAAAGCTAAAGATATAGTGTGTTTTATTATGCCCGTGTGTGTGTTAGAGGAGGAAGGGAGATAATAGTTTTTGTTTTGGTGAGCAGAAACGCCTTTGGTTAAATTCCTTGGTGTATTTTGATGGAAGAAAATAAATCTGATGTGGATCTTTTTATGGTTTGCTTGTTAAATCTGTTAATAATTGGAACTTAATTTGTGAATTATATATTATCATGTCTTCACAATCATCTGCTGACTCCTTCAATTTACTGCATCTCTTTTGCATAACAGATTTGTTATGTTTATGCTGCCATCTATTTTGCAATACCTTAACTTCATGGAGCACCCCTATGACATGAGCTGGAGGGATTATGTTGCTGTAATCTCTTTATCCCTACTTTTCATATTTGTAGAATGTTACCAATCTGGGATTGGATAATTTGTGTTATACACTCCATCCTGCTATGATTATGGTATTTATATGGCAGATTGTTACTTTCTATAGCCTTCTTCTAATTTGAACGGTGGTGCTTTGTGGTTCCAGAATTAACAGAACCATATCCAGTCAATGAAATATTAATTAATTTTTCTGAAAGTAGTAAGTTTTCTTTTTTTGGTCTTGTAACGTTAAGTTGTAAGTGAGAAGACTTAAAACCATTGAAATTCAGAAAGTATATAATAATGTGGCAAAGGCCTGCTCACAACCCAATTTAGATTTACTTGAAACAAGAATAAGAGTGATATGATTTACCATAATACAGCTTCATGACATTCACCAGAGTAGATTGGGTTTAGATTATGTTTCTGCAATTGAGCTAGATCCCTGAATCCTATCATTTTTCTTTGTTTCCTTTTGTTTTTTGTTCTTGTTCACCAGAATGAAGTTTCTAAACGTCTTTTGGGCTCGGGGTTTGATCCAGTTTTATAACTTTAGGGCCCAATTTTAATGTGCTTACTATTAAGGTGAGGCATATTAAAAATAATATTGTACATTTTACATGGCCTTAATCAAACAAAAATCTTTTTGTATGATTTTGGGTCCAGTGAACCATAAAGAAACAACGATAATTTTGGGCTGTCAATATTTTCAGTGTCAGGGCTACTACACCGTGCCCATAGATGCACCAATTAACTTTCCCTTACCCTTTTTCTCTGCATAAAATAAATAAATTAGTTCTTATTTTAAATTTTAATTGGTAAGAAAAATGTTTTATTCGTACATGTTTAATATAATATTTTACTTTGTTAGTTTTGAACTTTAACATTAAGTTTAAGTATATAAAAGTAAGGTTAATTAAATATTTTGTCTTTACAAAAAAGTTGTATAATTTAAATTTAATATTTATAATTTTTTTGTTAAAATATAATTTTATTTTTTTTACAAACTATTATTTTTAATTTTTTATATAAAATATTTAATTAAAATATTGTCAAGTGTCAGCTTTTTTTATTGAATTACATTGATTAAAGAGATTAAAAATAATAATTCATAAAAAGTATGAATTATATTTTAATAAGATATTTTATTAGAATTAAATTTAAATTTTAGAATTTATTAACCTATAAAATATAAGTATTTTTTTATTAAAAATAATATATTTTAAAAATCGTACCATTAGTAATTATTTAAAGTTATTTTAAAGGTTGAAATTAATATATTTTTTAGTTTGAACTCATAGGTAATTACTTTTTTCAATGTTAGAACATTAAAAATAAAAATAAAAAGATTAAAAAAAAGGAATAGATATTTGTGAAAAATAATCTGAAATTTGTTAATATTAATAATATAGTTTTTGATATATTTTTAACTATTAGTTAAAATTTATACAAATTATACAATTCTCATTCTTATATTATTATTTTTCATAATTTTATATATTTTAATAAATTTTAGTTAATTATTAAAAATATATTAAAAATCACGTTAAAAAGGACACTATCATTCATCTAATTTATATTAGTTGATAGTAAAAATAGAAGGACAATGCAAAGTATGGTCAGCTTTTCGCTTTTTTTTGGGGGGGGGGGGGGTGTCTCATCACATTTCACTAAACACACAAATTAATTGATATATTTTTTTACCATAATAATATAAATCTGAAAAGAACTCATCAACATGATTTGCATTCTAACATGTTTACAATTGTCATTGAGATAATTTTGGACACATCACCTTTTAGTCAATAAAACAATGTCATTCATATTTCACAAAAATAAGCCATGTAAGATTTAGAATTAATGTTGTCATATAACATGCACCAGTAGCTTATTTTAAGTATTTCAAATAGGTGTCATGTCATATATCACTAACATGTTGCCATCACAGTGTTTCTCATCTTATAAGGGCGTTACACCATATATGAATGACATATCTTGAAGAGGCACCATAAGCAATGCATGACAACTAGCAATAACTTAATTTGATTTTATTTAAAAATTAAAAATGGCTTTCCATACTTCTAAAGCCTACTTCCATTCTCCTCTATCTAAACCATGTCTTAAACAATGTTTAAATATAAACAGTCTAAAAATAGCTCACAATGAAATTGTACATCATTGTAAAATAAAGACATCATTCAATTATTTGAGAAAGAAAGTGAGATTTTTTTTATTTATTAAATTTTCAATACTTGTTAAGTGTGCATATTTATAAATAATAGTAGTATTTTTTATTTTTTTTAGTTGATGTTATAGTTTTATTATATTTAATGTTTTAATTTTTCATAATTGAAAATAAGATAGCAGATCATATTTTTAAAGTTCCTGATCATATCTGTGATGACATACCTTACCTTAAAATGGTTTATTCGACTTTAAATTTCACTTGATCAAACACGTGTCAAAGAAAGTTGGGTGTATATAAAATTTGAAATCAATTAAAGGCTAAAACAGATTCTCTTGTTTAATTTCTTTTTATGTGAAAGGAATAAACTTTGGAACTATTCTCTCTACTAAAAAACTGAGAAAAAAAAAACATATTCGCATGTTACCTTCACGAAAATGAAATTTGATGCCTACTCTGGACTTTGAATATTGAAAATGCAGTGAGAACAAAGTTTGAAATTACAAACATTTCGTTTGAATTAAGCATATGAAGTGGCCAAAATAGAGACATTCCTTCAAATATAGTATAAATATATCTGTTTTCCTTTCACATTTCACGACGTTGATCCACGTAATTCCCAATGCGGTTTTTTTAAATGCGTGTCTTTGAAGTTTTATTTTGTTAATGATTAATGAATTGAAACTCAGATTACTAAATAATAATACACATATAAAAAATTTGTATTTAGCATTGCATTCTTAAACGATTCAGTACTAAAAAATTTGTATCTTAATACGTAACTAAAGACACATGTCAATGTAACTATTACTCTTATATTAATTTGTTGCTCTTCAAGTTCAACTTATTGACTCTTTTTATTTTTATTCTTCATAATATTAACTAATGGTATATTTATGATTGTAAGAGCATTCATATTTTTTATGTGAATTGATAAAAAAATTACTTGTATCTACAAATTAATTTTTTAAATGATATAAAATTAATGATATAGTTTATTATCTAAGAATTTTTAATTTTTATTACCGTATGACCCTTATACAGTTTTAAAAAGTTTTTAAATAGCTTTTGAATTATATTTTACTTTAACGCAATTATTATTAATGATTGTGTTTATTTATACGATAATAATAAATTTATATTTATTTTACTGTAAAACACAACAGACGTAGCATAATATTGGTTTTTTTTTTTTAATTATTGAAATAAATCTAGTAGTTTTTTTTTTTTTTTTTTTGCATTTGTAAAATTTATTGCGTCATTAAAAATATTTATTTTTATAATCACACAAAAGAATGTCATCAAACGCATTTGTAATAGGACTTCTTTTTTTTGTTAAAAATATAATAATCAAGCGGGGTACTAAAATTAAATAAAAAATATATTATTCTAACAATTAATTGTTATGATTACTAATTATATAACATATGTTGTATATTTTATGTGAAGTGCAAAGTAATTTTAAAATAAATATTTTATTTGGATGGTAAAAAATTCACCTTTAAAGTAAAATTACAAAAACTACATGTAATAGTTAGTTTTTTTTATTTAAAACAATTATTTATTAAAGATACAACAAGAAAATATTAATTAATTAAAAATAAGATGATAAATTTTAATCAAGACCTTCAAAAATTTATCGTCATTAAAAATTACAGGCTAATATTTTAAATTATGCCTAACAAATATAAATAAGTAATTTTTTTCTTGAATAATCCAACCCAAACACAAACTAAATCAACGACATACTAATTATTTTGCAACGTTACATTATTAAACTTTAGCATCGGCAATTGTAAATTAAAAATCCTCGAAATAAAATTATATAAATCATCTAATTCTGAATTTATGGTACCAAAGTCATATATAGCTAACAAAAGTTTAATCTTCCAAACTTTTTGCTATTTCAATTCTTCACTCTCTCCTAAACTCATCATTCTAAGCAACCACAGTTAGGACTCAGGACTTCCACCTTAATTATTATACAATTTTTTTACACGTGTTAAATAATATAAATAATAAATAATTTAAAATTATACAATTAATATATTAAATTTAGTATTAATATGTTAAAAAATACTATACATAATTTTTTTTATTGTGTTTCGCTAAACATAAGTTACACAAACCGATTATTATATTCAGAATCTCTTAATTTAGTAAAGAAATTGGTGTTTCAGATTTATTTTCAGAAAATAATTTTCCACTTTTAAACCATCTCGAAAGTACAGTATAAAATAACAATTAAAAATAAAAAGAGAGTTGAATAAACACAAGGGTGGTGATACCTAAGAGAGATAGAGAAAGGTAAAATAGTGGTAAAGAAGAAAGGGTGAGGTGAGAGGTGATACACCTAATGAGTTGTTGGGGGATGTCAATGTAACGCGTTGGTTTCCCAATGTCCTCTTTCCCTCCCTCACCATTCCCCAAATTCATCGTCCCTTCATCGCACTATCAACTTTCCTCTTGTCCGCACCAAAGTGTCAGTGCGGAAAGTTAACTCAGACTCAGACAGATACACCGATTCTCTCTCTCTCTCTCTCTCTCAAACCGGAGGATCACATGAAGGCAAGAAAATACTAAGCCTAGCCTACATAATGTTACATTTATATCCACATTCAATATTTATATTCATCATGTCATTCATGCCTTTCTGAATCCTTTTTAATTTCTTTATACATTCATATGATGTTTCATTGTCTGCAGAGGTTACGTAATAGCAATCGCATCCGTAATTTAGGAACTCAACTTTTGCTAATCGCTATCTGTCTCGGTCTGGTCACATGTTCTTCCAGCTCCAAGGTCTTTTTTTGAATATTACAGTCAAATTTATTTTTTTTGAAATTTTGATTTTATTTATTTATTTATGGGGTTGTTATGACCGAGTACGAGGTAGCAGATCGGAGAAACTTGCGGGTCAGACAACAAATGTGATGCTGGTCTCAGCTGCCAGACATGTCCTGCAAATGGGAATACCCGACCCAGATGTTCCCGGATACAACCTTCGAAACCCACCTCCAAAGTTAGTCCCTTTTCTCAATCTCTGATTGGAATTTGTTCCATGGTGTTTTAATTAATGTTGAATTGATTTGGGTTTTGGATCCTTTCTAGGTCAATGGTTTACCGTTTAATCACTATTCATGGCTTACGACCCATAACTCTTACGCTCTGGCCGGAGCGAGATCGGCAACCGGGTCTTTCATTGTAGCCCCAATGAACCAGGAAGACACAGTTGCTGATCAACTCAAAGTAAGATTCTCTTCCCTTCTTTTTCAAAATGTACTATTCTGTAAATGCCAATAGCCTTTGGAAATGTGCAGCGATGGAAATAATTATTATTATTAGTAATTTTAAAAAAAGAAACAGAGAATAGAGAATTTCTGCTTGCTAAAAAGAACAAGGATTGAAACTGAGGTGAGGTTCCACCTCACCTGCTATAAATTTATTAGTAACTTGGGAATATCGAATATGACAACTAAGAGAAAGATTATGCTCATATTTTTTTAATAAGTTGTAACTCACATAACCTTTATTTTTTTGGCTCTTTCTACGTCCAAACAAAAAATTCAAAAGGGGTTATTGCAATTTGCAAAGATTATTCAATTACTAAATATAGTCATGGATTGTACAGGATGTATCGTTTTGTTTCTGCAATTTCCTTGTTTGTTTTTGTTTCTCATATGAATAAACATTTGTTTAAAGGGGTCAATGAAGATGTGAAATATAATATAGTAGTTGGTCTTATGGTTGCAGCGGTGCAAATAAAAACCAGTAGAGAAACGTCAGTAGTTGTTTGATTAGTTAGTGTATTAAAGTTATAAAGCTATACAGTTTAGACATCAAAAGCTACCTAAAGTTATAAAGCTGCACAACTTAAACATCCAACTAACCTTATTTTAATTAAAAGTTATTATTTTCAGTTTTACTGATAGTTAATTATATATATTTTTAAAAAATTCAAATACATTAATTATTTACTTCTTTTTATATTGTTATTTATATGAAATTTATGTTAATTAAATATATATTTATTATTTATTTAAGCGGACACATTCGTTTTATTTAATATAAATATATTAGTTAATATTACAATTTTTTTTGAATTTGACTATAAATTTATGATGTATAAATATTTTTTTATTTATAAATAGGATAGTCCATCATATGCACAATGATACATAAACTAAGCAATAGAGATTTTTTATCAATCAATATCTTTTAAGAACATTAAATAAAGATTTAGTAAGTAAAACCGTTTTTTAATTAAAAATCATATGAAGATGCACCAAAATTTACGGTGAGATCTTTTATTTTTTAATTAATGTTCTTGAGACACTAATTAATATTTGTTAAACCAAAGTTATTAATGTAATAAGATATTTGTTTGTTACATAATTTTTTATTATAAATGATCTTTCTATTATTTTATGCAGTATTTTTTTATTTTTTAATCTTTTGACTTACACACTAAGTATATAAAATAGAAAATAGTTTTAAAAAAAGTACCGTTATCATAGAAGAATCATGAAAACATAGAGCTTACTTTAATCAGTGATCGAATCACGTGCTGACTACATAATAATTCAAGCATGCAATAGTTGTCTGAGTTTTGAATATATAAAAAAGAGAAGTGAATATAAAGTATAAATATTAAAGCAATTTTTTTTTTTTTAAATTTTGTATCGAACAATTACATTTTTGTTCAGTTGCTGATGTGATGAATGGATTAATCAATTTATAATATAAGATAACCATCTGAATAATCCACCCATCAAAATTGAAGCATAAACATATTTATGAATTAAAGAAAACAATCTGTGCAAAGTGCATCCCAATTTTGTCGCTTGGATCATTCATGGAAAGAACATACTCATAATTTTGGAGGGTAGGGTTGATATGTTGACTTGGGCATTGGATGTTGTGGCAGAACGGCGTTCGAGGATTTATGTTGGACATGTATGATTTCTTAAACGACATATGGTTGTGTCACTCCGCTGAAGGCAGATGTTACAACTTCACTGCATTCGTAAGTGCGTGGCCATACTATGCTTTCCTTCAATAATCACACAACTTATCCTCATTCCTAAGTGTCTTCATACGTGAACCTGCAGCAACCTGCCATAAATGTGCTTAAAGACATTGGATCATTTCTTGATGCAAATCCATCTGAAATAATCACCATCTTCATCGAGGACTATGTCTCGTCTTCTCAGGGCCTAACTAAGCTCTTCCAAGCTTCAGGCCTCAGCAAGTACATGTTCCCACTCTCTCGCATGCCCAAGAACGGTGAAGATTGGCCAACTGTCGATGACATGGTCCAGAAGAATCAGCGCCTCATCGTTTTCACTTCCAAATCATCTAAAGAAGCTTCTGAAGGCATTGCTTACCAGTGGACATATGTTGTAGAAAACCAATGTAAGTTCCCTACCCTTTTACTTGTATTTTAAGTTCAAGGCAAATGCTAATATAAGGACTTTGTAGAGGAATTCAAAGTTTTTTTTTATTAAAAAAAATATTATTAATGTATTTCTTTGTGATTTTTACTGTATCTTAATGTAATTCTTAATCAAATTTATTCTATATGTTTTAAGTCGTACTGGTTAGGAACACTCAAAGTTAAAGCCGTTTAATAATTTGCTAAAATTTTTAATTTATTATTTATTTTAAAACTAAAAATTATTTGTTTCCGTGTTGTTGATGTTTAAGATTTAGAATTGAAAACGAGGAGTTCTTAAAATTAGCACGTTTAACTCTCTTTTTTTTTTCATGAAAAATATTTTTTTGAAACTAGTATTGAAATGTTTTAGACATAATTCTTCTAAGGAGAAGAAAAATCTAAAATAAATGGAGTCAAATATTACCTTATTTTTCAGAATTGTGGAAACTAATAATGATTATATGTGGAATTTCAGACGGAGATGATGGAATGAAAGCTGGTTCTTGTCCAAACCGTGCAGAATCACCAACAATGAATACAAAGTCTAGGTCACTGGTTCTGGTAAACTATTTTCATTCTGCTCCAAATCGCTCTCAGGCATGCGCTGACAATTCCGCTCCACTAATTAGCATGATGAAGACTTGCCATGAAGCTGCCGGTAACCGTTGGCCAAATTTCATTGCTGTTGATTATTACCAGGTAGTTAGTAGTTAATTTTGATCAAATCATTGATATTACTATCAACATAGCAAAATAGTTGATGAATTATTGACAATGATGATGTTAAAGAGGAGTGATGGCGGAGGAGCACCGGAAGCGGTTGATGAAGCAAACGGTCACCTCACTTGCGGGTGTGACAGCATTGCGTTTTGTAAGGTTGGTTTCTACCACCTTAATTATGATTAGTTACTATGTTGATTGATCTTATACTAGGAAATGTACAAGAATTAAACTGTTGTAACGTCCGTTAGAAACAACCTTTAATCGTAACACTCAACCTTGTATTTAACGGTGTATCATTAATATATATACAGGCAGACGCTAAGTTTGGCACATGCGATGTTCCTCCTATTTCTCCACCTCCACCTGCTGCAGAAACTGCCCCAAATGGAAACCAGCAGTCCCAAAATAGTATTCATGCAAACAGTGCTCATTTTGATAGAACAGCCAAGTTTATGCAATCGGTTGTGGTAATTTTGGCTACGATAACTTCCTTGGACGGTCATAGAATGTCATTATTTCGGCAGGGATTCTAGTTTTGTGAAAAATATGTATGTATGTATGTTGTAAACATTGAGTTTAGAGCCAATTTGATTCCGAGTATTGTAAGGAATCCGAGTCTTTTTCCACCACACAACAGCAATCTATGGCTGTATTGTGAGTCGTGACTTGATTTGTTTGATCGATGGTTGTCAAATTCTTGTCACATGAAAAACTCCTTTCTACTAACTTCTGTTGGATGTGTAGCTGTTTCTTTTAAATGCAGTTCCATTTAATGCTTTTAAATCTCCAAATGAACATCCAAATATGAGCGAGCAGGAGCAAGCCATACCGGAATTATTTTGTGATCATAAAATGGTCAGGATCGGGTGAAGATTTGCGAGATCCAGAAATGCATCAATTGTGGGCCACCTATGAGATGCCTTGGAAAGATGATTCCTTTTATGTAACTCATTACCCAGCTGTCCCAGCCTCTCCAAATCAAAAGTTCCCCACTTGACATAAAATGGGGCTAAAGGGCCAGTGATTTGAAGGGGAAATAATTTTTCATCGAATATGATGCCAACTACTTAACATGAATATGCTGTGTCTCACTAGAACGTAGTGTAATGACCACACGCACCCAAAAAGAAAAAAAAAATTGTGGTGCATTTAATCTCATCTACATCTCCACTTTCTAGGCGCATGTCATTGCAACATTGACACTGCAATATGTTTTGATCTAACAATGTACAAGCAGATCAAAACATGATATCCAACCATGCATTATTAATAATCTTTTATTGAATGAATAGAACAATATCGCTAAAATTTACATGAGCAACCTCTATAGCTAAAATCATCATCCCTTAAAAAAAAGGCACGGGACAGACAGAAAGCAGATAAATCTAGTTGTGGGGTTGGTTATGTGAGTATAGACTGAGGTATGGAAGGTGCAAACAACCTAAAGCAAAGTATGTTATGGCCCGATGGATGCAAATTTGATTTTTATTTTTTTTTTGGCCTATAGCAATGACAGGTTGTGAAGGGTGCCACCAGTTTTTTTGGTCATTTAAGAGACAGATATGCAAATTTATTGCTTTTCTATTTGATGGTTTGATCTTGTCTCATTGGCACACATCCCGTTTTCAAGTTTACAAGCATCAACTGATACAGCTGCCTCCTCTTTCAATCCATCCCCTACTCTATCGTTAGGTGAATGTCCAGCATCCCTTCTAGCTCTGCGATCCTACAATAACATTGCACTTAATCAAAAAGTAAAACTCAAAAAGCTCCACGATGAATGTCAAATATCAGTGATACAATGTAATACTCCGTTCTTCATTATCACATTAAATTGGGTACTTTTGTTTTTACTTGTGACTTCATTTATCAAACTTTGGTGGGGTCCAGTTAGTATGCAGGAGGGGAACATGGTTAGATGAATAATAATATATGAATTATGAAACTAGATCAAACAAAAGACTTGTAGATCATCTGCAGAGACGCACATTGCACAGAGATTATATAACATAAATGAAAATAATATCTCTTTAGTTATTTAAATATTTAGCCACATGGTGTCTAGCTATAAATATGCATTCATAACAAGAGTTCACACAAAAACTATGATACGCGCCAACCAACTTGAATTGAAACACAAAATTAGAAACTAAGTTATGCCAGAACTCCATTTTAGGCCAAGAATGGAAATTCCACAATATGGCAATTTAATGTGAAGAACAAGGAATTGCTTGTTATCAAGTCTTTATTGAATGAAATTTAAATATACTTCCTTTTAACTGTGGCGTATTGTCTTAATTATCCAACCAGTTAATGAAAGAACAAACCACATGCTATCCTTACTTCGTTACATGCATTAAATAGCACTATAATGAGGTTGAATTAACTTCAGAGAAATGATTGTTACCTCTTTGTAGGGAGAATCTTCGGCTTCAAGCATGTGTATGACATGCCCCATTTTAGGCCGCTTTTGTGCATTAGGGTCCGTGCATCGTAAGGCTACAAGAAGGGCTCGCTTTAGTGCCCTCGAAGTTGGTTTCTCAGGGAGCTTGGGATCCAATACCCCCTCTGGATTTCTGTTACTAACCATCTTCTTGAGCCAGTCAACTAAATTCACCTGAAAATCTCAACTTTTTAGTGACAAGTGAAAAGGGTAACGACAGGGGAGTTTCACAATAGTAAAATAGATCAAACCTCTTCAGGAGGCCGACTATAATCAACTGGATTCCTTCCTGTAATTACTTCCATGATAAGAATTCCAAAACTATACACGTCACTTCTTTCATTCAACATGCCAGTACTTGCATATTCAGGAGCAACATATCTGCCAAAAGCAGAAAAAGTAAGGGAATTGTTGCCATCTCATAATGAACAACACTTGCAGGAAAAATATGGGACAATTGACAAGGGAGACTATACAAACCCAAATGTACCCATGACACGGGTTGTAATGTAGCTGTTATCGGAGCCAAGGAGTTTGGCAAGGCCAAAGTCTGACACCTTCGCATTCCAGTGCCTATTAAGCAAAATGTTGCTTGATTTAATATCACGGTGAACAACTTTTGGTTCCAACCCCTCGTGAAGATAAGTTAACCTGTTAAAAAAAACAATAAATTGGGAATTGAAGAACAAGGAAGGAGTACAACACATCAAATAATAACATGAGAAAAGATGGCAAAGCAGAGCAAGCAAATTGTTTAGTTTACCCTTTTGCCGTTCCTAGAATAATGTTCATTCGAATTTCCCATGTTAGAGGACTGCAAGGCCCAACATCCCCATGCAGCCACTGCTCTAAGTTACCATTGTCAACGTACTCATACACAAGCATTCTGTAGGAGAAAGAAAACCCATATCAGTTCATAATTATACTATACTATATTACATGCATAGAGAGATAACAGTTATGAATATTCACAAACGAGCATAAAAGATTATTGCACAAAATAATACAAAGAAACAAAGAGAATACCTATGAGCTCCTTCAGCGCAATAACCAAGCAACCTCACTAAATTCTTGTGACGAACACGTCCTATAGCTTCCACTTCAACCTTAAACTCTTTCTCAGCTTGTCCCCTGGGGTCATCAATTATTCACACACCAATCTCGTCATTATCAATTAATTGTACATCACACACACACAAGGGAGAGAAATTCACCTATTATTGAGGAGATTCTTGATAGCAACATGAGTATTGTCATTCAAAATACCATGATACACAATCCCATATCCACCTTCACCAATAACATTCTCGGGAGCAAACCCACTAGTAGAATCCTCAAGCTCCCTGAGAGTGTACCAGTGGCCCCAGCCCAAATGAGAAACTTCAGGAATCACAGTCGGAACCTGATCCACGGGTCGAGGTTCCTCATTCGAACCAGACCGAACGAAGGCACGTTCAGGGTACGAGATTCGATGATTCTTCCCAATCTCAAACTGAATTCTGTTGAAGGCGAGAGAATTTGTTTCATCTTCGGGAGGAATAGAAAGCAAGGATTGTCGCTCGTTGGAAGGAATAGGTTCGGGTTCGGGAAACGGGTCGGGTTGGAGGGCGGGATTCGGAGCATGGTCGACGACTCTGATTTCTTGGATCTCTTTGGATACGTCGGGAATAGAAGGGCTGGTCTTGGAACGCTTGAAAGCGAGCCATATAGAGATGAGAAAGAGAAGAAGAACAATGGCGGCGCCGACACAAACACCGAGAACCACCCATAGACGGAGGCCGAAAATGGAGGTGGGGTTGGATAGTTGATCGTTCATTGTGGCGGTGGAATGATTGGGCATTGCGAAGAATGAACTAACTCAGAGCGAGAAGAAGAAGATGAAGAAGAAAGTGATGGAGGCAATAGCAGCTGGCATGGTGGGACCCAGTGGCAACACAGTATGCAATCAATTGCAGTGTCTGTGACTGCACTGTGTATTTTGGAGAATGCTACGTGTGAAGTGAAATCTGTTGCTTTTGCCTAACTGTAGTTTCTGTCAAAATTCCTTTTACCGTGTGAGCCCACCCCACAATCTGCTTCGCGTTTTTGCTTTCCGACACGTTATCATCATATTATAACACCTTTGCACTGTTGATTTCGGATTAGCAACATGTATTTGTGTTGTGTTTGTGTTATGGGTTAATAGAAAAAAAAAAAAGTGGCCTTTAAATGTGCGCTTTAACTTTCTAGGATGAGAGATGCACTTTAATTTCAACGGTAGGAATAATCATTGCTAGTGAAAAAACATTAATGAGTGTAAATGTTTTTTCTTTTATTGTTTTTAAAGTAGTGCGTTCTTTCCTTTTTAATTTAGGGATGTTATATAAAAGGTGTGGAGATTCAAGTTTTTATGTGCTACAATGATATGCTCAAAGCGACATTTCCCATCTAATTCTGGGTGTTTATTGAATGCTTAATTCATTGAATAAATTAAAAAGCTAGCCGAATTGTTTAGTGTATGATGTGATGTGATGTTAGATGTTCAGATTGGTTTTAATTCGGGAAACGAAGCCCGCATTATTGTTTGAAAATATAATGAATTTTATTTTCTAATTTAAAAATGTTTTAATGTGAAATAATGGCCCTTTTAAAAAATATTGATTCAAACATTTAATATGCATCACAGAATTGTAATCGGATTAGGTTGGCTGCACACAGTTCTTTTCAACCCAACAAAACTCAATCAGCCCCACCGATATTAATTGTTTCCTTTAAATATGTGTGTGCTTACGATGACTGCATCAAAATGGCAAGATGAAACAAAAAACATACACGGGCTATGTAAGTTTGGTGAGAATCCAATCTTAAACGAGTTCCTATGCCCTCAATAATTATTTAGTCTGTAACAGAAAATTAGTACATATAATGGGTTAAAATGTACATAATTTACTTCGTCTGCAAGTTATTTATGGGAAATTGCGTCTAGTTCAAAAACTAGTTAGAAAGGAATATGTACTGTAAAATTGCAGCCAAATCATTGACATTAGATAATAAAAGAATAGCATTAAGTGAACTTGCCCCTCTCTTCACTTGTTTCTCCTTTTGATGTCCTGCTCCTTTTGTACGTTTAGATTTACAGGTATATATATATTTTTAAATATATTCTAATCTTTATCTGAAATTAAAATATGATAAACTACTCGTAAAGTTTTAATATAATTTTTTAAAATAGAGACTAATTTACAAATAAATACAAAAATTATATATAAATTAAAAATAATAATTTTGTTTAAAATTTTTAAAATTAAGGTACTAAATAAAGAAATTCATAAACTTTTAAAAGAATAAAAATTTATATATATATTGATTAATATATTTTTTTATCTAATAATATATAAATAAACAAAAAAAATTCATAACTGTTGTTGCAGCTGAAAAAAATAAGAAGATAAAATATATAATTGATAAATAAAATACCATAAATTTTAATTAATACAATTTTAAATCAATATAACAAAAACTATCTACTTATATTATAATAAAAAATTAAAAAAATTACTCAAATAATAAAGCTAATATTCTAAAGTGTTAAATAACGTATAATTTTACGTAATAGATATTTAATTTTTTATAAAATTATATTTTAATGATTTCATAAAAATTAATATATTATATAAAAATTATATTTATATATAATTTGAGATAGTTATATATTAAAAATAATAAATTGTTATTATTATTATTATTATATTTTTTAAAAATAAAACAAAAGATAAAAATATAAATTAAATAAAAAATATTATTACCAAATTAAATTTAATTATAAAAACAAAAATAAGTTATAATATTTATATTTATATTTGTAGCTATAAATTTTAAAAACAAGCTGACTTAGGCTGACATATGTTTGGCTAGTTTGGCCATTTGACTACTCCATGGGAGTTAGTACCTTATTTTTCTTCTAACCTTAGCTATTTTCAAAATGTTGCCATTCTGTGTTATTCACGTTTTATGAAAATCGGATAGACTTGATTGTCATTTGCTCTCAAATACACTGTTTTGACTGTTTTTTAGAAAATGCAATATGCGTCAATAATAGTTGTACGTTTAAAATGACTCAGTATAATTATTATTAATTGATATGCTTAGTATCACTTGGAAAAGATAATTGAAAAAAACTATTACACATAATAGCATAAATATATTTTTAGTATGTCAAAAATGAATTTAATTTTTAAAATTTGTATCAGAAATCTTAATTTTACAAAAATGATTTTTATTCCTTCTCACGAACGAGATGACACAAATGTAAACATATACTACATATCACTTAGTAACTGAAAATTGATTTTTGCATCATATAGTTACAAACATTTTTTGAGAAAAACTTTAAAAGTGAACAAAATTTAAATTAATATTTTTTTGAGAAACTAAAATTAATTTTAATGATATATTTAAACATTTTTTATACTACGCATTTTAAATTTTGTTTAAGAACTAAACATTGGTTGATACAAGCGCGCCAAAATTGGAACAATTTCCCGCGCTAGGCTTTAAAACACCCACTGCGTCACTGTTGTCTCATTCTCACTTCTCAGATCACACTCATCGCCACTGAGAGAGAGAGAGAGAGAGATGGCGGATGCGGAGCCTGTAACCGGGAGGCGAAGGCCCAGGGGACCGGAGGCCACCGCCCGCAGCGAAGCCTTGGAACGCCTCAAAGCTCGCCTCCGCGGCGGTCGCCGATCCGATGCCGATGGACCCCAAATCAGGTTAGAAAACCCTATCTACGACACTGTTGCCGAGGACGAATACAACGCTCTCGTCGCCAAACGCCGTGAACAGGCACGCGCTTTCATCGTCGACGATGAAGGTCTGGGATACGGCGACGAAGGCGAGGAAGAGGATTGGTCTAAGGCTGGCTTCACCCTTTCCTCTGACGAATCCGAAGGCGAATCGGAGAGACCGAAACGCAAAAGAGTCGAGAAGAAGGATCCTCAGCCGAAACGACCTTCTTCTTCGCTCTCCGCTGCCGCCGCCATGATGGGAGGTCAGAGATTGTCCTCAATGTTCACTTCGTCGGTTTTCAAGAAAAGCAGAGATGACAAGGTCTGCGATAGTATCGTCGACGATGTTATCGCGGAATTTGCACCGGACGAGACCGATAGACTGAGGCGTAGAAGGGGTCAAGCGAATTCCTCTTCAGTTTCTGTTGCCAACAATGCTTCGCGGATTAGCAATGACAAGCCATCTGCTGAATTCATCGGAGGTTCTTTGTTGACCGCAAATGATAAGTCTGAGTCGATTAAGGTTGCTGAGAATAATGGTCGTGACCTGGGATTAGAGCAAAAGTGTGAAACAGTTAAAGAAATTGAAGACTCAGTGCACGGAAGTTCTGAGAATGGACATGCGTTGGAGCCTGATGATTGCCCAATTAAGGAGGGTTTAGTTGAGGAGAAAGCAGTGAAGAACATTGAAATTGAAGTAAAACAGGACACGAAAAAGGAGGTGTTCACTTTGAATGCGAAAGTTAAAGAGGAGGAGGAGGACCCGGCATTGTGTGCTACTGCTGGTTGGAAGGAGGCGAAGAGCGTTGGTGGAGGGGATATCAATGTTGCTGATTCGAAGGATGCTTTGCATAATCAACAACACTCGGATTTTGATCTGGAGGAAGATGAGTCACTGCCTTTCTACATTTTAGATGCCTATGAGGAGTTCTATGGAGAGAATAGGGGCACTCTTTACCTGTTTGGGAAGGTAATTTTATAAGACAGATTATCTTATTTCTCTTTTTTTAATTTGTACCTTTTTTCATTCACAATTGACTATGCTGCATATGCTTTTCTTCACCTATAAGGTTTTATCAACATGTCTAGTGTAAAGTCATGTTGTGTACTAATTTTTTTTAATTTTAGTTTATTTTTTTGGACTTTATCAATGGGAAATTAAGTTGGGTGTAACAGTCAGTTACTCATTACCGCTGATGAGAATGACAATGAATTTGACTATTTGCATTCTGCTTGAGGATTAGGTCAAAACAGGGAACTTGTATCAGAGTTGCTGTGTTATTGTAAAGAACATGCAGAGGTGTGTCTATGCAATTCCTAGTCATCCTTTGCACTGCACTGATGAGATGATGAGTCTCGAGAGAGATGTCCAAGAGTCTCGAATTTCTCCTGCAGATTTCTTTAAGAAGCTTCAAGTTAGTTTTTACTTTGTTGATCTCTTGCGTAAAATTTATATACTATTTGCTCTTGTTTTTATTTAGTTTGAATTTCTTCCCTACTTTTCTGTTAGCCAGGGGTTAATACATTCTGTCTTGTCCCATTTTTCTTTAAAATTGCAGGATGCAGTATCTGATGTTAAGAGTGAAATAGCACAGCATCTGGTGAATTTGGAAGTTTCTAACTTTAGCATGGCACCTGTTAAGGTTTTCTGATTAGATAATTTCTGATGAGTTGGAGTGCATGAATGAGTTATATGATGTTTTTGTGCCATGTGAATTTATTGATGTTTTTTAATTCTGATTCGTTGCTCATTTTTGCAGAGGAAATATGCATTTGAACGATCTGAAATTCCTACAGGTGAAAATTATGTGGTGAAAATCAATTATTCATTCAAGGTACACTGTCAAATCTAAGAACATCCTCAAGAAAAAATGAAGGATGCCAAAATATCATTGATATGTCCTCATGTTGACTTTTTAAAGACTAGTATGAACTCCAAAATTGCTCCTTCTCTAATTGAATATTGTTTTCTAAAGCTTGTTGCGCATGTTCTTTCCCCCCATATTTTATCCATTGCAGGATCCAGTACTTCCAGTAGATCTCAAAGGAGAAAGTTTCTGTGCTCTTTTGGGAACTGGTTGCAGGTATTATAAGTATTCAGAGACAGAGACTATCCTCTGTGATGTTTTGGATTGAACATGCAACTCGAAGGAAAAATATTGTTTCTGCCTTCTTAAACTCAAGAACTCAAATTATTTTCAAAATTGATTATTGTGACCTTACTTTATGGTGCTTAAAATGTATTTTCTATCTCAGCACCAAGCTTAAGTATATGCATTCGGCTTAGTCACTCTAGCCATTTAAACTTGTCATATGCATCAGGGAATACTTGGGGTAATAATCTGGCAAAACCTTGGAGGTTTCCTTATAGGAAGATAAAACAGTTTCTCAGTAATTACGTGTTTCAAGTACTTGCCAGATCTCTGAAACAGAATGTCATATGAACTGATATAATTTCTTTTTGGGTGCGAGGAGCTGGCTTAATTCTAGAAACTGAAAACCTTTTTTTTTTAACAGAAACAAGAACTTTGTTGACTGAAATGTGTATTTGAAATGATTGACCTTCCTGTTGAACAGTATTTTGCCAGTATAATGTGTAGGGATATTTACACCATAATCTCCCCCTTGTATTAAAAGTGTCTGCTAGTTGACTATTTAATTTTTTGTTAAAAGAACAAATGATTGACTGTATTACAATCTGCAGTGCGCTTGAGCTTTTTCTGATTAAAAGAAAGATAAAGGGGCCTTCATGGCTACATGTTTCAAAGTTTTGTACAAGCTCAGCTTCTCGAAGGGTGAGGTTTATTGTCTAGGATTCCTTAGAAGTAATGTATATAATATTGTCTTTTATTCCTTATGCAGGCAGCCTTTTTTAACCCAGTGCCTTGTTTGTGCCTACAGGTTAGCTGGTGCAAATTTGAAGTGACTGTTGACTCTCCAAAACATATAAGGAGTTCAACTCCTTCAAAAATCACTTCTAGGATTCCTCCTGTGGTTGTTGCAGCAATAAACTTGAAAACAACCATAAATGAAAAACAGAACATAAATGAGATTGTATCTGCATCCGTTGTGTGTTGCAATATGGTTAAGGTTGTTTGCAGTGCCTTTTGTAGTGTTTGATTTTTTCTTACCATTACTTTGGTTTTGTTATGTATAGTGTGCTAGCATATCTTTTGCAATGGGATCAGGTGCATTATGTGTCTGTGAGTTTATGTGTCTGAATATAAAAATATATGTATATGCAAATGTACTTTTCAGGAGGCATTAATTTGCTGTCTATATGCTTGTGAAGTTTGAATCTGGCTGACAGTTATCTATGATTAGCCACTTCTATATGTTAGATATTTCTTAGCGCATGATATGAATAGTGAGAGTTACATACATACAATTTGAACTCCCAAGATTATGGGGTGATTTGGTATATTTTGAATGTTAATGAACTAATGATGCATGCTAGGTGAATGAATTACCAAACTACTTCCTACGAACAGCTATCACAAATGAATTCATCTTTTCAAAGAACAGTCTTTTCTCTCCAATTTCTGTGGTTATTGATTCATTAGTCTTCGAATCTTGTGTTCTCTTGTCCTTAACGTGAACATGTACTGACTCAAAGCTTGAAATTTCAAGAAAGTATACTCAGTTTCACGTGTATAAATATTTAGGATGATGTAATATTGAATCTTGAACTAAAAAACATTTTTTTTTAAATTTTGTAAGTGAATATATATATGAATGGATGCCCTCTTTGGCAGTTTGAATATTCACTATCGAATTATAGGATATTTATTAGCTAATTCACTACTATGTTAAATGTAATTACCGTGGAAGTATGATCAGCAGTAACCTTTCCTGTTTGACTTTTTAGATTGACACTCCTATGTTGGCTTCAGAGTGGAAGAGACCTGGAAGGCTGACCCATTTTACTGTTATTCGAAAACTTGATGGGAATATATTTCCGCTGGGATTCAACAAGGAGGTTACAGACAGAAACTTAAAAGCTGGATCCAATGTTGTGTGTGTTGAAAGCAGGTGGAAACTTTAAAAGATGGGTTGCTATTTTGAGCATTGTGCCTATATGCATGACCACATGCTATCCTTTACTTTCCATATCTATATATTGTAAAACTCTTCTTGGAAGTTATGATTGTTTCTATGGTTGACTTATGCCTTAACTTTGTTTTCAGTGAAAGAGCTCTGTTAAATCGCCTGATGTTAGAATTATACAAGTTGGATAGCGATGTTCTTGTTGGACATAATATTTCTGGATTTGACCTGGATGTTCTTCTCCACAGATCTCAGGTGGGAATTGTCTTTTTCTGTGAAATGACCATTTTGTTTTGAACGGAAATTAATTGAATTTTGTATTTCAGTTGTTTTTCTTATGATTCTTTACTGTCAAATGGATGTTATTTGTATGAGAAATTAGTGGTTTAGATGGTTTGAGCAATTACATCAATCAGTTAGGGGTTCATTCTTATGATGGCAAAATAGTATCAAAATTTCATGAGGACCAAAATTACTTGGTCAGAGTTGATTATGAAAGATATGCTGGGGAAAGGGATGAGAATGTGCCTTATATGCAATATTAAATGGAGTATTAAATTCATTTGAAGGTTTGAATTTGTCTTGAAAAGAAAAATTAAATTGAAACCATGCAGCTAGTTCACAGCCTTTTCAATCTGGTCATTTTTTAGGTCAATTTTCTGTTGTTTTTGATTGGTCTAACTGTTGAATGGATATAGTCCCCCCTAATTTCTGTGAAACTCATTAGCTGGTCCATCATTACATGTTTCCTGAATAAGCACTCAGAAAGCCATATTTTCTAATTTGTTCTTCAGACTTCAGTTTACTTTTACATTTTAAACTTAGCAACTTCAAGCTTTATCCTGAAATTCCAAATACAATGTTCTTGGTGTTGTTTTCATCATATGTGCAAGGAAATGACATTCATTGTTCCTCAATGATCCATTGCTATAAATTCTCTTCTCTTAAAAGTCTGTTATGCTTTTCTAAATAAAAAGTCAGCTGCATTCCATCCAACTTGCATTGTACACTTTGAAGGAGCTGCTGCGCCTAAAAACACTCCAAAAAATTATGCAGGCTTGCAAGGTAGCAAGCAGCAACTGGTCTAAACTAGGCCGCCTCAACCGTTCTACAATGCCTAAGTTTGGTAGAAGAAGCAAGATTTTTGGTTCAGGAGCAGATCCTGGTATTATGTCTTGCATTGCTGGCCGGCTTCTTTGTGATACATACTTGTGTTCGCGTGACCTATTAAAGGAGGTAAAGTATTTGTTGAGAACTGATGCTTAGCAGGAATTTTGTTTTTTTTTATTCTTAACTAGTAACTATCCAAATTGGTTCTTTCAGGTTAGTTATGCTTTAACTCACCTTGCTAAAACACATCTGAACAAGTTTCGGAAGGAAGTTTCCCCACAGGATGTTCCAAAAATGTTCCAAACAGCAGAATCCTTAATGGAGCTTGTAGGTGCCAGTGTACCCTAACAGCTTTCTCTATGTTTTTTTTTTTGGTTTATTTAAGCAATTAATTCATAAAAATCTCATCATTATTTTTGTTTTAGTTGTTCTTATAAAAATTTATTCAATTTTAGTCCTTATATTTAACAAATAACACATGGTTTTAGTCAATGACTCAGGACTAAAACCATGTTTTAGGAATTGAAATCGAATAAAACTTTTGTAGGGACTAAAACAAAAATAGTAACATTTTAAAGAACAAGTTACTTAATTAAACCTTATTTTTAATTGTTGAGAGAACTCTCTGATGTGCTCATTGTGCAGTTTACATGAGGATTGTCTTTTGAAATGATAAACACTTAATTTATATGGATTTTTTATTTTCATTTCCTGTTTATTGCATCAGTATTTTGAACTGATGCTTTCGTTTGGACAAATGAGAATTCTTTGGGCAAATGAAAAATCTAGATACATTCTGCAATAGGTTGCACTTCCATCAATATTAAACTATTACTCTTTTAATGAGTGTTTATATTAGCACTTTATTTTCCCTTTATTGGTATAGTGGCTTGAACTCGATGATGCATGTGGGCTAACTATTTGTGTTATTGAAAGTGATAGATTAATAGTAGCGTGTCTTATGACTAAAATGAACTGTGCAGAATTTGATGACTTTAGAATCTTAAGTTAATATATTATGGAATCTTCTTGACTTATTTCGATGTTGTCTTGCAAAATATAAGCGTGGGGCAAATAAATTACTTTAGCCATTTGGAAGATTTGATTGATTGAACATGATAATTACTGTATTTGCTTCAACTATGATTACCACAATGTCCTTGACTTTTTCAGATTGAATATGGTGAAACGGATGCATGGTTGTCTATGGAACTAATGTTTTATTTGAGTATTCTTCCACTCACACGTCAGCTGACTAATATAAGTGGTAATCTGTGGGGAAAAACTCTTCAGGTGAGCCCCCGTTGTTTTTACTTGCTAGTTTGGTTTGATCCTATACTCGACCTAGCAGCAGAGGAGCATAACTAATGTTTTTTTCATTTACATTTTCAGGGTGCTCGAGCTCAGAGAGTGGAGTATCTTTTGTTGCATACTTTCCATGCAAAGAAATATATCGTGCCAGACAAGTTTTCGAACCATGCAAAAGAAACAAAATTGAAACGCAGAGTAACTCCTGGTGTTGAGGATAGCAACTTTGATGAAGTAGATGATGCAAACTATGACAATGATGCTTCTGAAACTGATCCCAAAAAAGGCAGAAAGGCTCCTTCCTATGCCGGGGGACTGGTTTTAGAGCCGAAGAAGGGTCTATATGACAAATATATATTGCTTCTGGACTTCAATAGTCTTTATCCTTCTATAATTCAGGTTGGTATTATTGTTCTCTTTCAAGTGTTCGGTTTAGTCACTTTCATTCTACCTTGGGATTTTGTCTGTTTTATTTGCTAGTCCACTTTGCCTCTAACAGTAATTTACGATACTTTCTGCTGTTTGCGACTTACTGAACTGAATCACAGGAATACAATATCTGCTTCACAACTGTTGAAAGATCTTCCGACGGATCTTTCCCTCATCTACCATCTAGTAAAAGAACAGGAGTCTTGCCAGAGGTAAAAATGCACATATACAAACAATTTTATCTTTTAAATCATTCTTCCAGAATCGTAGCACTTGTCAGATCATTTTGAAATTTTATGTAAGTTTCTTGTGATATGATTTAGCTTTTTTGATTGAAATTTCCTAATTTAATCTGAAATAGTTTATATATTATAGACTACTACTGAACTGATACGAGGCTCTGGCTTCTGTTTCATGGCGTATGGATAGGATGTTTTGAGATCGATAGTTTTTTGGTTTGGATAATTGCATATGAAACTAGATTTTCTAGACCTGTCTCAGCGATGTAGTTTGTTTTACACCTTGGCTGCTGCTTTTATTTCTGTGACCAGCTATAGCATTGGGAAACAAGAATTAGGAGACTTTTCAGTGTTCGAAAAACTACGAATTTTGGAAAGGACTCCCAATCGTGTGGCCACGGTTGTTTCAAACTTTCAATGAAGATGATATGAAAGGCGGTGACTAATCGACTAGCGATAGACCTTCAATGGATGGGAAATAAGAGAGAACACTCTTTTCAGCATCATCCAAATAGGACTTGACCATGTATAATATGATATACCCTTTGCTATTTCCAAACGGGGATCCGATCGAAACAGATAGATAACAGAAAACAACTCCAAGTAAGGTAAAGCACAGTACGTAGGAGGAGGCCATGACCGACCTGGTTGGAGTTGAGAGATGTGAGACAGGATTTCAGAAATTTCACTTAAAAGCATTTTACGACAACTCATTTTAAATCCTCAAAAAATAAAAATTGGTCTTCATTCCGTTTCCAAACGCACTTTAGCTGCGTAACATTGAGAGGTATCCTCAGGGTCCTAAAATATTTATTTGGATGGTTCCCGTTAGTCAAAGACAACGTGGCACTTCTGTTTTTCGTGCGATTTATTAATGCACTAAAAGTTTGAGATAACTTTATTACTTGTACTGGACGATTTTTGTTTCCCCTTCTTTTGGAGACTACAGAGATAAGATGCGTGTGTAAAATTTTGAATTTGTTTGTTGTGCTAGGTACTGAAAAATCTGGTGGACCGAAGGAAAAAAGTAAAGTCGTGGATAAAGAATGAAAAACAGAAGAATGATAAAGCTGATCCTATCAGAGTTCAGCAACTGGACATCCAGCAGCAAGCACTGAAACTTACTGCAAACAGGTTTTTTCTTTTGCCTTTAGTTCTGAGTGCCCAAAATTGGTATTTACTCTTCTCTATGTAAAATCATATGGCATGTGATGCAGTATGTATGGGTGCCTGGGGTTTTCCAATTCAAGATTTTATGCTAAGCCGCTTGCTGAGCTCATTACCCTACAAGTAAGAAGAATATGCTGGCTTATTCAACATAACCGGTGTCTACCATACTTTCAAATATATTTTCAAACACATTTTCATTTGCATGTCTAATGGTCATACAGGGAAGAGAGATACTACAGAGTACTGTTGATCTTGTTCAGAATAACTTGAATTTAGAGGTTATTTCTTGTGCGCTGCATATTGAAGTATTGTTTTTGTATATGAATTATTTGATGTAACTGGTCGAGAAATTAGCTATTAATTGGTGTACCTTCTGTTTTATAGGTGATCTATGGTGATACTGATTCAATAATGATTTACAGTGGGCTAGATGATATTGAGGAAGCAAATAAAATTGCTGGAAGAGTTATTCAAGAGGTAAGATTTGACTATTAGCTGTGCAAAACTCCTTTAACCTATATATGAGCTCTTGGCAGTTGAGATTCACATTTGCGCTAATTTTGTGCAACGCAGTATATATTAGAGCCAGAACGAGAGCTTTTCAGCCATGCTAGTCCCCCTTTAGAATATATTTAATGATTCTTTTCTTATATTCTATTTGAAAGATTATTTGAAGTTGGGTTCATACTTGCTAGTTCCTGCATTAGTGAGTTGACTTAGATAAGCTGCTGCTATGATATCTTACCATGTTGGTTTCCACTGTTTGTAATTATAGATAATTTTGACATGCATGCATGTTTCAATAATAAATGCTGGTTTCTTTCTTTCTAGTTTTGTTTTTTCGAGGAGTGCTCTTGTGATGAGCGGTTTCTTTAATTTGTCATTAGGTCAATAAGAAATATACATGCCTGGAAATTGATCTTGATGGTTTATATAAAAGGATGCTGCTTCTTAAGAAAAAGAAATATGCAGCTGTAAAGGTGCAGTTTAAGGATGGCATCCCTTATGAGGTATGTTTCTTATTCTTTCGCATCACCCAACATCATGGGAAGATCATGCAGTGGAATTAATGCATGCTGCAGGTTATTGAACGTAAAGGTCTTGACATTGTTCGTCGTGACTGGAGCTTACTAGCAAAAGAATTAGGAGATTTCTGCTTGACACAAATTTTGTCGGGAGGGTATCCTATTACCTTCACCCAATTTGGCTATTCTAGCTGCAAGATTTTTAATTCATTTATCCATTAACTATTAGTATTATGGTTCCCATGCATACAGGTCATGTGAAGATGTCATTGAGTCAATCCACAGTTCTCTCATGAAGGTAAATTGTGATGTTGTGGAGCAGCATTTTTTTAATGGTTTAATTATCAAACATTGGTGAAGGCATTGAAGTTTATTGGGAATTTAGTTCATGCAGACTATGCCCTACCTTTTACTAATGATTTTAAAATTGAAATTTGAGGTTTTAGATTTATTTCTCCTGCAAACTATTGAATGTTAATCTTTATGCAGGTACAAGAAGAAATGAGGAATGGACAAGTGCCATTAGAGAAATACGTCATTACAAAGACATTGACTAAACCTCCTGATGCTTATCCTGATGCCAAAAACCAGCCACATGTTCTTGTGAGTCCAAGCTATTTTGATTTTTGTTTTTTAAAACGGTCTGATCTATGTTTTCTTTTGCTGTGATGTACTTGCTTCTGAGCATTCCTCTCTTGATCAACTGATCAACATGTAGGTGGCACAAAGATTGAAGCAACAAGGTTACTCCTCTGGTTGTTCTGTTGGTGATACAATCCCTTATATAATTTGCTATGAGCAGGTTTGTCATTTTGTCACTCAATCAAAGGCCAAATTGTGTAACTTCTGAAAAGATCGTTTGCATTGAGTAGTTGATGTTGGTCATATGCAATCTCTTGTAATTTTAATATATGTTTTTGATAGGGCTCTAGTTCAGGCAGTGCAGGCGGCATTGCTCAACGTGCCAGACATCCTGATGAACTAAAACGAGAACAAGGGACATGGCTGATTGACATTGATTACTATTTGTCACAACAGGTGTCTTAGACTTTTCACTTTAGTAGCTAATTTTATAAATAAAAATGATTACCAAGTTCTGTACCCTGCTTAAGTATTTTCTTTTTCCTCTTTTAGATTCACCCTGTGGTATCACGTCTTTGTGCATCAATTCAGGGGACAAGCCCCGAAAGACTGGCTGATTGTCTAGGGCTTGATTCGTCAAAGGTAAAACATATCCTAGTTCATTTCAGCATTAAGAGGCAGGTAATTTACTTTTGTATCAATTCTTCTTTGACTTGTTTTACAGTTTCATCATAAATCAAGTGAGGCTTCAAACGGTGATCCTACAAGCTCACTCTTGTTTGCTGCTGATGATGAGGAGAGGTACTTGATTCTAAAATTTGTGTCCCATTAATTGTCACAAGTCTCTCTTAATGTGCATATTTGCTATCAATGTTAATATGGAGACGGTAGAACTTTTTTCATTCTGAAGTTCAGTAGTTCTTTGCGTAGATTCGAACAAGTTATAAAATTTTGTTTTACTGTATTTTAGCTTCTTGATCTAGTTGTTTTGTTAGATTCTTTTTGTAGTTGTTATGGTTCATGAATTTTACTGATTTCTCTAGCCATAATTATTGATTAAATTATTGAATAACATATAATTGATAGCAGGTATCAGGGATGTGAGCCGTTGATCTTGTCATGCCCCAGCTGCTCTGGTACTTTTGACTGCCCACCTGGGTTTAAATCTATTTGTTTATTGGGAAGTGAAAAGCCAACCAGGTCAGTCACGGAGGAATCTGAGTACAACTTCTGGTGCAAGCTGTGCTGTCCTAAATGCCCAGATGTTAAAATTTCTCCTGCAATGATAGCCAATCAGGTTTGACTAACTTAAGATTTAAGGCCTTAAGTGTTGAATTACATTTCGGCTAGGAAAGTTCTTACACTCCTTTCAGATCATTTAATCAACTTCAAAATAGATTATCTGGAGTAACACTTATTAACTTGTTCGTTGATTTGATTTTTGGCATAGAATATAATTCCTGAGCATCTGCTTATGGTTGGTTATATACCTTATGTCAGGTCAAAAGGCAAGCAGAGAAGTTTGTTTTAATGTACTATAGAGGTTTAGTAATGGTAAGTCACCTCTCTAATATACAACATTAATAATAGTAGCTTGTGAAAATTAGGTGTCACTATCTGAACTGATTTTCATTCAGTGTGATGATGAAACGTGTAAGCATACAACGCGAAGTATCAGCCTTCGATTGGTTGGTGATTCTGAGAGAGGAACTGTTTGTCCAAATTATCCTCGTTGCAATGGGCGTCTACATAGAAAGGTTTCACGGATGAATCTGTTGAATTAACCGTTGCGTTCATATATTTGATTTATAGTAGTGAAATTTAAATGCTTTGGTTTTTTCAATTAATTAACTAAATATGATTAATTTTTCAGTACACTGAAGCAGACTTGTACAAGCAGCTCTCATATTTTTGCCATGTGTTCGATTCTGTTTGTAGTATAGAAAAGGTACTCATTAAATGATGCGAGATAAGTTTAATGATGATTCTTTGTTGAAAGCTGAAGCAAACCTACCAAGTTCCAAAGATAATTTTTTGACCATTTGTTATTTGAGTTAAATAAATGAATAATGATTAACCGTTTATTCAACTTGATTAATTACTAATTATCGTGTTTTCTCTGGCACGTGTTTTTACTTGTCCAGATGGAGGCAAAATCTAGAATACCAATAGAGAAAGAGTTGATCAAAATTAGGCCGATGGTTAATCTGGCAGCATCAACGGTACAGAAAATCAGGGACCGTTGCGCCTATGGGTGGGTGAGACTGCAGGATCTGGTCATTTCAGTTTAATTTACAGATTTGATGCCAAAGTGAGTTTACATGGTCCAGCCTAAGCGATGTCCATGAGAATCTACACCAGCAAGGGGATTATCAACAAAGTCATGATGTTACTATAAATATATGTTATCGATTGTTATCGTCACCAGCCTTGTGTTACAATCAAGTCTGATTGAGCTAGTCACGCAAGCAGTCCAGGGCTTATAATTATATCTCCTCGCAATATCCCTCTGCAGTTAATCGGAAACAGCAGTAATTTGTTCTTGATTGCGTATTTGTCCATAGAACACTTTTAAATTTTTTGTAAATGTTTTTACGTTTATTTAAAAAATATGATTAAAAAGGGGTGGGGTGGACCCTCTGATTTTACTCTACTTGAGTATTTTGTATTAGATAGTAGTAAAATCAATTTAAAAAGAATTAAGGTTAAAATTGATTTATGATTATGATTAATTGCTACTGCCATAGTGATTCTTTATTTGTCTTAATGGAGTAAGACTGATTTGAGAAAAAATTTGCTAGAATGCTTTAAAAAAGGATGGTTTAAATAGGACATTGTAAGTATTCATAATTTGTAATATATCATTTTAGTTTTTAAAATTATTAGGTATTTTAGTCTTTTAAGATTATAATTTTAGAAATAATTACCTCCCATTTGGTGGTTCTGGATCTTGTTTGAGTGAGAATTACATTTTACAATTTAAGTTTGTTTAACAAAAAAAAATTATTTAAGTGAATTTAGTGAAAAAGTAATTTTTGTTTAAATAAATAAGAGAAAATTCGAGAAACATTTTGTGAGATTGAATGATTAATTATTTTTTAATTAATTTTTTAAAGTTATTATTTTTATAATTATTATCATTATTCTTAATAATTTAATTTAATTTTAAATGATTTTACTTTATTGATACTTAGCATAAGTAATATACTAAATAATACATTAATAAAAAATTAAGGTTCTTCAAAAATTTTATAATCTAGAGAAGAAGAAAATTAAGTTTTAAAATTTTTCATAATTTTGACTTAAGTAAATTTTTTAATTTAAAAAAAAATTACTTTTTATCAAATTTATTTAAGTGAATTTTCTAAACTTAAGTAAAAATTATTTTTTGCTAAATTTGCTTAAAGTTTCTGCCAAAATTGAAGAGAATTCAGGTCTTCTATTTAATAATACTTGGTATAGTATTAAATTAAAATATTTTTATAATTTTAAAAATTAAATTGAACTAGTAATTTCAATGATTAGTTTAATATATTATTCATTTTTAAATTATAGTTCTATTTGCTTGGAAAAGTATTAAATGTTTTTTTGTTGGTTTGAGGAAAGTTCGCTTATAAATGAGGGAATAAGGAAATGAAAAATGGGTGAAATGCATTATAGGAGATTGAGCTTGCTGTGTATTCGTATTTTATTTCCAGTAATTCAACTAAGATGATTTAAAAATAATCAGTAAACGTTTTTTAACATCTGCTTTCACGTCATTCTAGTTATATGACTGACATTGCATGGTAAACAAAACAAATTTGTACAGAAGCAATTTGCTTAAGGGTAAAGATAATTTGTTGAACATAATTTTGAAAAGAATATTGACTACTCTATCATGAATACACGCAATGGTATAATTTGATATGAATATGTGCTTAATTAACTATATAAAAAACTTCTATCGCATTTTTTGCCACGATCATTAAGAGGCATGCTATTCTGTTACCCTTGTTACCGCAGTTCCCCGACGGGTGCCTCATTAAGCCACAAGAAATGAATGAAGTCATATAACTTTGCACTCACACTAACCTGCTCAAAGTTTGAAGTAAAAATATTAGAAATAATTCAAAAGTAAATATTATAAAATAATTGAAAGCATGAGACCTTATATGGAGTCGGATTCAATCTTCTCATGTGGTCAGGTCGCATTTGCTCAAGTTGCTTGATGCATCGCTCTCTTATCTCCTTTAAAGGTGGCAAGGTTTCTCCCTTTTTACCTTCATGAAATAATACAGCATTTATAGATGAGATGGTATATTTGCTTATGATGATATATTTCCATTTATAGGAGTTCCAGTTTCAAGTGGATAGGGGTTATCGTAGCAGGTTTATATTACAAGAAAATTTTTATAAAATTAAGTTGGTTAATAATATGTCATGAGATACCCTTAAAAATGTTAAAGCATGCATCCTTTATGTCCCCTAAGCAAACAAGTATAGGTAAAGTAAATACTAGGTTCTATTAGTATTTATCTCCATGATTGTCATTTCATTTAGTTCTTGCCTGAATTCCCTGCGCAGTAACACCTTAGAAGCTCCTCAACATGCTGTGGGACCACATATGCTCTCCTGGATTCTTGAAAGGGATGGCGGCACAGAATTCTTTCTCCCAACTATCATCAAATTTTTTTAAAAAAATATTTGAAAATTTCCACAGAACTGCCTCTTGTTCAACTAACAAGAAGATATTGCAAAACACTGAATCAAAAAATACCTTTGGAGAGGGTTCATTTTCCCCAGTCATTATGTCTACCAAAGGATAACCTTCTTTCCCATACAACCTATAAATTCGCTTCTTACATGGAATAGTGACCTTAAAAAGAAAAAGAACAAAAAAATAATACGATTATTATTGAATGCAATAGACGATTCCATTAACATATTCTGTCAAGTGTTCAAAAACCTTTGAGACATCTTCAGAAAGTTTGATACGAGGTTGCTTATTTATCTCAACCAGCTTGAAAACAACACCTAAAGCAGCTTGAGCGTAACATGTAACCAGGTGTGTCCCAATTCCATAGGCATCAATCTCGTGACCCTGCAGGGAAAAATGCAACCCGATAAAATAAAAGTAGGATATGAAACTAATTGCAATTGTTAAAATTGTCTTTTTGTCACTTAAATAACGCTAAGATGTTTTCTCTGTTGGCCTTAAAATCAAGGGTGAATGGTGATTATTTGCAGATTGAATACAGTTAACCGATTGGAGCTTGAATGCTTCATTGATTGGCTGAATATGTTTGATCAATTACAGCTAATTCATAAGCCATAAGCAGATCAAGCCAGCTGAATGTGAGGACCGGCATCTCAATCTTGGGACAAATTGACATTTTGGCAGCTAGCATTCATATTTTCATCATCACTTGTGATTCTTGAATTTTGCAAAGAGAATTTACCTGTTTGTTTAAAGCATCTAACGTTTCCTCATTAAGGTCATTACTAGCTGTGATACACATCTTTCCAAAACCGGACGATCCAAATTCCTTCTCAATGGAGCAAAAGAACTTCCTGACCTCACAAGACAGATATGAAAGATCGCCAGAATCCAGTCTAATTCCAATTGCTTTGTATCTGCACAGGATATCATCCAACTAAGCAATGCATAAGATCTTTAAAAAAGATGAAATGGTCTTTTCTTTTACTTTTAGGGACTGTGGATGCTAAGAGACTAGTTAATGCCAAAAGCCGTCATAATAACAATAACACAGATGAATGGCTCCTCAACATAAGAAACATTAGTGAAAAAAAGAAAGAAAGCAATTCACAGCAACAGAATAAGAAAAGAAAAATAATTATGTCCCTCTCAAACAAAATCAACTGTGAAAATTGACAAATAGCCATTTAAAACCTTCAATCAAGTTATGTAAACATAAAACTTCTTGACATACCCTAATTCACTGAGAGCTAATGCAACTGCACAAAAGTTCGGGATTCCACTTCTCATGACCTGTGAACAGATCCAAATGTGATTATACACGCAAAAATAGCTAAGCTAAACCAGAACTAGTTCACAAAAGACATATAATAGAGATAGGATAAACCAGATTTACCTACAACCATTGGACATTGCTGGTCAAACGGTTCTAAGATTATACATGTCTATTAGCAAGAAATATAGTTCCTAAGTAAATACTTACATCATAAGTGTCTACAAGGGCAAGAAAGTTATCAGGAATTGCCAATGCATATGATGTGAATGCTGCCAGCTCACTTTGATTGGTCTCAGTAAAAATGCTACGTAGTGCATTTGACAACTGCATAGGGACAACTCAATACAGATTATATACTGACAAATCCATTTTTGTTTGTAAAAGTGTTAAAACATAAATATATGCTAAAATAATGGTCATGTGAAGAAAGAGAAGAAAATGAGGAGGGAAGGAATAGATCTAAAAGGGATAAACAGGAAAGAGATGCTTAATCGACAAAAGATTCTAGGCTACAAATCTATAAAACTTAACATGTAACAATCATAACTTGATAATCACGGAAGTCCTAAGTGACTAACAAGCGAGTAAAAGGCCACCCTAATTTATTAAAAACACCTTAATAGCCCCAAAAAATATTAAGAATCCCAAAATTACAATAAATTCCCAATACAACATTCGATACACGTAATTATCCAAGTATTCATTTTTTTAATCCCGTTATTCATATCCGTTTGCTATAAGAACAAATGGCAATCATTTAGAACTTTGACATGAACTGAGGCCTCCAGCTTTCATGAGTTGACCAACTCGCTAGAACATCTGTGTACCTGCTATCAGGATGACACCAAACCAAATTGCCCTTGCCCAAAAGAAATTATGTAAGAACCACAATTTAAAAACCGATTAAGGATGTAAAGGATTAAATCATGACACCTGAATTTTTCTCAGCCATTTTTGAACTAAACAAACAAAATCTTCACATGTGCTTGAACCATCTTTTTTACGAAGCTTTTTGTTTATAATCTCGTCAAAGCTCTGCAAATCACGGTACGGACAAGGTACATATAAAAGTAAGCAAAGGAAATACATAAAAAATGAGTCAAGTCATAAAAAGCATAACAATACTAACAACATAAATCATATAAGGATATGAACATAAAAGATGTAAAGAAAAAAACTCTAGACTGAAATTCTATTATTATGATGAGAGGGGGTCTACTTCATAATTTCAAGGTTTCTTTTGTTCTAACCCAGAATTTATGGGATCTCTCTCTCTCTCCGTTTTTACAGACATGGTAATTGGAAATAATCAGAGAGTTTTATCCCCTAGGCATTTTACAAGATTAAACAGAATTGTTGCCCTTTTAACTGACATGGGGTTGTGTATTACAGATGAAGACAAGTAGAATTGGTTGGAATTATCTTCACCAACATCATCTGAATATGTCAAAAATTCAATGAAATGGTCACACACCGTATACGAGCTAACGAAGGCATGGGAATGAGTGCCACGAAGAGGAATGCCGAATAACCTTGCTGCTGCAACATTGCTATTGGTGTACCATACCAAAAGGTAAAATTATACAATAGGAAACATAAGTTATAAACAATTCACTAAACCTAAACAAATTGATAAAGAAGGAATGTCATGTTAACTTGATAATCGTGTCACAATAGAATGGTGATATGGTAATCAAGATAAGTTGGCAAACAATGTTTAAAGTTTGAACCACTTTGTACTAGTAGTCAGAACTAATACTTGCTAATGTTGCCATAGTAAAAAACTTACTCCACAAGAAAATCTCATTCATGAAAACAGCTAGATATACACATAATATGATGAATATTTCCTCCCTCTTACAGTGCGAACATATTAGAATTGAAGTTGTTTAATAGATAATACCTTGTTGCATCAAATCCTCCAATATAACAGTACTTTGATGCACCAACTCCACCATCAGGCCCCTACATTCAAAATAATATTCTTTTGATGAATATTGAGAAAAGAAAGCCTCTTAAATTTACTCATCAACATTTTTCCCCAGTAAGACTTAGAAACCTAACCTGAGCCCTTCGTAGTCCAAACTCAAGTAGAGTTTTTGATTTTCCAGCAACGAAACGATGCCTTGCAGCATTAGTTGAAACTAATGATGCAAAATTAATTAGATTGAGGAAAGGTGTTTCCAGCAATTGAACAACCTGAACAGTAGATAGTCAATTTAATGCAAGAAGTGGATAGTTGTTGAAAGAAATAAGAATTTAAAAGTGAAATAAAGAAAGATAGTATATAATGGTAGAAAGTACTCACAGCAATTGGACCTTCCACCCTCAAGAGGGGTACTGTAGGAAAAACAACTGATCCTTCGGGAATAGCATACACCTCAACATCAGAACAGTCAATTCCTCTAAGATAGTCAAGGAAGCCATCCTATGATTTAATAATCAATAAGTACCAAATCAAAATTTATTTTGAAGGGAGAAATCTATAGGAAAATTGTCAGTAGCACCAAACTTTGCACAAAATTACTGTAAACTAGATTATGAACCATTCTATTTTGGCATCAGACTGGGCTCCGTGCTGTTTATAATGAAACAGATAATAAAATTGTCCAACAACAGAGTTCTATGATTCTCTGTATCCATCATTTAACAGCTGCAATCTTATATATATATATGCTCTCTATCAACCTTGTTTTTGAAGAAATTTTATAGTAACTTGAATTCTTCACTCAAGTTTAAATCAGCCAGCAGATAATGAAACTAGAATGTCTTAGCAATAATGAAAATCAGAATGCAATTTACCTCACATGAAACAGACAAATTTTTCTTGATAAAATCAATGTTTTCCTCTGAGAGCTTGTAATTAGCAACGAACCGCACACACTCTTCCAATCCACCAAAGACTGTGTACTCCCCTCCAAAGGGATTCTTCCGAAAATACAAATCGAACCTGAAACACAATTATACTTACAACCAAATTTTATTATAAGTTAAACGGTTTTTCCAATAGACACACGTCAATAATTTATATATAATAAGTTTTTATTGAAAATTACAAAATATTATTAAATTCAATGCACTCATAACATTAAATACTGCAATTTCAATAAAAAAAAAATTCATTGATTTGTTATTATGTACACTTAGTCACACATTAAAAAAAGGGTACATTAAATACACTTCAGAAAATCAATTGCATCCATCCAAAGGAAAAATCAGGCATGATCAATATTCAATACTCACACAGCACGTTCTTTATGCTTGCCAGCTTTCCAGTAGGCATAAGCCATGGTGAATTGATATAGATCCGTGAGCAAAGGCGTCACCATCGGGTTCGTGGGTCCAGGAATGTCCCGACCCGAATTCTGCTTCTTGGACCCATTCGCTTTCATTGTTTGTGTTGTCTTGTTCTTCAAACTAAACTTTTGTATGTGTATGAGAAACAAAAGTCTCTACTGTGAAGCAGCATGCAAAAATAAAAAAAATAAAATATATATATATATATAGAGAGAGAGAGAGAAGACAAACAAAATAGGATTGGTTCCTTCGAATTTCTATTACATGTAAAACGTGAATGGTAGTTGTGTTGGAGAGACCTAGCTAGTTATAACTGAAAAACACGACGAAGGAAGAACATCAACCACCCAAAACAAACACAAGCAAAAGGGTTTCCTTTTCAAAATTTGTTTAACAAGTTCAAATTAGGGAATGATCTTTGCTTGCATTGCACTTTTGTTTATTGTTTATCCTTCTCTGGACTGCAACCTATTCCACACACGTGGCCGCTTCTCAACGTTCGTATTCGCCGATTCTGTCTCGTCTCATTTTAGCCATCCTTCACTCATTGCACCACATTCCACTTTGGTCATTGCTTTTCAATGCAAACGTTGCATGTTATCCACATCCTATCAAAAATGAAGGTTTTGCATTGTTCGTCGTTTTCGCTAATTTTTGTCACTAAAATTTTTATGGCAAGCTCCTCAACACGATACCATTATCATTATCGTTTGCTTATAGTAATCGAACTAGTTTCGTTAGCTGCAAGCGCTAAAAAATTTTATAACTTTTTTTAAAAGCAATCTTATTAAATTTATGTCGTAGTTTTTTACGTAAAAAAAGATATTAACTCGGTACTTAATTAATGTTTTATGATAGATTAGGAGTAAAGTTATTTAAATAAAAATAATAGTGTTTTATAAAAAAAAAGTAAACAAGATGAGAAGTGTAGATATAAAAATAAAAATAAAAATAGAGATTAAAGTATATTTATATCAAAGAATTAACATATGTAACCACTTCAAAAAACAATATAATATAATATTTATTATAAAAATGAGAAGCTTAAAAAACCGATGATTGAACGAGCCATCTTATCTTCTTTAAAAAGTTGAATCATATAACCGGCAGGTTGTGATGAGTAGACTGGTCAAACTAATCAAAGCATCGACAACCTTCCCAAATACTATGGTGGGCCCTTCTTTTTTAGTTTTGGGTCGAAATTACTAAGCCTCATGTCTTTAGATAGTCAGTCAAGGAAAGCCCAAGTGTTCTATGAAAGCTCAAACTATAATTATGGTGGGCCCTTCTTTCTTTGCAGGTGACTTAGATGCTTGACTTTGTGATAACCTGTTACTAGAAGAATGGAGCATTGTTTTTAGGATGGCTATCCCTAAATTTTGGCAAAAGAGAAATGGCTTTGTTTTTTAAGATAATAAGCATTCTATAGATGAAACTTTTTTTGTAATTAGGAATAAAATTAAGGAGGCTTCTAGTTGTTGTGCAATAAAAACTTTGACAAGGAAAACTGTTATAGACGGTAGCCATACTGAAATTAGATGGTGATATCCACCGGAGGAACGAGTCAAGCTGAATTGTGATGGGTCTCTCTATCCTCAGGCAAATCTTGCCCACATGTGAAGGTGTTCTTAGAGATCAATTGGGAGTTTTCTGCTTCGCGTATGCCTTTCAACTAGGTTCCTGCTTAATTCTTCATGCTGAGTTGTAAGGTATTTTGCATGGGTTAAATATTGCCATAAGAGGGGTTATAATTGTATTGTGATTGAAATTGACTCTCTTCTTGCTGTTAAGATCCTGGATAAAGGATGTCGTCCTTGTCAGCCTATGCACCCATGGTTACAAGGATTTGACGAAAAAAACATATATTATCTTTGAAATTATATTTTATTTATACTTATTTATCTTTGAATTATATTTAAAGAAATTTTATTAAAATTAATTAATTGTATTTAAAGAATTAATTTAGAACTTATAAAGTCACTCATATTAACTGCATTTAATTATTACTTTATATATTAATATTTGAAATGTAAAACTTACTGGTTGAAATTATATTTTATTCATATTTATTATTTATAAATTGTATTTAAAGAATCTTTATTAAATTTGATGAATTATATTTAAAAAAAATTTTATTAAAATTGATGGTTATATTATCTTACAAATGTCAAGGTAAATATTCATATTATAAATTATTTTAATACTATAAATTACTTTAAATTATCATTTATTAAAATTAACTATAACATTTTTTAAAATTTATGAATTAAAATTATATCTAAGTCATACTTATAAAATATATTTAAAAAAAATTTATTAGAATTTATGATTATATTATATACATTAAATTAAAAAATTACACTTATAATATTATTACTTTATATTATATATTATTAACTTAAAATTTTCATAAATTTTTTTACATATTTAAATTATTTTGTTAATTATTTTAATTTAATTTATATTTTAATATTTAATTCAAATATTAAAATATAATTTGAATAAAAAAATATATTTATAAAATTATTAGTTTATATTATATATTATTAAATTAAATTTTAATAAAAAGGTAATTTTATATATTTAAATTATTTTAATAATTAATTTAATATAATATATAGTTTAATATATATTTTAAAAATTAAAATATTTATAAAATTATTAGTTTATACTATAATTGTTAAATTACATTTCTAATAAAAAGATAAGTTTATATATTTAAATAATTTTATTAATTAGTTTAATATAATATACAGTTTAATATATATTTTAAAAATTAAAATATATGTTGAATGTGAATTATTATTTTATATCATATATTATATTATTAAAGTAAATTTTGAATGAAAAAAAATTATTATATTAATTTTTTATTTTTTAACTTTTTATATATTTTTAAGAAGTATTTTTTTTTACTTATATAAGTTATATTTACACAAAATAAGTTATATTTACACGAAATAATGGAGTTCCACAACACAGCACATGGATCAACCTTACTCTCAAAAGCCCTTCTTGCCTCTCCCATTCTTCCGGCATTTGCGTAACCAGATATCAAAGCTGACAGAGAGAAATCATCCACTCCCCTCACAAAACTCATAACACGAGCAGCACTATCCAAATCACCACATTTCCCATACAAATTAATCAGTGAGCTGCACAAGACCTTGTCAAGTTCTTCCAATCCCAGGCCGTCAATGAAAACACGTGCATGGACTTGTTTCCCACAGTTGAGAGCCAACAACTCAGCACAAGCGCCAAGAACAGTTGCCAACACAAAAGCATCCCGGTACACCATTTGCAAAGGGTCAGAATTCATGTTCTTGAATAGGAACAGTGCTTTCCTCGGATGCCCATGTCGGGAATAACCATGAATGATGGAATTCCAGACAAGGTGGTTCTTTGAGGGCATGGCATTGAAGAGAGAATGAGCTAGTTGAAGGTGACCACACTTGGCAAATGAAGAAACGACCATGTTCCAGGAGTAGTGAGTCTTGTGAGGCATGGCATGGAACAAGTGGAGGGACATGTGGGTGGCACCTGAGTTGAGGTAGGCTTGGATGAGTGTGTTCCATGAGAAAGCATTTGTGTGGGGCATTTCGTCGAACAAGTTGGACGCATCGTGGAGACAGCCGTGGCCTGAGTATAACTGGAGAAGCCGGTTCGCAATAGCGAGGGAGGAATTAAGAATACCAGTTTTAAGGAATGCCACGTGGAGGACCATGACTGAAACGTGCGGGCCACGCCATGTAATTCCATCGCTTCCCAACCATTCTCAATTCTTTGTTTATTTATATTCAACTCTATCAAAAATAAATAAATAAATATATATATATATATATATCAAAGTAAAACTTAAGTATTTATATAATTTAAAATTTCTCTAGAAAATTTGAATGTATTAATTTAATTATTAAATTTTTTATATTATTTGTGTGATATGTATATTATATTTTATATATTTTATATAATTATAAACATGTTGTCTAAAAATAAATATTTTTGCATATTTTATGAATATATATATATATATATATATATATATATATAAAAGAGGAGAAAAATAAAAAGAATAGAGAGAATTAGAATTATCACATGACTTGAGTCTTTTAAAAAATAAAATAATTAAAAGATTACATATATGCTAAGAAATATATCCGTGCATTGCACGGTTTGTCTTCTTTTTATTAAATTAATTTATTTTGAAATATAAAATATATTAATATAATAATAAAAATATTTTTGAAAATAAATTATTATTTAAAATATATATAATTAAGTATTTTTTTAGTATAAAACAAAATAACATACAAATATCTTATTTTTAAAATATATAAAAAATTATATTATTTCATATATCAAAATTATTTATTATTATAAAATTTAAAATAAATAATTATAACAATACATTATAAAATATAATGAATTTTTTAATATAAATATAAAATTTAAATAAAAGGCCTCATAATTTTTTATTTATATATTTGTTTATATTTATTAAATTAAAATTATATAATAAACTATCTATTTATAATTATAATTTAAAATTATTGATAAAATTTTACTATATAATTATTAAAACATGATATCATATTTTTTAAAAATAACTTATCAGACTAATGTATATAAAAATAAAGTATTTATTCAATTAATATATAAAATTCTAAAAATATATTTTAAATATTAATATATACAAAATTATATGTTAATATTTAAAAATAAAAGTATATTAAACTTTTTACATATAAATAAAATTACCATACAAATTGTAAATAAAAATTAATAATAACGTAATATATATATATATATATATATATATATATACTGAATTTAAAAGTTTATTTTTTAATTAAAAAAATATAGAATTAAGTTTTTTTTAAATGATTAAATTATTTTATATTTTTTATAACTTAATAGAATTAGTATTGATTGACATTATAAATAAATTAATTTTATTTAATAACTAATTAAATATAATAAAATTATGTTATTTAGGTCATAAAATTAAAATTATAAATTTATTAATCTTTTATATAATTGTTTTTAAATTTTTAAAAGTAATTAATACGGTTTGTTTATTATTTATCGTTTTAATTAAGAATTAATACAAGTAAATATATTTATAGACTAATTTAATGATGAAATAATATTTTAAAAAATTTATTAAAAGAATAAATATTAATTTAAATAAAATTTTAAAAATAAATTTAAAATATTATATAAAAGAAAATATATAGATTAAACTAAAAATAAGTAAAAAAATATATATTATTATTAAGTCTCTAATTATTTTAAAGATATATAAATATAACTTTAATATAAACATATTAAAATATTATATCGACATTAAAAAAAATAGATATATTTTAACTATTTTGACTCAGATATTAAATTAGAAATTTCATTTTTATTTTTAGGTATATTTTTTGTTTGTCTCTCTCATACATTAACTAATTTTATGAAAAGAAGTTAATATTCAGTTAACTTGATTTAATTTTTTTAAATTAAAAAATATATAATTTTAAGAATATAATATAATAAATAATTATATTAATAAAAAATATTTATATTAATTTCATATTTTTATGTATAATATCTGTATTTTGATTTATATCTTGTAAACTAATTGTAAATTCACAAAATGATTAAATTTTTTCCATTAGAAAGTACTTTTTTTTGCGTTTGTAATTGAATGCTATCATAAAAAATTTTAAAAACATTAAAATTTATATTCTAATATGAAAATTTTGAATAATCATATAGTTAGAATATAAAATTTTAATAAATAAATATAATTTGATATGTTAATATAAAAAATATTTTTATAATATTTTGAATACTAACTTTTATTTTTTTCAGATTTAAAGTCTCTCACTAGTTGTAAATATTTAAACTTCATACTCATAAAATTTTAAAATAAATGATATATATAGAAATTAAATATAACATTTGAACTTAATTTAGAGTTAAAACATTATATTTTCTTTACTTATTCATTCATTACGATATAAAATTATTAAATATGGAAATAGAACGGTTAAATCATATTTATTTTTATTGTTATGATATTTAATAATTTTAAATTATTTTAATTATTATAATTAATTAGTTTTAATTAGAGAATTTTAAATTTATCATCATCATTATAACATTTTATAAAAAAAAATATTGCAACAAAATCATTAAGTATAAATATTATTATTTTTAATTTAAAAAAATTAAAATTGTAATCATAATTATTATAATATAAAATATAAATAAAATATTGTCTATGTTAATAAGTTATACATAATTATGATATATTAATTCCTATTAAATTATTTTCTAAAAAATAGTAGAAGATGAGAAAAAAAAAGTAGTTAAAAAATTTTAATTAAGATTTAGGTAGAAACTAAAAGAGAATGATTATTATATTTAATATAAAAATTAATCTTTATATCAATTAAATTTACAGATGTTGATATAATATAAAATTTATAAATCACATATAAGATTTGTATAAGAACAAAGTCAATACATAATATACATAATAATAAAATACGAGAGATATATACAATAAAATAACAAAATTATTTTATAAAAGACTTAAATGTTTTGTGACATTTTACTTTTCAGATTCTATACAATATTAAAAATATTTATATAATATTGCAATAAAAATAGTTTAATCTTCTATCTATTCTATTTGTTGAACTAAATTCAAAACAATATCTCAACCCATTTATTTCTATCTACTTAGTTCTTTTTGTTTATCTCTTATCTCCAACACCTATTGTTGCCTCCTATAAGTAATTATTTATTGCTCTTCTCTCTTATCTCTGTTCAACACTTTATGAATACCAAAAGCAGAGTATAAAAGAGCCACTTATTTCACACCCCTATGCAATGCACCTCCTCCAGCCATCATTTGTAGCAACTGGTATTGCCCCCGACAAGTCCTTAATGTACACTATTGTCTCCGGTAAGCACTATAGACAACAACTAGTGCTGCATTTTTCTCTTTTTTTTTTTTTTGTAACGTGGCAAGTAAATAATCTTTAAATCCTTTAAGAGTTGGTGTTAGGATTAACCTCAAATAGAAATATTACCATCCAGCACAAGGAAATGACACTAATAGTTATGTTTGTAATTTTCGTGGTAAGGTCGCGAAAGGTGAAATTACTCGAGTTAAATAACACTTGATGGAGAAAAAAAATAATGTTACAACTTGTACCAAATGTCCAAAAGAGGTCAAAGAAGAATTGTGGAAATATTTGAAAGATAAGAAGAAACAAGATAGTGAAGCATTTCAAAAGATGCATAATGATTTTAATGAATTTGGTAATAGTGATGAAGAATGTGCTTTTGATGAAGGGTTTAGAGAAATAGTGTTTAATAATGCTAGTAGAAAGAAGAGTGCTTCTAAGGGCCCTATTAATCTTTATTTTAGAAGGCTAGAAACTACAATTGAGAAGAATAAAAAGGATAAACTAAGGCAAGCAAGCATAAGGGAAGCATGTGACAAGGAGGCAACTACAAGAGTTCATTAACACATTGGTTGATTTTTGTATCAAGTTGGCTTATCCTTCAACATGACTAAGTTGCAAAGCTTTCATGACATGCTTACAGCTATTGAAAGTTTTGGGCCAAATTTAAAAGCTCCTTCTTACCATAATATAAGAGTTTTATTTCTCAAAGAGTTGACATACATTAAAGATTTGTTGAAGGATCAAAAGGAGCAATGGAGAAGATTTGAATGCTTTATCATGTCTAATGCATGGAAAAATAAAAAAAACAAAGATCCTTAATCAACTTCTTAGTGAATTGTCCTCCAGACACTATGTTCATTAAATTTATTGATGCGTCAGATATTTTAAAGACTAGTAAAAAAAAATTGACTTGCTTGACTTTATTATTGAAAAAATTCAGAAAGAAAAGATTGTCCAAATAATAACGGACAATAGAAGCAATTATGTTCTTGCTGATAAGTTACCGTCTTTTAATTTTTATGTAGCTTATTTATTCTTATATTGCATTATTACTTTAATTTTTTATATTTCAACTCTTATGTGACTTTCGCTATTTATTCGCAACACTATCCATTTTATGTCATTGCAGTTTTTTATTTATTTTTAGATATTTTACAATCCACTGTTGATAACACTTGGTTTTGCTAAATATAAAGTCTTTTTTAAGTAAAAAAGATTGTCTCTTTTTAATGATACATGTGATTAAGATGAAAAAAAAAAACATATTATCAACTTTCAAATTTTTTGTAAATTTTTATGTTTACATTTATATAAACTCTTTTATTATCTTGTATAAATTTTTAAAATTTCTATAACTATTTATTATATAAAATTTATAATACTTAATATATTAATTTTATTAATTTAAAATTATTGTAATTTATTAAATTTTTATTGTTTTGATTCATATTATTTATGATTATAGAATTAAATTAAAATGAATTATTTAAAAATAAAATATTTCAAATAAATTTATTATATATTGTATATAAATTTATTTTAAAATAAAATACCTATTTATTGTACAGATTTCTAACTACTTTATGTCTGAATGCCTAATAAACTAATAATAAATTTTAAGAAATCGATTCTGTGAGTTTTGCATTTCTTTACGTAGGAATTCAACCATGGTAGACAATTTTCCTCTATTCTCCAAATTAATAATGCAATTACTATTTCCTGAATTAAACATGCCAAATTGTCTTTTTAAGACTGGACATGATATATTGGATATGTCAAAATTTAGAATGAAATTTATTATAATTCTATGGAAAATATACTAATCTTACTCGTTATAAGAAAGGTTTTACTCATCATATTCTTATTTTAGCGGCTTGATTTTTTTTAATGAACAAAATTATTAGTTTTTTTTTATTGCATTTATTATATATTAAGATAAGAGAATTAAGTCACTAAAAGAAAAATTATGTTTAAATAATAATATTTGCTGTTACAAAGTTAAAAAATATTATATATTCTTTCTAGATCAATAATTATTATTTATTTTATGTTTTAAACATTAGAGATTATTATTTTTTTAACTAAATCACTAATTTTACTGTTTATTAAAATAAAATTAATGGTAATAATTGTTATAAGTGTAAGGAAGGATACCAAATTTTTTTAATCATAAATGATATTATAAATTTTACCTTAAAAAAAAGAGTCTGAAAAGATTATAATAAAAAATAATAAAATATTGTATATATATCATGTAATGTGTGATAAATATTTAAATAATTTTGAAACACTGTTAAAATTGCACGTTCATGAAAATTAAAAAATAACAACAAAATATTATTAATAAAATTTGTTATATAATACATAGCATGTTTAAATTTACGTTTATATTAGAAAGAATCTCACATGCTGCAGAGTAGCTTCTATTTTGTAAACACAATTTTGGGCACTTTCTACTGCAATTCAAAACACGCATGGAAATAAATGTAGGGTTTAGAGGAAAGAAAAAGAGAAGATAGAGTGAGTGAGTTAAGGTTAGAAATTAGAACTTAGAAAGCAGGGAAAAGAAAAAGAAAGACATGTTTTGGTTTGGTTGTATTTGATTTCCATGTGAATGCGATGGCACCTATCCTTCTAACTCGCCCTCCTCTGCTTCGCTTCATGGCCTCTTGCTTCTTCACCGTCTCTTCCTTTCACCCTCATTCCTCTTCTCTTCTTTCCCCCCTCTCCAAACCCAGGTTTAACTTCGCTTTCCGCTTCCTTTTTCCCCTTTTCTTCTCTATAAATTGCTACCCCTTTTATATTTCATACTTTCCAATGATTAAATTATAACAAAGTTCGGAACTTATAATAAAATGGATGGTTTTTTTGGACCGGTTATTTTTTTTTTTTCTCTATTGAACCATAGCTAGAAGGGTTGTTTGTTTGTCTTCATTTGTAATTTTTTTTTTGTTTTGGGTTTTCTCAGGATAAGCTTTCCTCTCAGAAAATTGTGGATTCCACGTTCGGTACATAATGCAGTCACTCCGAGGGCGTTTATGTCTTCTGCCTCGACAGCTGAAGCCTTTCAGAAAAATGAAAGTTCCAAAGCTTATGGTTCTGATCAAATTCAGGCAATTTCGGGTTGTTTTTTTTTATTGTATACACGATATGATGAAACCAATTGTTGAATGTAGATTGGATGTTGTAACTGTTTTTGTGCTAAAGAATTTTATGAGTGCTGTGTGTTTAAAATTATCTTTGGTATATTTCTTGTCAGTGCCTTTAGTTTATTGCTTTGTCAAATATACTTTGGAAGGTTGCAGCCTTTTTTCTTCAATGGTTGTTTAATACATGTAGGTGCTTGAAGGATTGGACCCTGTAAGAAAAAGGCCTGGAATGCATATTGGAAGCACTGGCCCACGTGGGTTGCACCATTTGGTATCGTCTTCTAATTTCATTTTTACAGACTTTTTTGATATTTTAATTTTTGTTCTGGGAATTTTCTAATTGATGCAGAGATTATTTGGTATCTTAGGTGTATGAAATTTTGGATAATGCTGTTGACGAAGCTCAAGCTGGATTTGCTTCCAAGATAGATGTTATTTTACTTGCAGATGATTCTGTGAGCATCACGGACAATGGTCGTGGGGTATGCTTTGCTGTCTAAATTTCTTTATGGGTAGATTGTGCTTAGTATGTATCTATTATGTAATGTTAATTTGAAGTGTTTGAACTCTTTCCTTTTAGATGTAAAATTTAGAACCAAAAAAGACTGAGTTGTGCACCGTATAATGGTACTGCTATATTTTTTAATGTAACCAGTAACTATTTTCTAACTTCCCTAGTTTTGTGGAGTTAAATATTGTATATGACCAGCTGCTTGACAATGCTAGCAATTGTTCTTATATGGATGAGTATAATTTGCCATCTATCATGATTTTTAGCTGTTAATGCTTGTACTAAACTACTATTCATCACTGTTTATTTACAATCGTTTGCCTTAATTTGATTACATATACTAATTTATCTCGTGGAATGCAGATTCCTACTGACTTGCATCCAGTTACAAATAAATGTGCCTTGGAGACAGTGTTGACGGTATTGTTACACATACTTGATTAATAAGTCTAGATAATTGCTATATATACGCTTTAAGCATTTTCAGAAGTCTATGTTGCATGTATCTTTAGATACCATGAAATTCAAATCCACTTGAGTCTGTTATACCATTTTATCAGAAAACTAAATTATGGTTTTAGTGTAAGGAAATGCATTCTTTTAGTTCCACAAATATGAATTTTCACTTTTGAAAAGATTGGAATTTGGCCCTTATGCTGTAACACAATTTTACCCATCATTTGGAGTTCATTTTTAATTTATACTCAATCTTTTCTGTATATTTTTTTAGTTGGATAATGCTGTAATGATTGTTTGCTGTTATGAACATTGCAGGTCTTGCATGCCGGTGGAAAATTTGGTGGTGCCAATAGTGGTTACTCTGCTTCAGGTGGTTTACATGGCGTTGGTTTGTCTGTTGTTAATGCATTATCTGAGGTTAGATACGTCTTCTTTGACAAATTTTTCCTATTTTTTAAGTTGAGCTTTTACAGTGCATATTTGAAAGCATTGGATGAAGAATTTGAAATGGGTATTGATGTTATGGATCTAATTTCAACTCATCATTGCACCTTCTTTGTCCTAGATTTAAATATTAACTAAACATACAAGCACCTCTATATTTCCTTTTTAGTCTGAGGTTGTTAGTTCTGGTTAGTTATCAGTGTTATCTGAAGATCCTATTTGCTATCTTACTTCACAGTCATTAGAGGTAACAGTTTGGCGTGATGGAATGGAATACATGCAAACATATTCTCGTGGAAAACCAGTGACAATTCTGAAATGCCTTGTGCTTCCAGATGAAAAGAAAGATCTTCAAGGCACACGTATCAGATTTTGGCCTGACAAAGAAGGTTCATATATTTATTTGATCATGCATTTCTGGTTATGTTTTTTCTTGTTTACTGCAAACTTCAGTCTAATGCATGCTTTACTTTTTATCTCAACTTAACATGCAGTATTCACCACTGCTATTCAGTTTGATTACAATACAATAGCTGGATGCATTAGGGAGTTAGCTTTCCTCAACCCAAAGGTGAGGTTATTGATTTAAGTAACGTCCATTTGTGATGTTTCATTCAACATTTATTTTTCTTATTAGAAATGGTCTTAAATGTGGATAATTTATCATGACATTTATTCATGAACATTGTGTCTTTGAACCTTCTAGGGTTTTAATTTCATATTACCTTACTCAAATCCAAAAAACACCATCTTTTGCTTGTTAGAAAACTGCCAATGCCACCTGCCCTTTTCTTGTCAATATCTTGGCTGACTGTTGTTTGTGTGTGTAAATTTGTCGGGTTACTCTAATAGATGAAAAAAACTATAAGATTTTATGCTGTACAATTTAGTATAGTTGAAAGATGAAAGAAGTTAGGATATAGAATTAAAAAACATCTTTTGTTAGGAACTGAGTATTCGATTGAAATTATAGGGCTCACACAGGGAGGATCCCTGGAATTACAAGCTGCTATAATAGAAAAAAACAGAGCCAAGGAACTATAACAATGGAAAACCGAATACAGCAATTAACTAAAGACCCTCCCACTGCATCAACCACCACCCAATGACCTCCCAGCCAAAAATCCTCCTTTGTCATCTATTCATTCTCCTTATATTTCCCCCGTACCTCCCTTGCCACCTATGCTAATTTTGTTAGTCAGTTAGAATCTCGCATAACGGCTTCTTGATCCACCCTTCCCATTTTACCCTTTCTCTTTTGATATGTCTTGAGTGGAGGCCCAGTTGGCCTAGACCCAACATCTTTTCTTTGATGAGTTTTATAATATGAAAGTAAAGATGCTTTGTAATTGATCGGAGTTCAAGCTTGAGTGTGTAAATTAGGTTTAGTATTAGATGGTTAGTTTTTGTTGATCTTTTGGCACACCTAAAAAGTAAGACTGAGCTGCCCAAAGTATTTGTCCCTCATTTAACCACGTATAAATCAAAGACTTCTCAAAGAGCAATTTTCTATCTACTTTGCATCTTACCATGAATTTTCTTGACCTTTGCAGCTTACTATCACACTTTGGAAAGAGGACAATGATCCAGAAAAAGTTGAATATAATGAATATTTCTATGCTGGGGGGTTGGTTGAATATGTGAAATGGCTTAACACTGATAAGGTCGTGTGCTTTTAACCTTTATGCTTGTAATGCATAGGTAATGTCATATATTTTTACTTGTGTTTGTTTGCTTTTGTAAGATATCTTATCCTTCTCCATTCTTCTTTCTTCAATTATAAAATAAGTTTTTTATGCTTGTTTTCATCACATTATATGCTTATATTTTTCTATGAAATATCAATTGTGTTGCTTTTAGTTTTTACTGCACAACTCATTTAAGTTCACAACCGTAAACACTTCCTCACTTAGTCACATGACATTTATTTAGAATAACAAAAGTTTTAAGTGGTACCATTTGGATTCAGGTTTGCAACAAAAAAAGTTGTGTAAGTTGTATTACTACTGTTTTGGAGTAATGGCTGCGATGCTATTTACACAACTTGTTGAATCACAATTGAACTCACCCCTGCACTGGGGCCATTAGATCTCCTTAGTTTGGTAGTCAAATGAAACCTATGCAGGACAACCCAATGGCCTGGACAGGGTTGTCTTCGCATTTTTTAGTCAGTTCAGTTATGTGGATAGCATTAAGTCTACTACTTGTACTGCATGGGCATTAATAACTCTTGCATGATGTCTGATGGGGCTGACGACTGAAGACTTGTAGGAAATATGGTTAAGTAGAGCTGGAAGGCAAAACAGTTAGAGTAGTAGTTAGTTACAGAATTAGTTGGCTAGTTAACTTAAGTGGTAGGAGGGCAGACGATTTGAAGAATATTTGTTAGTTTTGGAGAACAGTAGCATTAGGCATTAGCTCAATTGTGAAAGGGACATTCCTTTGTGAAGGGGAAACCCTTGAAGGAGAGATCTATCCCCGGGTTTTGTGCATTTTCAATCAAGCAATACAATATTCTTTTTCTTTCTCTATATTCTATTCTGGGTTCATAACAATCTCTTTTAAAATTGTGAGTTTCTTTTTCTACAGTTGGGTGTTTTCCCATTGCTTGTAAGTGATGTTCCCTGTTAGCCTTATAAGAATGGTTGAAATTTGTGACATGATTTTGTCAGTGTTGATTTTCTTTATCAAAAAATGGTTCATTGCTTCAATTTTTTTCCTTTTAATGGAAAACTGCTTATTATGTAGTTCATTTGGATTTGAAAGTAACTTTAAAGTGGTTATTGATTAGTGACGACCTGTTCCAGAAAGCTCTGCTTGATGTGCTGAGTTTTAGAAAAGAAACAGATGGCATCACAATTGATATAGCTTTTCAGTGGTGAGCCCTCCAATGCCAATTGATACAGCTCTGTTCTGTTTGCTAGATACATTTCATCTAGTGTGTCTGGATTCATTTGTGTGTATTTGGAAGTTGAATCCTAATGAGTATAAGTAAGAATTAACTTGTGAAGTTATGGGGTGGTAGCCTTTTATATCTTGTAAATATTGAAGCTCAAAATGAACAATAGATTGTATCATTTTCTGTATAATATTGTTGATATCTATTCATAATTCCTTTTATTAGTATGAAATTCATTTAATTTCTTCTTTACTAGGTGTGAAGATGCATATTCAGATACAGTACTGGGATATGCTAATAGCATATGCACTATTGATGGTGGCACTCATATCGATGGTATGAATGCTTCTATAACAAGAACATTGAATAGTCTTGGAAATAAGTCCAACGTTATCAAGGTATTAGTCAACTGTGTTTTTTATCTTCTTTATTTTCCCTGTTGTTAACTTCTGCGCATCTACTTTCCTGAAATATAGAACTTGTAGTTAAAAATTTGTTGCTTTGATATTCTCCGCGACTAAATATACTAACCCTGCAACTACATTATTTTACCCTTAACTTTGAGTGCACTACAGGTCTACAGGTAAGTAATTTCTCAAAATACTAAACCACTTTTCTAGTTATGTATTGCATGCTTAGCAGAACTGGAACTTTTGTACATGTCTGTTAAATGTGGTAATTGAAAAATAGCAAATGTCTCCCTTGTCTAAATGGATTATTTTATGAATGGTTTAAAGTGGATCATTTTCGTTGTTGAGTAGCATTTCTGTTATTTGCAGGATAAGGATATTACTCTAAGTGGTGAGCATGTAAGAGAGGGTCTAACATGTGTTGTCTCAGTCAAGGTCTCAAATCCAGAGTTTGAAGGACAAACAAAGTTACTGCATAGTGCATACTTTATGATTGTGTTATTTGATGCAATGCTTATATTCTTGCAATATTGGGGTTTTTGGAATATTGAGGTTCACCCTTGATTTTCTTTCCCTGCACTTCATGGCTCTGCTTTAAGTTTTTACTTACCATTCTCTCTGCTGTGAAAAGACAAGGTTAGGAAAAGGAAATCCAGAGGTGCAAAAAGTGGTTGATCAATCTATTCATGACTACCTTACTGAGTATTTGGAATTGCATCCAGATGTTCTTGATTCTGTACTTTCTAAAGCTCTTAATGCTTTCAAGGTAGTCATCTCTTTTTCAAGTTTACAATTCTGTATTTTAATCCCTATTGCTTAGGTTAACCAAAAAGCTTTCCTCTTATGAAATTTATGGTCTAATTAGGCAGCTTTGGCAGCAAAAAGAGCAACGGAATTGGTGAGACAAAAGAGTGTATTAAGATCTTCATCTCTTCCAGGAAAACTAGCTGATTGTTCGTCCACAAATCCTGAAGATTGTGGTATAAATAAGCAAAGAATTGAGAATGGTTGGGAAGCGCAGAGAAAGAGGATGGAATTGCATGGCCTAGCTCGCACATTTCAGTCATAGTCCTCCATTTGTGAAGGGAGACAACTCCACGTGGCATTCCTTAAAACTGGTATTCTTAATTCCTCCCTCGCTATTGCGAACCGGCTTCTCCAGTTATACTCAGGCCACGGCTGTCTCCACGATGTGTCCAACTTGTTTGATGAAATGCCCCACACAAATGCTTTCTCATGGAACACACTCATCCAAGCTTACCTCAACTCAGGTGCCACCCACATGTCCCTCCACTTGTTCCATGCCATGCCTCACAAGACTCACTACTCCTGGAACATGGTCGTTTCTTCATTTGCCAAGTGTGGTCACCTTCAACTAGCTCATTCTCTCTTCAATGCCATGCCCTCAAAGAACCACCTTGTCTGGAATTCCATCATTCATGGTTATTCCCGACATGGGCATCCGAGGAAAGCACTGTTCCTATTCAAGAACATGAATTCTGACCCCTTGCAAATGGTGTACCGGGATGCTTTTGTGTTGACAACTGTTCTTGGCGCTTGTGCTGAGTTATTGGCTCTCAACTGTGGGAAACAAGTCCATGCACGTGTTTTCATTGATGGCCTGGGATTGGAAGAACTTGACAAGGTCTTGTGCAGCTCACTGATTAATTTGTCTGGGAAATGTGGTGATTTGGATAGTGCTGCTCGTGTTATGAGTTTTGTGAGGGGAGTGGATGATTTCTCTTTGTCAGCTTTGATATCTGGTTACGCAAATGCCGGAAGAATGGGAGAGGCAAGAAGGGCTTTTGAGAGTAAGGTTGATCCATGTGCTGTGTTGTGGAACTCCATTATTTCGGGTTATGTATCCAATGGTGAGGAAATAGAAGCCTTGGTTCTTTTCAATAGAATGCACAGGAATGGAGTTTGGGGAGATATCTCTGCCGTTGTTAACATTTTGAGTGCAAGTAGTAGCTTACTTCTTATTGAACTTGTTCAGCAAATGCATGCCTTTGCTTGTAGAGCTGGGGTAATTCATGATATAGTGGTTGGTGGTGCTCTACTTGATGCCTACTCCAAGTGTCAAAGCCATTATGAAGCTTGCAAGTTGTTCAGTGAGCTCAAAGCTTATGATATAATGTTGCTTAATACTATGATCACTGTGTATTCTAATTGTGGAAGAATCGAAGATGCAAAACAGATTTTTAACACAATGTCTAGTAAAACCTTAATTTCATGGAATTCAATCCTAGTTGGCCTGACTCAGAATGCGTGTCCAAGTGAAGCATTAGATATTTTTTGTCAGATGAATAAGCTGGACTTGAAAATGGACAAGTTTAGCTTTTCCAGTGTTGTCAGTGCTTGTGCCAGCAAATCATTCCTTGAGCTTGGTGAGCAGGTCTTTGGTAAAGCTATTACCCTTGGGCTTGAATCTGACCGGATAATTTCTACTTCCCTTGTTGATTTTTATTGTAAATGTGGTTTTGTTGAGATAGGGCGTAAAGTTTTTGATGGAATGATGAAATCTGATGAAGTTTCATGGAATACAATGTTGATGGGATATGCCACAAATGGATATGGTTTTGAAGCATTGACACTCTTTAGCGAAATGAGGTGCAGTGGTGTGAGGCCTTCTGCTGTTACTTTTACTGCAGTTCTTTCAGCCTGTGATCATAGTGGTCTGGTTGAAGAGGGAAGAAATTTGTTCCAAAATATGAAGCATAACTATAATATAACTCTGGGGATTGAACATTACTCTTGTATGGTTGACCTTTTTGCACGAGCTGGTTGCTTTGAGGAAGCAATGAATCTTATTGAAGAGATGCCTTTTCAGGCTGATGCAAACATGTGGCTGTCAGTACTGCGAGGCTGCATAGCCCATGGAAACAAGAGCATTGGCAAGATGGCTGCAGAGAAAATTATTCAGCTTGATCCTGAAAATCCAGGTGCTTATATACAATTATCTAACATTCTTGCATCTACTGAGGACTGGGAAGAATCAGCACAAGTAAGAGAGTTGATGAGAGGTAAGCATGTTCAGAAGATTCCTGGTTGCAGTTGGGCCGATTGTTGAATGAGAAACTCTGCTAACACTGTTGTATGGAGCTCAATCCGAGGGTGGACAACTCCTGATTGAAATAAGCTTGAAACCACTATTAGTTTCCTGGACTCTTGGGCTGTTTGTAGCTTTGACTGATTTCAAGAGAATGAACAGCTCAAAAGTACATGGCTTGAGTTTAATTGAGTCTGTTTTTCACTAACAGTGTTGTGAATGATCTAGCAGAAGGCTGGGGCCTGGGAGCACAACATTTTACTCAAACACGTAATGCCTTGAGTGTTGAACTGTTAACTGCCTAAAATTGGAAAAAGAAATTGGCACTTAGATGTCATATTCTTTTGGTCATGTGACATAAATATAACCAGCAAACAAAGAATGTAACGCTGTTACACCGTTGGCCTGAGTTTAGTGCTTGTATGGAGCTCAATTCCAAGGTTCATTTTATGTAGTCAAGAAAACTTGCAGTTGTTGGATACATTATCTCAACTGAATTTGATATTGATGGGAGAGGAAATGTGTCATATGATTGTACCATAGCAATCTTCTTCCTATGCTAAGACTAAGAGCACTGCCCAGTTGTGATTTGGGTGTAAATTTGGAGCACAACTAATATTAGTGAACGTTGGTCTTTGCAGATTGTTGCAAATATTACAGGAAATTGCGTTGGGGTGCAGAAAACTATCTGGTTGGAGCAAAGCCTCTGATCTGACTTACAACGCATATTTGGAATTATATGCAAATGCTGGTTCCTTTCATTTGCTACTGCTATCTATTGTATGCAGAAGTTTCGGGATGTTAAGCCTCCGTAAAAGTTGCATCAGGAGTTGGAACGAAATACTGAAGTTGAGGAACCAGGGTAAAACTTTCTTATTTGAAATTGCACATGATTGCTATAATTTTGTTCTCAATTTTTTTGTTTCCTATTGGAAGGCTTGTACATTGATATGGCACAAGAATAATAACTGAGGCTAATAACCTACCGGTTGCAATACTTTTTTTTCGTCCTATGAGAGGATGGAATTGGCTTCCTGCTTGATCAGTGGTATTATTTCTTCACTTGTGTTTGTTGGCACGACAAAATCTTGTACATTTGGCTGGAGCGTTGGGAATTGAGGTAAATTTCATTATTCCCACACATGGGATGCTATTAGAAAATCTCATTGTTGGCAACTGACGTGAGGCAATATGTGTATTGTACTTCAATTGTAGTTTAACCAGAAGACTAATATACTCGCAAAAATGTTGCAAATATTGGTTGTCTTAGAGCTACACAGGATTAGGATGGTTCAGTTGAGTGCTCACAGAAACTTTACTATTGTATACAAATAAACCTAATCCAATAGGGGTTGACACCAATGTTAGATAGGTTGACTTAACTATAATAAGAAGGTTGCTGTATTGTCTTGATTGTCGAAAAAAAGCATTTATTTTACTTTACTGGCTTATTGTTATATGAAGGAATTTGGATCCTCTTATATTCTCTTCCATGTTGTAGGATACAAAAGACAAACAATTATACTAAAACTCCGTGTTATTTGTATAAAGATCCAAACCCATCACTAGGTATCGATTTTTATGCAATTTTGTTTTACTTAGTAATTAATTTTGAATTGAAATAAGAAACATCAAGAAAGCAAATGTGAAGTGTTTCGTAACAAAATTACAATGGGCCAGAAACAAATGAGGTGTTTTGGATTTGCACTTGAGAGGGTCAAACCGATCTTTGCAAGAGAAGGTTTTGCAATTTTTTTTCAACACGTTTGATTTTCCTTTTTAAACGAGACTTTTACTTTAAAATGAATTTAGTATGAATCTCTCTCCCTCCTACTATGTAAATGACTATCTACACCTCCCACTATTAGCAGTGGACTATTGGGTGTGTGGATCGCTTCTTTCTAAATCGATCTCGTTGAACTCCATGTTGCAGGTTTCCGATCCTGTCCACAAATTAGCCAATAAGCTTACTAGTTTTTTTTTCCTTGTAACTATTTATTTCACTGGTTAACTTGAATGATCTGCAAGCTTATCTAGTTACTTGGTATTGTTAACATATACTAAGTATTATGTTTAACACTTGCATAATTCTGCATCAAATGTGATCCATTTAAACGCTACAAATTATAACTTTTACCCTAAAATTACAATTTAACGTGATATTATCATTTTTAAACATGCTCTAACGTAAGAATGCCATGGCAGGCACCTTCCAAACAATCAGAATCTGGTTTTCTTGGAAGCAATAAAGCTGGGCGGTGCAGTACTTGACAGCAGCACTCAATATGCTCCGTCATTTTCCCACTTTCTACCAAATATTGAGTAAAGCACTAAAATCTATGAAAGTAATTACGTATGGGACAAAATACAAGTCTTCAATGCCAGCATCCCCGAGCCAGCCTTCGTTATACATACAATGTTGCGTGCGCTTCACAAAATGACGCTCAAAACCTACAACGCTTTCTTTTATGCATTAAAAATTTATTAAAATTCATACATTTAATCTATTAATAAATAAATTATTATAATCTTTAATAAAATTTTCTATTTATTTTTTTTAATTACGTGATCTTAAATACATAATAGAAAAACCAAACCTAGAAATAGGCGACCAGTATTATCGTAAGTTGAAATCATGATGGAAGATTTTACAGTAGTTATATACTTCGTACAACAATTGCAGTTCTCACTGCATACATTACAGATATGTCAGGTAGGGCAGTGACTTTTTAAGAACACTACAAAATGCTTAAGGGGTTTCCTGCTTTTATGAGGAAAATTCAAAAAGCATTGGAAGACTGGCAAAGGCAAACTACAAAATTCTGACTTTTTTTTTTGGGGAGGGGGGTCTTGGAGTTGCCATTGCGGGCACTTTTTCCCCTCTGCAGTCTGGTGAAAAGCTTTTTAAAGACATGTTTGTTTCCATGCATGAACATAGATATCAAATATGGTTTCTTAAGCATCATGTACCTACCAATTACCTACTTAACTGTGATGTAAGAACAATGTTGGGCTCGCTGTTTCTTCCGGCAATGCATGTTTGCAAAGAGTTGTTGTCCTTTAGTTCACATGTTTGCGTGTCAAAAGAGAGTGATGCTGTCGTGCCTGACTTGAATTCTTCCACAGCTGGGATTTGGAAGAAAACATGAGATTATAGTAATGGATAGTTCTTAATTACATTGAATTGTACAAGAGAAACACGGGCACCTTGAGAACCACCTAAGGTATTGGTGTCTGAATGGATAACACTCGATTGCCGGTGCTGCAATATGCCTTCCCCTCGCATCTGCTTTACCATTTGAAGGGGAAAACGTGTATCAAACAATCACTAGTATTTTACATACTTTTAACTAGATCACATGACATTAAACGGGTTGAGTTACCTCAGAAGACCCTCTGGGTTGAAGGGGTTTTATATGCTGTGGAATGTGGGGTTCTATACCAAAAGAAGTTTCTGAGTTGTTAATGTATGAAGGATAGGGTGCTGATGGCTGATTTGGCACAGTGTGTTTGTTAGGCAGATTGGATGCATAGTGCAAGGGGTTCTCTTGGTGCAGAGGCAGAGTAGCTGTCATGTTTAAAGGGGTAGACCTGTTTCTTTCACTTAACTCCAAACTCATCTGAGACAACTGCAGAGTCTGCAAGCCTTCAGGAAAACACATTGGATGCAAACTCAATCCATTTCTCATTGACAGCATCTGAAATACCATCATAAAGGTCACACGTAGTTCAAGACTCCACTACCTTCAAAAGCCAATTCTATATTATATCGAACGAAAGTATAATATTATTATATTGATAAGAATCATGAGCTTTTGAGTTCAGACAAATGTAACATAATATTAGAACCAAACCCCTTAGAGCATGCTTTGAAGGGCCATAAGGTATCATTGCTTATGAGAGAGATTATTTTAAAACTCAAATGTCTATGCTGTTCTTTATCATAGTGAACCTAATCAAGATTTAGATTAATTATTTAACTAAGAATTAATTAGTTGTAATATCAATTTAGATCATAGATTTCCTTTTATTCAGAGCAACTAAAGGCTTCCCTTGTTAGTTAGTTATTGTAAACTTCACAGATATCAAATCAACCCATAAGATCAAACTCTGCAATAGGCAAATAGGAGTCATTTTATATTCTGCTAATTCTCGTTGTTATCATTCGTTAAAAATATCGGCATCAAAATTCAATATACAAGTCAATTCCAACAGACCTGCCACCTACATAAACATGCAAATAGCAATAATAAGAAACTACTGGTGAATTCACTGGATTATCATAGAAGCACAGATAAACAATGGCATCTCAAATGTTAATAATACTTTGGATACCTAAACTTGTTATAATTTTGTTGTGCTCCGACATAAATGGTAGCAGTTTATGCATTCAAGTAGAATACCATTTACATTTCACGTGCAGACAATTCCAGCTAGGATTTTCTCAAATTTTCCTATATTATGCAGTTTCCCATGCATATACTGTTCACATAAAAATTAATTGCAGACAACTAGAACATTAAAATTCACAAACTAACAACTTAATGTAAATTGCATAAGTTAGAAAGTACAGAAGAAAATGAAGCTTCCAGCCTCCCAAATAGGACAAAAAATGCAGCGTATAAAAGAGATACAGACCTGTACTTGGAGCTGAAGCTGTTTCAGGTATTCAATAGCTTCATCGAGCATCGAAGCCTTATCAGTCTGCCACACCCATAAAACAAAGTAACACTCAAAAGACTAATTAATAATCATAAACTGTATCGGTTAATCTTAAGTACCTTGTTAGAATTTGGAATTAGATTTTGCAAAGCCTTCATTTTCTCGTTAATCCTACTCCTTCTTCGCTGCTCAACAAGTCCCAGGCCAGAGCAAAAAGCCACAAGGAAAATTGCACAAGCATGAATAAATCAAAATCAAACCCAAGTCCGATAAACTGCCATCAACAAAAATCCACAAACCTTCTCAGACAAATTATGAACTTCTGCAGCTCTTGATCTTTTAGATGAACTCCTAGAAGGAATAGGCTTTGTTGGAACTTCTTCAGCGAAAGCTTCAACGCCCTCCTACATTCGGAAATTGTTAGGCAATTGTACTTCAAAATTATATATAGAAAAAATCACAGTTTTCATTTTTTACACCTCAAACCCCAACCAAAGCAACAAATTCACCCCAATTATTTTACCCCGATCAGAAGGTTTTACAAAGATCCGGACTAAAGACAAACCAGGAATCAAAGTTTTATTTTGTTAATTTTTTTCCACACCCCTTGTTATCAATATTATCATCAACCACAGACCTAACCATATTACCCCAAAAATAAGTTACATATGTTGGTGTTAAAAACTTAGAAGATAGAAGCCATTCCAAGGTATTAAGCTAACAATGTAAAACTGGGAACCTACAGTATTATGATCATGATAACAAAAAAAAATTGGAGAGAAGCAAAACATGGCATCTTATATTATCTTCGTTGTCAAACTTGAGCACAGCAAAACTACAAAGAAAGCCACAAACTTGAACAGTAGAGGAGAGACAATAGGGTGGTACAATACCTCACTTTCACAATCATAGTCATCATTCTCGTTCTCGCTAACTCCAACAGAAGAAGAAGACACATTTGCAGCAGAACCACCCTGACCCTTGATGGAGCTGCAAGTACCTGAAGCCGAGACAAAAGATGCGGTCACTGCAGCAGCGGAATCAAGGGGTGAGATCTTCCCATCATGAAGCGGTGAAGATATGAGATAAGGGTGTGCATTGATGGTGTTTTGCTGAGAAGCGTTGTGGTTGCAGGATCCAGGGATGGGGTGAGAAGAAGAAGACGAACGGAGGAGAATCTGACGCAGAAAAAGTGAGATTTCATCTTGAGAAGAGGAAGAAGAGAGGTTTTTGTCAAAATGGTACATGTCACCCATTCCTACACCTGAGAGGGTGGTGAAGAAAAATGCGAGTGGATTTTGGTTGAGAGTTAGAAGAAAGTTGGTTGCAGAAATGAAAGTATTGGTTGGGGTGGTGTAGAGAGGCAAAGTAATGGTAATGCAACTACTTTCAGAAACCAATGGAAATGGAAAAGGAAGGACATGATATGGGGAATTGTGGGCGGGTTTTGGATCAGAATTATGTTATGCTATCTATTGCTTATGCCCACGCGCCATAACTTCTAAGGATGTTTCACTTTCCACTTGTATTAAAAAAAATAACTATATTATTAACCTTAACCACTACAAATACGAGGCCTCTTGTTGCTGTTAATGTTTCTGTTCCTGTTACTGTTCTTGTTCCTGTTAATGCTGTGTCAGTCAAGTGGAGTGCAACTGTGCATGTCCCGTGCTTGCACGCTCCACTACGTGTGCCAGTGCCACGTGACGCTCATTATCATTTTTTCTACTATTCTTTTTTCACTTATTAAAATGCCTCGTCTCTTGTTCCGCTTTCACTTCTTCAATTTCGCTCCATTCATAAATATTTAGTTAATAGTTTATATACATATTTTTTCATTAAATTAATTTATAATTCGGAAAATTTTAATTTATCATAAAAATAAATTACAATCCTTGAATAATTAAAGTCATGCTGAAAGTATATTGATAGTATTTTTTCAAACCAAGTAACAGTATAGCTTACTCTATTTCTATAAAGAATGTGTAGTCTTGTGACACATGTTTTTCCAGCATTTTTTTTATCTACTAATTGAATGTTTAATGAATGACATGTATACCGATGGGAGCAGAGTCCGTAGACCGTAGTATATCAACCTCTGTCAGACCCTATGACTCATCGGAAGAGTATATTTGTTATTTGATGCTTCTCTTCTTATTTCCCTTATTGAAGTCCACAGCTGAATGATTTTGATGAGACAACTCTCTGCGATTAAGAAAGCAGTATACAAGTTTGATGAGGTCCGTAAAATGTTGCTGTGGCATGAAGGTCAATGGTGGTGAAAAACAGTATATCTTTTAAGACATTTCAATATTCAATATTTGTATTAGCGAAATATCGAACATTAATCTTTTGCAATTAAATTTTCATACAAATATAAGCATTTATCCTTTATATATATATATATATATATATATATATATAAGTTATTGAATGATTACTGCAGAAATGCTATCGAGTCCCAAAATAACAATGATGCAGAGTATATGAATTTAAATGATATAAGTGCACTTGTATTGTTGCTATATCGCCGCTAATACTGTAAAGTTCATATTGGTTATATAAATAATAATAATAATAATAATAATAATTTTATTGTTGTTTATGATTTTTTGTAAAATAAGTAAAATTTTCATGTTTATTATTATTTTAATAAATGTTTATATTTTTAAAACAAATCGAATCATGCCAAAAAAAATTTCTAAAGTTGGTCACATTTATCATCTTTAAAATATTTTCTCATATCAACAAAGTAAAATAATCTCTCCCTTTCCCCTTTTAGTGCATCAATCGGTGCATGTTTTCCATTTATATGTTTTTCTTTTGGTAGACATCCATTAATTTACTTGTTTGTTTTTCTCATATATACTGGACATGATAAATTTTACTCTCAAATAAAAATAGCTCTTGTTATAGCATCTTACACACACGAGAGAGTAAAAAATTATAAATTATTACATTTTTAATCTCTAATTTTAATTTATATGTAATTTTAATTACTCCTAGCTTCTTCTTCTTCTTTTTTTAACTTTTGTATTATTATTTATGTCTATAATAAAATTATTAGAAACTCTTCAGCTACATTACATAAAATTAGGTTTATGTACAATCGTGGCAACATGTTTCGCACAGTAATTTAACTTTAATTTTATTACGGGTATAAAGGTTATTATTAATCATTATCAATAAATTATATGATATTATGTGTTTAGAAAATTAATAAGAGTGTCTTAATTATTCATTACAATTATATACGCATTTTTTATTGATAGAAAAATGTGTACACAATTTCTTGCAGTAAAAAACAAAAACAACACTTACAATCATTTTGTCATGTTTTATTAAAGCAATCCGATTTTATTTTCATAAGATTCTAGCCTAAAATTGATTTGTTCCTTATCATAAGCTTTTTATTGGAGTTCAATTTGATCTTAAACTGAAAATAATTGTAACTTAACTTTCTGCAATTTGCCTCTTTTTTTTTTGGGTATTGATGCAAAAGTTATATTGTATGGCAGATATCAAACGCACGTATTTTAAGTATTGAACACAATTCAAAACACACAGTGGGTGCATATTTAAAAATATGTTTACTTTGTAAATGTAAACTAAATGCATAAATTATAAATAATAATATTGAAATAAACATAAGCATATAATAAATTAAATAAATTTCAAACACACTATTATAGAAGCCACATTATTTAAAAAGGTTCATTTTAAAAATTACATCATACGAAGGTCTTTAAGCAAGGCAAGAGAAATATCTGCTGGATCACATGGTTGTGACTCTGGACTCTGAATTCCAAATGCACCGACCATAATGGCCTGCTCCGACCTTCAAATGGTTGAGTTCAGACATTTAAATTGGTCAGCTCAAATTTTTTTATTTCTCGTTTATTTCAACATATTATTTTATATTTATCATTTACAAAACTAATATTAATCTTCTATATTAAAAAATGCAAATAAAAATAGCAATTATCTACCTAATTAGATGATATAAAATATAAAATACGTAAGTTGGAATTTTAGAAATATTTATTTATTGGTCGATTGTATATTAGAGTGACATAAAAATGTGCTTTTGAAAAAGGAGAAGTCTAAAATGGGAATGGTGAGATGAGAGCAGAAAACTTGATCAGACGTTTCACTCTCTACGGCTCAAACTCTATCATTGTCTTGTCCGACCCAACGTCACCTTAACCCGACATACAACAATGTTACAAATATTTAGTAATATCTTTGGGGAAGCCTTGTTTATTCGTACGAGTACGTGTCAAATTATGATTGGTTAAGCAATCTCGAATCCAGCGTTGTAAAGTCTGTCCTGCAGGATGGACCACCACAGTATCTGCGTCAATGTCATCCAACGTCACACACACAAGGGATCAACGATCATACACGGCAAGTAACACCTACCATCACCAATCAAACACTATTTTTCTCTCTCTCTCTCATGCTTTGTTTGCTATGCAAAAGTGGTGAAAAATATAACATAAGGAAAGGATTTTTTTATGGTATTTTAAAAATTGTATATTAAATGATTTTTATTTAAAATAGTCTTTAATGTTTTTTATATTTTTCAAAATCTCATAGTTTGATATATAATATTTTTAAATATAACATATTAAAAATACAGTAAATGATGTATTCCTTGCTCCCTAGCATAAAAAAAACAAGAATAGAGGAATTTTTTTAAGTTTTATATTTTATTAAAATAACGTAGAAGAATGAAATTTTTATATTTTATTTTTAAAATAAATATTTAATATACATAAAAATACACAATAAAATTTTTGTGTGATAATTTTGTATTAAAAGTAACAACATCACACCATTTAGGCATTTAGTATATTCATAACAATAACTATATATTATAATTTTAAAATAAAATATTATTTATTATTTTAATTTTAATATACTTTTAATACAAAAATTAATTGAAATATAATATTAATATAATTTTAAAATTAATTATCGTAAAATTAACAATTTTATTAGTATATAAACCTATAATTAAGTGACACGATAAAAAAAATATACTATCAGTACATTTAAATTAAATTGCTATTAATTTCTTATTATGCTTTGTTAGACACAAAAAATATTTTGTAAAATAAAATAAAGTAAAAATAATATTGAAATAAGAGGAGTGAAGTTAAAAAAAAGATAAAATTATTTAAATATGATGTCTTGAAAAATTAAAAATATTTTAATTTTTTTAAAAAATATCACTAATAAATTAAATTTTTATAAATTTTTATATTTTATTTAAAAATCATCAAATAATTTTTTTTAGAATTGTAACTTTATCTTTAATAAAAAATTGATGTTTAAAAAAAATTTAAAATTTTAATTATTTTATAAATATTTATATTAAAAATTGCAACAAAATATTTTAAAATTATATATTTTTATAAAATATTTAAAAATATCATGCTTTTTATGATACATAATTTAAAACTATATATAATAAATAATATATCTATATTATTTATATCTATCTGACGTGGGTGGTGAGGAGTAGAATAGGGGGGTCCACGCTTGTGAGAGGTGAATGATGAGACCCTCGAGATGTGTATCTATATTCTTTCATCGACGGCGATATGATGGTTAACTGGTCAACTTAACCAAATGCCCCATTGTCTATCATACGCACGTGGCGCATTCTTATTGGTAAATGAGTTTTACAAAGTGCGTGCTATGATTTAGAAGATGGATCGAACGGTAGGAGGTGAATGGAGAGGTAGTCCTGCTCCTACCCGAATCCAATATCTTATTGCGGGGTAAAGCAACTTTTTGACTCTGACTTTCACGAGACAATGGACGAGGACTGAGGAGACAACTGCCTAACGTTATGGGAACAGGGATATTGAAAGCTTAGCAACCCTATTATTGTTAACCATTGTTTTTAAGAATCATAAGAACGATTTTTAACTATAAAAAATACATTTTCAAACTTAATTAAAAAAATTGTATAATCCATACATGTATATATCCTATAATGTGGCATATATATATATATATTCAAACAAGCTTAATTTGATAATTAGAGTTTTCAAATATATTTTTTAGGGGAAAAGTCCAATAAAAATGTACATTTTAATATTTTTAAATTGTTAATAAATTTTATATAAACATACGATATAATTATTAAATTAAAATAATTTTGTTAATATACTTTTAAAAGTATGTGACAAATAGTATATTATTATTTTTTATTAAAAAAAATTGTTAATTAGGGTTCTAGAAAATATTATCAACCAAATAAATAGAATTTTTTTAAAGAAATGTGGTAGATTATATTGAATTTTATAAGAAAAATATAAATTAATTAAATTCTAAAAAGTATCTTTATTTTGTATTTCTTAACCATTAGAGCACTATGTTATATTTACCTTACAAAGATTGATTAAGAAAGTAGTAATAAATAAAATATTCCTTAAAAAATGTAATGAAAATATATTCATAAAGAATAATTTTTTATCTTTTAATTTAATTTAAAGCTAATTTATATTAATAATGTATATTATATTTTTATAATTTGTTAACTTTAACTTTTAAATATGCAAAAATAATAAAGTTTTATTAAAGGCATATTTATTACATTAGAAATAAATAAATAATTGTATATAAAAATATTATTTTAAAGTAATTAACTATCGAAGTTGAGAAAAATTTGTATTTTGCTTTAGTAAATATTATTTTGTATGGTTCCATGATTTTGGTTTTTAAAAAATCCAAATAAAATAATAAAAAATAATCCTAAAATTAGAAAACAGAGTCAAGTTTAATAAAATAATAAATAAACAATTTGAAAAACAGATTTATAACATAAAACAATAAAAGTTAAAAACCCAAGTTCATAAAATAATAATAATAATAAATAAATAAAACTTATGAATCAATTTAAACTTAAGTTCAAAATAAAAGTTAAAATACAAGTTATAATTAAATTAAAAATTAACTGGACTTGAGATTATTTTTTAAATAAAAAATATCTTATTTTTTTCTTACACTTTTAAACTAAACTCACGGTTTCATAAGTTTTAAAAAATTAACATTTATTATTATTATTTTAATTAATAATTTAATATAAAGGTGAACAACGAGGGAGTTCAATCAGATTTGGGTGTAGAGGTCCAGAAATTACAAAAACTAAGACAAATGTTTTTGGACCGAAATCGACTTTGAGCCCATTAATTTGATTCACGTTAAAAAAAAAAAACGGCTTAGTCGGATGAGTTATTGTGGATTTTGACAAGACAACTTTTTATTTTATTATGAATTAGAAGAATTAAATAAAAAATGTCTCAGTGCAAATGGTTAAGAAAAGTGACCCAATTAACTCATTTGAACTTTATTATTGAATTCAGATTCACATAAATCCGATTTAACTCATCCAATTAATACTTTTAGGCTTTTCATTAGTCCAATTTCGATCAAACCGTTTAATTATGCTCACTGTGGGCGGCTCATAATATATATACATATAACAAATTAATGCCAAATATGTTTAAAATCTTTATTAATTTCTAATATTACAATTGAAAAATTAATAATTATGTAATTTTTAAATTCTTTACTTTAATTTTTACCTTATTCAGCAATTCTTTTAAGGAAATAAGGGCCTTTTACTTTTGGACAGAGCTAAATTTTAAATTTTAAATATTTGAATTTCAACTATCATAATAAATTTAATGATTTTGTTAACTTTAATTTCAACTATCATAATATTTTTTATTTAAAAAATAGTTTTGTTATACTTCGATAACCTAATAATTTTTTTTGAATAATTTTCTATTTATGGTTTCTTAATATCAATTCTGAAGTTATTTTTAAAAAAAATTTAATATCTGATTACATTTTAAAACTTGAATTATTGTGGAGAGTTTTCGGTTTTTTTTTTTCGAAACAGGCAACCCTGCTTTTATCATCATACATTTATTATAAAATGGAGCATTATTTTCTTGTTTAATTTTTCCAAAAAGAAAAAAACTATAAATGGAATTCATGATCAACAATACAAACGAATCCACTTTTTTTTAGGTTGTACGAAGATAGTATCATCAATGGAATTTTAGTTTTTAAAATGCGTATTTAATGGTATATAATAAAAGTTTATGTATAATAAATTTTTGTTCAAAATTTTAAAATATCATAAAATTTAATACATAATATAATAAAATATTATATTTTTTAAAATAAAAACTTACTCCACTATCATTTTTTTATCTATTGTTTAAGATTATTTTTCAAAATTTAGAAAAACAAAATAATGTTCTTATTTGCATAACATCATTATTTAATTTTTAATTTTACCCTTCCTTTCTCTAATTTGTAACTTTTTTTTACTCTCTTTATTTTTTCTTTATCGTTTTAAATTTTTTTAAAAAAGTGTTTATTTTGCCTTATTCTTTACAAAAATCTTAATTATTGTACATATTTTTCATAAGATGGATAATTAATTATTGTAAACTCTAAAAAACAATGAGACCGAATAATAAATTTCTTCATAACTTACCCGCAGACTAATCCTTAAAATATATTTTACTTCTAATATTGAGAATTAATGAGTAAGATTATTAAATAAAAATTTAATTAATTAGAAAAAATAAAAGTAGAATTTAAGTAGCACTTTTTATACAATTAGGACATTAATTATTTTCTTAGTGAAAAAAACCTAAGTAATAAATAAAAAAATGAAACAAATGTTTATTAATCTCACCAAAAGAACAATATATTATAACATGTGATCATGTAATGTAATATAAAAAGAAAAATAATATACGTTAAATAAATATATACATTATTAATATATTTATAAATCAAAATTATGTAAAAAATGTAAGCAATTCAACGGTCCACAAAAATAACAAGCATAACTATTGAACAAAGAGCTATGTAACCATAGGCATAGGATCCCAAGTTGTTGACACTCAATTTTTTACACCTTTTCATAATCCACTTTTTTTCCTTAAGTTATAATAGGAAATATTTCAGATACCCTAGTAAGTATATATATATATATATATATACATACTTGGAAAATAGAAAGATTAAAAAAGAAATAATAAATAAAAAATGTTATTAAGTGATGAAAAAAAGGATGAAAAAAGTATAATAATTGAATCACAATATATTTGTTGTCCATCACTCCATGCGGATTTTTCGACTCTTGTTCATAAGTGATTATACGTAATATTCTCGAAAGTGTGAAAGGATTATTATTTTGTTTTAAGCATAAGATAACCGCATAAAAAGAAGTAGAAATAACTGGAGTTTCTTTGACTTAATTATCATTCAATTGATTCAAATGGAACAATAAAACATAATGTTGGGAATGACTTTCTGTCATGCAAACCCACCTTTGAAAACATTCAAATATTGAAAGAAGAGAAAAACAGGAATGTTGCTCAAGGCATATTGGTCAGCTAGAGACCTTAATTAGCAAATATAAATGAAAGTTCATAGCATGAAGGGAAAAACTTAGGTACTTATGTCTTTATTAAAATAATAGGAAGCAGGTATTCATCACACTGTTCCCTCAGCAGTTTGGTCATCTTCAACAGCCAGCGCGGTTCTCTTGCAAATGGGGCATGTGTTGTTCAGAACCAACCAATCTTTGATGCAGCTAACGTGAAATTTGTGGCGGCAATTCAGTTTCCCAAGTTCTTCTCCATTGACATAGTCCTCCTATTGTTTACAAAAAAAAATAAAATGTTAGATAATCAAAAGAAACGGTGTGAAACGAAATGTGAACAATGTCAAGCATATATGCTCCATGTACTAATTAATTAACTCGTCAAATTCGACAATGGTTACTGAAACACATAGTTGGCCTTACCAGACATATGCTGCAGGTTTCATTTTGTGGACTCCCCTCAGTGATGGACTGGAAAATTTCACGCTCAATGTTCGATAGAATATATTCCTCACGGAGTCCTGCCTCCGCGTGGCCTAGATGACGTTGTAGAGCAGCGATCATCTGTAGCTTCAAATCATTATTTGTGGAGCAAGACTTTGTAACCAAAAGCTAAAATGATAGATAAATTTACTATTTTTTTTAACTATCTCCAAGAACATCTGATAAAATTCTCTATATAAGATTTATTAAAAGTTATGTGATCCTTTGTTAAATTCAATGCATTAGTAACATTAAATTTTTAATTAAAAAATATTTATTAATTTTTTTATTATGATCTCTTAAATTAACACACGTTAAAAAGATGAACAAATCTAAATTAAAGTCGAATTGCTTATTCTAAAACCCGGAACACCACCGAAGTTAATTTGTTGTCCTTAGGAGGAAAACAAGTGTCATACTTCCTGAACGAGTTATTATTACCGCATGCACGTTCATTTGGTAAAAGGTATAAAAAAAATAAAATAAGTAGCTTTACATTATATAGCTTTTACCTCATAGGGCACGAAATTTGCGGATAATGGAAAATATCGCCAATCTGGGATTGAATCAGGTTGCGCCATATTTATTACAATTGAGTCCTCGAGAATCAGCAATCCCTGTCAAACACGTTTGCAAATTGTATACTAGAATTGAAGTTGATGATGATAGTAAAGGGAAGTGAATTTTATTCAGTAAAAAAGAATGCAAGTTAAAAATAATACTCATAATGAAAGTTGCGATGATGAATATATAACTCAACTGGTACATGTCATTTAGTTTTGTTCCTCGTCTATGTCTTACCAACTAATGATGTTTAAGGAACATACGATAGTAAGTTTGAGAAAGAACATGCATATTTTGAGTGAAAATCTACCTCTGTCTGCAATGGGATATCTTCGCGCAGAAATTCTAGGACACTGCGAACCTGTTACATATCGAAGTATGAAATGCATATTTGAGTTTGTGAAGGCTGAATTAATTAACAAATCAATTAAGACAGAAAATCACAGTGAAACATAAACCGATCTGCATCTACCCATACCCTAAAACTGAAAAATGAGACCTTATGCAGCTTAAAAGGCATAATTTTCAGCTCTTGATAGTGATAGCTAGATTGGGATATATAGGAAAAGTGGAATAGGGATATTCCCACCCTTTACTTGCCAAAGAAAATGCATCAACAAAGGAAAGGAATATAAAGGTCTGGTTTAGAAAGATACATATATGTTGTTTCCCTCTTTAACAATGTTCTTCTGTGTGGTCAAATTGAAATGTGTGTGAAACTAAGTCCATCTTATTGGTTAGAGTATAGATAGCCACTAGTTCCCGAGTCACTTCATGAATTTATGCACATAGAAAAGGTTAATATACCGAACTATATATATATATATATATATATATATATATATATGATTGCATTGGTATTAAAAGTTTCTTCCTATTTCCATTCAATTTACATAAAGGATTTCCAATAAAGTATTTTCTTCATTCAACCGCACTCCACATGTAAATCATTATATGATTGGACAAACTGTAATTTCTAAATTTTAGCGAGAAGAAATATATAACAAGCTTTGTATAAATGATCAAACTACCTCAATTAGGATAAGCAGCCCAAAATTATTAGAAAATCCAATATAAATATAGCAGTTCAACTAGAAATCAGATACACTAATTAAAACAGAAATAACTTAATCAATTATTTCTGTTTCTTATCCTTTCATTCATTGTCTTCTCAACTAAAATGTGACACATGTGGTTAATTTAAAAATAACACTTTCTCGGTTTTTTTTTTTTTTTTTTCCAAATGTCACTTACTAAATAAAGGACAAGAAAGACAGAAGCAGAAACAGAAATAAAATCCTAACTCCCTAACTACGGAAAGTTTCTAACAAAATTTACATCAAGAACTAATGAAACCAACATACCCATCGTGGCTTCATTCAATATCATAAATATATTCTCACGTGACTTACAACATAAAAATAGAACACAAAACATCAGTATCAATTAGTTCAACTAAATCAGTATAGGGTTGGGCTGTTAAATACAATCAGTTGTTAACTTTCCCTAAATATTAATGGCAAACCATTTGAGCATCGAAATACCTCTTCAAGGAATATTTGAAAAGCAAGTTATCAACAAATTAATTCACAGGGAGTTAAACCATTTAAAGGAAGGTAAACATCGAAATACCTCTTCCCACATAGTGCTGAGCATTTCAGCTGCTGTAAGATTGACTGCAGAAGCACCAGCTCGATTCTCCAATCTTGCAAAAGAGTTTTGCTGGTTCTCGGATACAACTCCAACGTTGAAGCTTCCCTGTGAGATTTCTGAAGGTAAAAGTGGTAGGCTAGGATTTCTTGGCTGATATGAACCGATAGATGAAGCCACAAGTTGGCTTGCAGTAATAGGCGATAGCCTTATGTATTGTTCATAAACTTCCAACCTGTGAATCGATGCACCAGCATTTGATGGTTCATTACCATGAGCAGAACGAAGTTGATTGGAAGAAGTAGGTGAAAAGCATCCAAGGATGTTTGCATTTCCATTGCTTGACCAATTACTTCCAGTTCCAATTTGAGGGCTCATGAAATTACCTGCAGCAGGAATATTGTTATCAAAAGGTATCATATTCATACCTTCATCACTTGTTCTTCCCATCACAGAATAAGATGCATCACGAGCATATCTTGGCCTCATAATGCTGTTACTCCAAAGAGCCTGTTGAGTTTCAAGAACATTAGGAGCATACTCCATTGGATGCTCCAAGCCAAACCCACCAAGTGAAGTTTCTTCATGGTCAAAGAAAGGAGGGTGGTCACGTTGGAAATGCCCTCTTGATGACAACATGTTAACTTGAAGATTGTTGTGACTTTGAAGGTTTTGAGTTTGTCCAATTTCATTAGAAACTGGGCATGTAGCACTGTGGCCAATTTCAACCGTAGAGTTCCCCGAATGGCCATATCCAGAAAAAGGACACGTGCCGATGGCATTGACTTGAAAAGGATCAACCCTTCGTCTGGGGTTTCGTGCATCTTGTGCTCCCATGCTTGAACTTTCACCAACAGCAAATTCTGACAAAGCATACTCATCATCATATCTTCTCTTGAAGGGCAAGTGCCTCATGTTTGGTGAGTTGCCATCTACACCACCTCGTTCTTCCACCACATATTCAGCACTGTTATTTGCATTCACAGCAGAAGAACTGGCATTTGATCCATGTGGATGTAGGGATACAGAATATGATGGCAAATTTTGATTGTTGTAATGGTTGTTCCCTACATGTTCCGCTGCTAAATGCATGTCAACAGCACTGCCACCATTGCTTGGAGTAATATTACTACTACCACTCCTCGGGTGAAGGAAATGATTCGAGTTTAGCCCAAAGTGTCTACCTGAGAAACTGGCAGGGAATGAACTGGAAGAAGAAACGTTCATTCCGAATGGTCCAATTGCAAATGACTCACGAGGAAAAACACCTAAGTTGTTTTGATCATTGTTGATTGGTGCAACACTAGAACTCTCACCATAAGGGCGAAGATTTGTTCCAGCAAGCCTAACTGGGAACCTTCCATCACCAGACCTATTGGGAGAGCTTGGAGATGAGAGAAATCTCATTGTCGAGACGGATGGCTTCCTGAAACCGCAAGGGGACATATAAATAGATCGAGTTAACAGTACAGTCCAATATAAGATCGTTCCATGAAATAAGAATCGTAGCTAGTTCAATATACTCAAATGAAAAGTGATGTTGCAAGTAACTTACTTCTCCAGGCTGTTAAATATCTAAACAAAAACAAAACTATAGGAGCATGTGCTCTTGGAAAATCATAAGACCCCACCCAGATTTTGAATCTTAGGTGGACCGAGGAAAGAGAAAAAAGGAAAAAGAAAGAAAGAGAGAGAACGTAAGAGATGAAATAAATGATATAAAAAGTTTTAAAAAAATAAATATAAGTTATATACTGTTATACTATACTTTTTCTTCAAAGTCAACAAACCTAAACGATAACCTATACGCTTAGGCAAGAAAAGAGTTAAAAATATAATCTTTAAACACAATTATTTATTTATTAATTAAAATTATAAAAGTATTAATGAAATTCATTAATTAAAAGTAAGACATAAATAAATTTATAACTGTTAATAAATTTTAGATAATAATAAAAAATACATTTAAAAAAATATATTAAAAGACATATTATTAATATTTCTCTTAAGCTAATTGTATACACCTCAAAATACAACCACCTAAAAATGTATAAAGATAAAATAAAAACTCTTCACAAAATTTTTTCATGGGAATGTCATTAGCTAATTAATCTCACAAACATGGACTGAAATATATCATGATAAAAAAAAAAATCTATATACAGATTTCCTCCTTTTGATTTTAAAAATCTGTATATGAAGTTTTTACAAAAAGGGAGATGGAGTTTAGAAGGCAAAGGAGTGTGTATACAAAAGGTTTTTCATTGTTTAAAGGGTAATATATACATAAAATTTTAAATAAAAAGTAGATCTATGAAAAAAAATAAGAATATGAAATTATAATCAATACATATAAAAGCTGTAACTCAAAACAAAATAATCACATAATAAACCAATAATTTGAAGGACATAAAAATGAAGGTCCTGGTAGATAGGTTTGATCTGCCAGCCAAATAAGATGATGAAAGACTAAATAAGTAGAATAAGCAGATCAATGGGGAGGGGCACAACACAACGCATGTACCAAACCCAACCTTGAAACACACAAATGTACAAGATTGGGTGGTCATATAACATACATGCACCACTATTCTCACCCACTGATTCCACAAATGACAAGGATAGTTTTTGAGAACATATACCCGAAAGATCAGTAGACTCGAGAACTGGTCAGTGCTAAACAACCTTTTCACTTTTTCTCCTCACACTTTCTTCTGTGCTAAGATGAACAACATAAAATTAGTGGAGACTAATTTATAGATTGAATTGGAGGGTCATCCAAAATCTCCTTTCATGGCTTGCTCTTAATACCTATGATAGAGTTGTATGAACGCCTTGAAAACTTTGCTGTCCATGACTCATCCATTTTATTGTATAAGGAAACAATATCCTTTCCAAAACATTTACCTTTAAAATTCTTACCTTTCATGCACATGCACACAAGTGGTACGTGGGAAGAAATTCAATATATATATAAAAGATTGTTTTGGAAAGGAACAAGTACTGTTACCTTATTTTGTTTAATTATTTTTTATAAATATTATTTTTTATTAATTTAATTATCTGTTTAAAAAATGCAATAAATAAATTCAGTTTATAAAAATTCAAAATTGTTTGACAACTTAATCAATAATTTTATTTTAACGTATAATATACTATTTAAAACATATAAGTAATATTTATGAAATTATATATTAATAAATGTTTAGTTAACTAAATTTTGAAAAATATAATTATAAAGATAGTATTATATAATTTAATGGTTAATTATTTTAAAAATTTATTAAAAAAGTAAATTTAATTGATGAAATTTAAGATTTATAAATAATTATTAAGTAGAGTAATTTTTATAAAATAACTTAAATACCTCTCTCTCTCTATATATATATATTACAAAGGAGCGTTTTAAAATATAATTTTTTAATATTTGAACTGCATGTATGCATATATGCAAAGTCTACGACCAAATTGGAAATTTGTTGACTACCACAAAATAATGAGATTTTTTAATTAATTAAAAATAATTTAATTTTTACTTCAAGCACTAATTCAAGTGCATTTAATACATTTGAGCAAGTTTTTCAAATTACTTAATAAATAAATATGAAATAAATTTTAAATTATTTAATATTTTTAATATAATACACTTTTACTTTTAAATACTTTTATTTTATTTTTAATTGGTATTTTAAGGATATTTGATAACATTTATATTTTTCATATAAAAGGAAATATATCTTTCCAAATATGCAAATGGGGCAACTCATTCAGCTTTCAACCCAGTGCATTGTGTTTAAATAAAAATAGAAATGACATATTCTTTAAGGTGATAATGGATTTTATATTCATTAAGTATCATGAAAAATAATTTTTATTTGCCTGAATATAATTATTATAGTACTGAAATTCAATTATTTGTGCTATATTTATTATGTTTATTTCATATTTATGTTTATTAATTATATATAAATATAATTAAAATTTTAGAGAAATAGTTCTTTTATAATTTTATACATATGTTAGGTTATAATATGATACATTATTGGATTGAGTTTGACTGAATAATTTTATACTTTATTTTATATATTTTTAATGAATATTCTTTATTTTATATTGGTGCTTATGTCTTATTAGTTTATAAATAAATTATTAGAGAATATGACATTTTAATTAATAAACTGCAGGTAATAAATATGAGTGTATATTTTTGACATCTAAGAAGTATGAGGATAGAAATTAAAGTTATTAATTATATAGGTAAGCGTAATTGTTTAAACGGATATATATATATATATATATATATATATATATATATAAATTTTTTAGAAGGGAAATATTAAATTTTAAAATCTTTGAAAAAAGTATTTATGAATATATGTGGTTTAAATTTTAATAGAAAAATATATAAAAAATTAAATCAATTCATTAAAAAATTTAAAGAAAAAATTTACTGAAAAAGGGAAATTTAAAAAAATTAATATTTTAAAACCTAAAAAAGAAATTTTAAATAATAATTAAGTCATGTGTTATAAAAAATAAAATAAATAAAATATGTTCTTTTCTATGTATAAAGTTTACAGCTCAGAGTACATTTCTATTATGCTTCTTTCCAAAAAAAAAAAGTAGAATTAAATTAAAAATTATTAACGTTAATAGTTAAAGTTAAATTTAAATAATAAATAATTTTAATATAATATATATTTTTATATTTTTATTTTAAAATATTTAAATTCAACTTAAAAAATAATAAAATATTCATTTACACGTTCAAATTTTATGTTGGCAAGTTTTTATCAATTTATATATTTTAAGAGAAATTTCAGTGACGTACTCTTAATTATTTATTAAAATTTATATTAAAAAGATAAATATAAGAGATAAATATTAAATTAAAAATAAAAAAAGTAAGACATACATATTTTTAATTATTAATAAATTTTAGTCAATAAAATATTATATTAAATGATAATTTTCTAGCATTTCTCATATTTTAATGCTTTTTGTCAAGTGTATTATTCACCTATTTTCTATTTTTGATAAATGTAAAAACAATATCATTCACAAATCATGTTAAATAGAAATATGCATATATTATAATACGAAAAATTTGTGTGCATCTATTAAAAAATATTATACCATCAAAAAATATTGTTTAAAATATAAATTAAATTATATTAACATAAGTTATACTTATATTTTTAATAACTGATGTACTGAATAATTTAATCATATAGATCATTTATATGATTTTTCTTATTATAAATTTATTTTTTATTTATATACATTAAATTAATATAATATATATTTTAAAAATATATAAAAATAAAGACACTTGAATTATAATTATTTAATTTTAAATAATGACACAAGTAATAAAAATAGTATATAATTATAATTTAACAATTAAATGGATAAAAGTTATATTTTATATAAAATTATTAAAAATATAAGAGTAAATATAACTTGTAATTAAAATTTGTTTCATTGTTTAATAATTTTTATAAAATTATTTTGAAATAAATAAATGTATTAAATTTTTAAATGATACATCTTAAAAAATATTAAATACACTCTATTAAATGCTTTAAATTATCATAAAAAATCTGTATTAAATATTTTTTTATAATTTAAGATAAAAAATAATTTTATACTTAATAAAAAATTGTTTTTAGCTTCTTAATATATATATATATATATATATATATATATTCTTAAATATGTATTAAAAATTAATTAATGCAAATGTCATGAATGGTTTATTATATTAAAGTTATTTTGTTTTCTATTTTTATTTGAGATAATCTTTAAGAAAAGAATAAAACCTTTGTCTAGCTAAAAAAATTAGTTAATATCTTTTGTAAATTAAAACAATCGTTGAATGTCTATTTTGCTCCAATCTTTATTATTAAAAAATAGTCATGATTAAAAATAAACTTACTACATCTAATACGCATACTAAAAAAATTGGATTAGTAATTTAATTTCAAAAATTTATGTTTTGTAACTTTATAAATTATTTTATTAATTTAAAATTGATTTTTATGTATGGAAGTTATGAAAGTGTATATTGTAACAAATTATTCAGTGAGAAGTATAAATGTCTAGATCCCTTTAAGTAAAAAAAGAAATAAAGTTATTGCAAAATGGAAAGTCAACAAATGCAAAATAGGAAGTCAAAAAATGTACCAAAAAGATTAGAGATGATGAGTTTACAAATTTATCTTAATAAATACGTACCAATGCAGATAATCCATAAATTGAAAATTTGTAACTTATAAAACAATTTAGGAGTATAATCTTTAATGCATATATATATATATATATATATATATATATAGAAAGAGAGAGAGAGAGAGAGAGAGAGAGAATAAATTTAAGTGTTGACGATTAAAATATTAATAATTTGAGAGGACAACGAATATACATAGTTACATCCTTTCATTTTATTCAAAAATTTCTTAAATGACATCAGCATTTTTAATCAAGTTCAATCCTGCTTATTATATATTAATTGTTACTTCTTTGAATACACTTCATCTTTATAAAAAAAAATTATTTTAATCTATATAATATTATACAAAATAAGAAATTATATATAATTTTTATTAAAAATTATAAAATTTAATGTAATTCAATATAGTTATAATTTTAAAAACTATACTTTTTGATAAAAACTTATTATCTATAATTTCTTATTATGTACCGTGTTGTATATATTAAAAAATTATTATAAAAAAAAGTCGATCATTTAATTTAGGCTTAAAGGATTATAGTATATTTGGTATGATATTTCTCCTTGTATTTAGAAATTCTTAAATGACATTAGAATTCACACTATCTAATAATAGTAATTATTATTATTATTAAAAAGTTTAATTTTGTTTTGAAACAGTCATTTCAAACTCGGATGAAAGGTTCTAAAATTTTCTATAATCTACAATAACAAATTAATTGGACTAATATTGTTTTTCAATAGTTAGGTATACTATACATTTATATTATCAACTTAAGTATCATAAAATGAAAATATTTATCTTTTAAAATTGATTAAAAAAAATATTTGTTAATTCATATTAAAAATAAACTTAATTGTAAAAGTTTACAGACAGCATTCAGTATTCAAGATCGTTGAATATATTCAGTAGTAACATTTTCTTTTGCTCACAAATCTTTAAATGGCATTTTCAGTTTTTAATATTATATGATTCATTATTTATTATGTATTTGGATAAACTTTACCTCAAAAAAGTTTTTTGTTTTAAAATTCAGAATAAAAGTTCTTAAACATTCTAAAAACTACAGATAAATAAGTGAGTGTACTAATCTAGTTTTTCAATGGTAAAGGAATTCATGTCATTATGGTTCAGTTTAAAAAAAATGCTCTATAAAATGGAAAAAAAAATTATTTAGTACCATGTTTGTTTATCATTCACATGCACACATACATATATAATGAACAAAACTTAAGAGTGAAAGTTAGAAAAAATGTTATACAATATTATTAATGAATTAGTATTAGAGTAGTCTCTGTTGATGTAAATTTTGTCTAATTAAAAGATTATTAATATAAATATTATGAATTTATACTAATTATAAGATACATTATTTGTCTATTTTATTAGTACGGAATAATAATATATATTGTTAGTGTATTAAATATTAATATAATATAATATATTATATTATTAAAATAGATTCATGATGTATATATTAAAAGATTAATTTCTATTACATAAAGGATATATTAACAAAAACAACAACATTTGACAGTTTTTTATTTGTTAATAAATAATATTTGTTGGAATTAAGTATTTTTGGAGGTCATTAAATACATTCAAAGAAAAACGTTCCTTTTTATTGTTTTTTCAAGGGTGAATATAAAATTAGATATTTAATTGTATTCCGAAAATAGCAGAAAATTTCCAATGTATATCACTCCGACTATATATTTTCAAAGGAAAAAAATATTCAATAAATTTAATTTTTCATTAATCTTCTAATAAAGTAAAAAAATTCAAAGTCTCAACATTAATAAAACTATTTATAGAAACAGATTTTCATGAAGCTTTTAAAAATAGTTAACAATTAAACCCTGATTAGTAAAAAAATTATAAAGAGATATAAGAAAAAGAAAATATTTTTTTTACTCTGAGTTTAAAGGTTTAGATTTCACTCACTAAAGGTTCAGAAAAGAAAAGAAAAACCTTATAAATTATCAAGCATAATCGATGAAGTGTAAAGATAATTAAAGTAAAATTCCAACTAAAAATACTCCAGACATTCACAACGAATAAAGAATAAAAGAATTGAATTATCAAGAAGTTGGATATGATTTTTTTTTATCTATACTAGAAAGATACATCATTTTGCTGCAAAGGATTACGTTTTGTATACTGTCTAAGGCTAAGCCTGCATCAACCCATTCAAGGCCTATTTGTAGTTTGCAGGTCTGAACAATGTGCTTGGCTTCTCCATTTTGCTTTTACACTATAATTTGATTTTCCAAACACTAGTTTCCACCATTACCAAAAACAAAGACACTTGTCTGCATATTTTCTTTTAAGGTTTAGCTAAGTTTTGTGTTACTTATTAAAAATTCGCAATTTATTAAACAGACTTTTGATTATGTTTATTGTTTAGTCTATTTAAGTATTATGAACTTCTCTATTTAGGCTTTTTTTAAATAAATAATTAAATAAAATATTTGTGATATTTAGAGATTCAAATAACCAGTGCATTGTTAACCAAAAAATAAACCATCACCGTCCATTGTTCATCTAATTTTGAGCTATCTATCTCCCCCTAGCAAGTAATAAGCAACATATTATGAAAAACATATTTTAAAATTGTAAAATATAGCAAATTACTGAAAAGTTAAGATGAGCATACATTTGGGTGCATTCCAAAAGTCTCAACTTTTAATTTATTCACGCAAGAAAGTCAACAGAGAAACGTGTATGGAAAAAAAGGGTCCAGTGGAGAAACTTACAAAGAAAAATAAAAATTAAAAAGAAACTTAAAAGTGGACCCAAAAATAATAATAATAATAAAAAAGAAACTTAAAACTACCCAAATGTAATTGGAATTTCCAGTCAAAATATTTCAAATTTATTAATGGGTAAACTGAGTCAAATTAAAAATGTTTACCACAACTATATATATCTCTTGTCACTGGAACTATGTTCAACCGTTTAAAAGGAAAAGATATATTCAAACAATGTTGCCAATGCTTTTCTTGTACGCAATATTATGGGTACCAAATAAGTCATCTAACAAGTTTTACACGATTCTGAATGAATTAATGTTACTCGTTCTATGTCTAAAAAACGCTCAGCTCCTCTCAAAATAATAATAATAATAAACTGATACCATTTATTGCCTCGCTTAACTCTCGAGGATCTCACTATGATTTCCAAATTCCAATTATTTAATCATTCAATATATATGATAATGGAAAAGAAAAAGATCGATGGAAAATAAAATAAACCCATCCATGGACATGGGATCCAATAGATAAACAGAAAAGAGAATCCAGAATCTAAATCTGAATCTGTGTGTGAATAAAACCTGTAAAAGCCGCCAATTCTTTTTACTAAGAATAATAAAGGGCAAAAAAGGTAGGTAGATACATCCCAATAAGAAAGGAAACACGTGGCAATAAAGAAACATGAAACGATGACGAAAACATGAGGACACTTTTTGATCTATATTATTGTTAATAACTGGAAGAACATGGAGGAACCAGAACCAAAACCAAACTAAGAGCCATTTCTATCATTAGAACTGCGCAGAGTTTAAGGCTTTGTGGTTAAGGTATTGTCCCTTTAACTAAAGAAGCAAGCTTAGTTTTGGTTTTGTGAGTTAGGATCTTATTATATGGAAGCTGAGGCAGAGATTGATCGGTTGCCCATTGACTTGTTGGCTCATATTTTTGTTCTTTTCACTTCCTTCACTGATTTGGTCCAGTAAGTTGATGGTCATTGCATGAGTGTTTGGTTGTCTTCATTCACCCACCGTAACTTTGATGTGCTTAAGTTTGATGTTAGTGTTTGATGTGGTTTTGCAAGGGCGAGTAGTGTTTGCAAGAAATGGAAACAAGGGGTGAGGGAATCCTTTGCTCGAAGACACAATTTGAGCTTTGCGGGTTGGAAGATGGATGATGACTCCACTGCTCGCCTCGTTTGCTATGCCTACAACCTCACAAAACTAGATATGTATGTATGCCTTTCTTTTCTTTTGCAAAGGCTGAATTCTATTCTATTATTATTTGGTTATGTGCTGATGTTTTTTTCTGATTATGTGATTCTATGACCCTTTGTAGTTTTTGATAACAATGATGATAGATTGATTCTGATATCATTATCTTCCCCTTGATGGATTTTGTTAACAATTTTTCTAACTCGGGTAATATTTCACATGATAAGAATTTATATACAGTGAATTTTTATTGAAAATTACACAATTCAACACAATGAAATGCATTGATGCTGTTATTGCATCACAGGTCAGAAAAATCGTTTTCCTAAACATCAAAGTGGCGAGGTTTTGTGTTGGTTTTAAGAGCTTTGGAGATGAATTATAAATTTGAGTTTATATATTTTGACTGTTCGAGGAATTGAATTGGCAATTCAATGGCAACTACCTATGCTACTTGAGGTTAAGGAATTTGGAGAAGGTTGCTGAATTGTTTGTTTAGGGATAACAAGATATTTAATCACTATGGACATGCTGCTTTGTTTGAAAGCATAGGATTTCACTGTGGCTGTTGTGGTGACTTAAACCATGTCTCTAACCTTTTTCTCCTGATTTTTGGACGCAGTGGTTTCATAGAGCAGCAGTTTTTTTTTTTTTTTTTCTGGTTTTAAAGTTTTTTGATATGATGGTGCTTAACCAGTGTGAGAGTGAGAGATTTCTACAATAGCAAGTAGAGGCTGAATAAATTAGATTAGAGATGTTAGTTCTTTTAAACCTCTAAAGAATATACGAGGATGGCATTGGTATTGTGACAAGTAAAATTTAGCACCTGAAACAAGCAATAATAGAGTTTGATACTTTTTCAGCATTTATGTAAGCATATGAGTTGTCGTTATGATTGTATGATGCCAACCATGCATATTTAAGATGCATAACATTTACTTGTCTTTTGTATTTTCAGACCGAGGAGCCGTTGGGGTTGCCAAATAACTGATGTTGGACTTCTCAGAATATCTATGGCAAAGTGTGTCATCAATCTCACATCCATATCATTGTGGGGTTTGACTGGCATCACAGATGAAGGTGTTGTTCAACTGGTATGACATTGTCATTGTAGTTTTTTGGGACTTTCAAGCCTGCGATGTGAGATCTATTGCTTGGATCTTCTTGTTTGTATTTTGAAAATTTTAGTTTTTCACAACACCATCAATGGGATGATATTCATTTTAAAGGAGAAAAATATAAAATGGACTCAACTTGCAATTGTTCCATTCCATCTTATATTAGATGTATCTTGGGCAATGGCTGTTCTAGACTACAACAGGTAGGGATATAAGACGTATCTTGGGAATCTGAGGCTGTTCACAATTCACAACTAGATTGTGTAGATACTAGATACTATTCTGGCATTTGTCAGGTAGATGAATAATGAATTGTTATTTTGAGTGTTTCTGCATCCCTTGGAGGCTAATAGCATGTTTGGATTTCAGTTAATAATCCGAAAACCGTGATTTCAGTTAATTCCTCTTGCTTCTCTGATGACAATTATTTTGAGTTTTTAACAGATAACCAGGACTAGATCCTTACAACATCTGAATGTTGGTGGTACGTTTATCACAGATGAATCTCTGTTTGCGATTGCAAGAAGTTGTCCGAAGTTAGAGGTAAGTTATAAGAATTTGAATATTAGGTTCTTCTGTTGAATTATTCTCCTCCAATAACCAAAAAGGACAAAAAAAGCAATAGTACCTCAGAGCATGCTCATTGTCAGAAGAGAAAAATAATCATTCCCATTTATTAGAAATGATGTTTCATCATCTCACTGTATGTATTTAGCCCGTATTCTTGATAATCAATCTTTATTGGCTTAAGTGTTTCTCTGAGTCCCAGACTATGTGAAGAAGATGTGACATATTAATCATGTTACATATGATTTTTCTTCAGACCATTGTTCTTTGGAGCTGTCGTCATGTAACTGAGAGTGGGCTCTTTGAGATAGTTGATAAATGCCTCAAGCTCAAATCAATGAATGTATGGGGAACACGAGTTCCTGTGGATTGTCTAAGCAATTTAAATATTGTAAGACCAACCCTTCAGATAAAACTTTGAAACTGGATTGCTTGCATGCATAGAATGGGGTCGAAGGTGTTGATTTAAGTGATATTTTCACTGTTTCTTTTTTTTTTTTTAGTTGTACAGAACAGATTGTTTAGTTCTTGTATTCTTAAATTCAACTTGCTTTAAAAGTTGAATATGTCGAAGTCCATTAATTCCGGTATATCATGATGCTATTGCTGTAAATGTAAGTCATAACACGTAACGATTGTTGTACACTTTATTGATTCATGTAATGACCTACATTATTTGAATGTCTATAAATACCCAATCCATGCAGAAATAGAATAAGATTCCGTGGAAATTTCAGCGTCTGTTTTATTTTATCCATTGCAAATTTGAATTGACTACTCCGTTCAAATAAGGAGTTACAAGTTAGGCCAGAAAGAGAATGAAAGAAAGTAGTTTAAGGCTATTGCGATGAAATAAGTGATTAATAGCGTGGTGGGGAAAACGAGGTTTGGCGATTATTGTGCGTTGGGTAGTATATGAAGTTTTCGATGTCTGTCATTCAAGATAGGAATTTGTGAGGGGAACTCGAAGTATCACTACGTAAAATGGCTGCTAATTCCATACTCCATAATTACGCCAAGTACATTTAAGTAGATACAAATTCCACATCATGATTAGATTCATATAAGCCGTCAAATTGCTAGATTTCTTCAAGGATTCATAATACCGCCAGCTATTAATAGCATTATTTTTCATTTACAGACATTAAATTTATAGCATAAGATTATATACGATGTCCGGATTTAAAAGCTGTGAAACCTCATGCAAATTTCTCTGTTAAACTAATCTAAAAGTTCCATGCTCCATATTAATTAACTATAGGTTATATGGTTAAAATATATGAGAAAATCACGTTATTTTTTCAACATCAATACTAAAGTGGAAAGAGAGGTGGTAAGAATACAATCATAACAATGACCATCGAGCTTCCAGCCATCCTGATCATATTTCCTATTCTGTCGTTGACTAATGATACCTTGATACAAACCCTGAAACGCAATAAGGTGAAATATTGTAGATATAAGTAAGAGGGCAACACCATAAAATGACTTAAGAGGTACCAGCTAAGACTACAAATCAACTATCGCATTAGAACCACAAACAACAATCTGAGTAAAGGTTTTTCAACCCTTGGAAACCTGAACCAAGTAAAATCAGCCTTCTTGCTCGCGATTAGTTTTCAAATATTGCAGGTTGAATCAGACTTCCCTGGAGAGAAAAAAATCTCTAATCTGACATGAACATGAAAATTGGTGGCAAGGCTTATGCTAGATGTTCTTTAATTTGTAAAATTTTAACATCTTAACATATCCATATTAATAAAATTGAAAGAAATAGAGCACCTAACCAAATCTTGGTTAATAATTTGAGATTAATGCATATCGATTTTATCAAATCATTTTGCCAACAACATTATGCGCATAAATGGAATGAGAGAAAAGGAAAGGAAGTGTAGGCGTACAGAGTTGCAATATCTATCTAGAATTTTACTTATATTGACAAGAATACAACATACCTGAACTGCTTCAAATGCATTCTTGGTTTTCCTTGGTTACCATCTACCTCAGATGACTTCACAGATCCTTGACTATAGCCTCAGCAATTCCAAAATTTTGTTTGTCTAATTTTTAAACCTATTAACAGTTCCTTCACATTTCACAGATTGAGGAAATACTTCAGTGTACTCACTAAGATGGCAGAAGCCCATTTTAAAAGAGTAGCTCGTGTATGATACATAAATACGATAATACTAGAAGTTCCTCTTGAAAGACTTAGCTTGCATTGATATACACACTCATCATTATTGCAACAAAACAGCAATAAGCAGAAAGCAAAACAAGAGGAAGAGGCAACAATGTGGAGAATGGACTGGTGCAGCTGATTTTGAGAACTGAACAGATCCTGTAAAGCTCCCTGCGGTGTTGGTCACTGGACTTGTACTAGGTACAGCAATGTTCTTGCAAGATCCAAAAGGCCCTCCCTCCTGCAAAATTGCATTAATTACTTAGAGAAAATTTATTATCTCAGTAACAAAACCTTTCGATTCTCCATCTCAAGTTAAGATCTATTATCTCTAGCATTATTGTTGATTTCAAGAAATACTAAGACACAATTAGAGAAGTAAAGATAGGGATATTTTAAATTTAATGACTGACCAACCATCTGCTTTGGATTTAGAAAGACGATCCAAATCAGATTGACGCAATGTGATATAGATAATGCAAATCTGGAAACTTTCTAGTTGACATGAAATTATACTCAATTAGGCTTTCAGTTACTATCGGAATAGTAGACATACGAAATAAGAAATTATCGGAGAGAAAGTAAAAAAACAAATGTATTAAGGCAATATATATTTGGACAAGAAATGCAAACAAACCTGGCAAGCAGAGATTGTACTACACCCGCACAATGAGTTGCCATTTATTTTATCCACGATATCAAAAACACCACCACCATCACTCCTCTGCACGAAATTTCATTTAGAATTCTAAGAAGGACTTGTGGGTATTTTCTGTATAATTGAATTTGAATTAACAACACAGAAGAATGAGTACCATGTAAAAATTAACAGCTATGAAGTTAGGCAGTACATTCCCAGCAGCTTTGTAACATGTATTCACCATATCTGCAAGTGGAGCCGAATGCTCTTTGCATGAGTCGGCTTCAACTGGATATGTTGGAAAGTAATTCTGCAAGAAAAGTGATGCACTTCTAGAATTAAGGGGCTTTGATTCTTTTCTATGGGGGCAAGAACCCCGTTGAACTCCAGGATCTCCCGCTGAAAATTAGGGAAAACCATGATGTCATTTCATATAATGTATAATAGAGAGATCCATGTTAAAATGACATTGTACTTACACTCATTTTCAATCATATAACTCCATTGATAAGCTATTCCTTCTTCAGCTTCCTTTGAAGCATCAGAAGTGAACACAAGAAGTCGGTGATTTGCTTGAACCATCTGTGTTACAGTGGGCCAATCTTCACCCTTTTTAGGCATATCAGACACTGGGAACCAATATTTATCTAGTCCAGCATTGATGAATAGATTGGTCAACCCCTTTGGAGTACGCACATAATCTTCAATTACAATGGTGACAATCTCCGTTGGATTTTCACTCAAGAATGCCTCCACTTCTTTCAAAGTGTTTATTGCGGGTTGCTGAGAACATTTCAGCATGACACATTTATTAGATGACATCCCACAAAAGTGAATTTAGATACAGTAAACTAAATAATAAAGAGAGTTAAATTACGAAGGCGGTGAAGTTGAAGCATTGCCCTCGAAATGAATGACATAGCCAGATATCATTCTCGAAGTCGTACATATCCAACATCAATCCCCTCACTCCATTCTAAACAACATACATCAGGAAAATGTATAAGAATCATCAAAGAAATAAGTAAAGTATACATCCATCTATATTTATATATAGAAAAATGCAACCAGAAAAACGATGCACATTGCATTTTTAATAGTTACGTGAATACTAACCTACTTTTAATCATGTTGTTCATGTATGATTCAAATGTATAGTTTTCACATTCTTAAAATAATAATTATTGTTATTATATATGTCCCCCATATATATACACACAGAGAGAGAAAGAGTTCTACTTCGTTATCACAAAAATATAAACTTTGATCATACAATCATATATAAATAATTAAGATTAAAATTCAATAAAACTAATCTCTCTCTCTATATATATATGTGTGTGTGTGTGTGTGTGTGTGTGTGTGTCCCTTGACGCTGAAGATGAAGTAGTATAGAGAAAATGCAAACTGAAGAAGAAAAAGATGAGATGTTGGCATGTTGGTTTTCCATGGAATCTAAGAAGAAGGCGCAATACAAGACAAGACAGACCCGCAACTGGTTAGTGACAGTATCTTCTTGATTGTAGAAGGTGAGTCTCTGAACGCCAGATAGAGGTGGTGCATCCACGATGCTGAATGAATTATGGGTCATGATCCACGAGTACTTGTTGAAGGGCAACCCAGTCACCTGCATGTCACAATCACAATTCACCAGTTAAAACAGAAAACACCTTTTTCATTGTTGTTGACTGAGGAGATATGTTGATGTTGCAGCTTACAAGAGATGTAACAATGGTGGCTTGGCCTCTGGTGCAAACTGGTCGAGTCCTGGCCAGAGCAGGACAATTGCCGCAATAGAGGCCTGGGCCACAATCAGTGGCAGCTGAACATGGTTCTAGAACCTGCGAATTCTCGACAAGTTTTCAGCAGCATATAAAAGAAGGAAAGGCATAGGCAAAAAGGAAAGAGAAGAAAAGGAAGTGAACCTGGCAATTCCCATTAAAGCATGCGGCGGAAGAGGTGAGGAAGAGGGAGGAGAAGAGTGACGCAAAGAGGGAGGCGATGGCAGGCGCTCTGCATTTGATGCGGGAATCCGAGAAACGCGAGCACATGGCAGAAGGCACCACCACTGAGAGAGAAGAGAGAAGAGAGAAGAAAGGTTGAAAGTTGAAAGGAAAAGAAAGAGATTTTACTGTGGAAGAGGAGAGAATAAAAGCATAGGTTGATCCAAGTTTTGGGTAATCAAAGGCGGGCTTTATCACCTTTTGTTTTTCTCTTATTTTGAGGCAACTACTTAACGTAACGTTTATCATCACTGCACTCATTTTCCACTTTATTTGAATTAAGAAAAAATCATTGAACAGGTAAAAAAATGATTAATTTACTTGGGTTGAGCCCCACTTTCGAAGTTACGATACTTCTTCTACGTGCTCCACTTCCCCTTGCCTGTTTCTTTCTCATATTGCATCTCTTTATGCTTTCCACGTGGTGGGGGACGTTGCTTCTGCCCAGAAATTACTGCTCCATGGCCGCCACTGTTTTATGATACCCAAGAAAACATGCAAAGCCATCGCCATATTTATACGTCAACTCCGCGCTCAAAGGCTCCACAAAATATCAAACCTCTTGATTTAAAGGAGTGTTTATTAATTGTCATTTTAACTACAGAAAATTGATTGATTATAAGAGGAAAAATATTTTAAATAAAAATTATCTAAAAAGAAGAGATAATAGAACGCACCCTCATTCAAGCTTTTTTTTTTTTAATCTATTATACTCGTGATTAATAATATATATTTGTCATCTATTGATGACAATGTATATCCAAATTAAGTTTACGCAAGCAAGTAATCTTGGAGGATACATTTCTCAAAGGATTTATTGGATTAAAAGAAGGGCAGGTCATCCTCGAATAATGTTACATTAATGTAAATCAATTTATACTTCATTTTAGTGCCATCAAATTTAACACAAAGATAAGTTTTAACACGATTCATTTGATTTTAAATTAGTTCCCATCCTTAAGATTAAATTATTAAAAATATGTAAAAATGAATGTAACATATATTAGCATAATTGTCTCTCCTCATATATATATATATATATAACCTTCAAAATAAGTTGTTACATTTAAATCGACAGATTGGTCAAATTAATTATTATTGCGAAGCAATTAGTTGCATTTGTTAACGTGTACACATGGATTTGTTTTTATTTTAATATCATTTTATGGTATAAAAGCATTTCATAAATCCATTTTTTTTGTCAACAAATCCATCTTCGAGTTAACAGTATGATACATGCGTATAATGCTCCTATCATTCAACATCGGTTCAATATTATTTTCTACTCTAGCAATTAATACGCAAATGATGGTACAACTATAAATCAATGTTGATTCTCCACCAACTAAAATAAATAAAGTTATTAGTTCGCCACATTCATCTTCAAAATTACATCAGCTTGATTGCTTGTAGAATTTTACATCAAGGCCAGTTTACAGTCTTTTGAAATATATAATATTCTTTTAAAACAAGAAAAAAATATTTAAACCATTAGAAAATGGACTTGCAAATTTACATAATAATTTGTCAATTTCAATGATTGAATTAATCAAATACTTCATAAGAATTGTAAACAACGTGTGAAGTTTTTCTCTGATCTGATTTGATTCCCTTCTGGGAAAGAATTGCATGGAATTTTGGTTTAGTAAGCTTAATTTTCAGTCTGGAATAGCGAATACAGTTGGTTAAGATCAAAATGAATTGTTTAAATATAATAGTTACCTAAGCAGCACCAACTGCAGGGCCTTGCTACGAACAAAAAATACTTCTTTCCGCTACCAATGAGATTGCTTCCCCTACGTGTGAAAGAATAATAACTAAAAGAATTGATTTTCGATTATTGAACAAACTTCAATCAAGCAAGCTTCTTGGCACGACCATTTGAGGGAGCCCCGTCCTCTTTTTTTGATCCCGATGCCTCTGGCTTCCTAGCCCAGGCGGGAGCTCTATCGGGCTCATAACGATAATCATAAAACAGTTCTTCCCCAGCACAAATCCGTTCCTTGGCAAAAATGCCTACCCTGTGATCTCCAGCAACCATAATAACCTGCCAGTTTACGCATATAGTGATTGTGAATACACTGAAATAGAACTCTAATAATAATTAACGCATCAGGGTCAGAACTGAATACCTTTGCATAGCAATTTGGATCAGGAGAATGGTTTGCAAACTTCAATTTATCACCCTTTCGGTAAGCATCGAGAACAAACTGCACACAACAAAATCCTTACTCATCCTAGATTCCATACATGCCTAAATTTAACATAAGAGTTTATCTCCTATAAAGATACGCATTAGTAAAAGCTTGCCTGATCATTCAGATTAAATAGAAAAGATGAATTTTCGCGGTCATATATCTTTCCTCTCTTGTCTGCTTCCCGATGAGAAATCAGCTCTCCGGTATACTCTCCAAGGTATTCATGCTTACCAACACTATTCTGGAGGGTGAACAGATTGCATTAGGAAAAAGTAAAGCTGCACATATCTATATAGGATCATTGATTGGTAAAAATACCTTTAAGAAGGCTCCCCAGCCTGATACATCAGACCTTCCAAGAAGAACCTGTAAACATATTAGATGTTAGCTGCCATCACCGAAAGCATATTGACAGGAAAGAACATATGATCTTAAAGGATGCAATTAGTAACGTAAGAACAGACATGGAAAAAATTGAGAATGAAGACTGCAATATGGGATAGACCAAAGTCCATCCCAACATCACTGGGAAGAAGACTAGATCTACAGGGAGTTTCATTTCTCAACATGATCCCATTCACCTCTCTTGACCATAATAAATTATTGGGACATATTCTTTAACAATGGATTGGTTGTAGCATTAGCGCTTTTATTTGAGAATCCTTTTGTTTAATCTTAAAAAAATAAAAATACATATCCTTTTTCCGTGGACTTGCTTTGATGTTCTTGCTTTGTCGAATTATATTAAGATTTCACTCTGATTTGTCTTCTTCCTTCTCTTTTTAAGCCCCCTTTTTTAGAAAATTTATCGAAAGTGTTAAAAGCTAGATATACAACTTAATTGCTTATACTACAACAAGCTCTCTTTCCATAAGGGTTTATACCATAAATTTAATCATGAAACTTATTGGAATAAGTTAAAATAAACTTGTTTGAATAAACTATACCAAAAATCTGGTGAAAATAAGCTTAAAAAGCTTGAGTCAAATTATTTTCATAAAATGACCATAAAAGCTTTCAAATACCCTTATATGCCTCCCCTATTAGTACTTTTATAAAAGAAATGTTGTGAAAAACAAACCAAATGGGTTGCAATATTATTATTTTGATTGAAGAATAAATTTTCTGGAAAGAAAGCAAACAAGTCTCAATGTCTGGAACATATCTAAGAGGGGTAAGACAGAACAAAGAAGTAAAAGAAAATTACCCTTTGCTGTTGTTTGAGAAGAAGCTTCATGTTTCTACATTCATAATTATCCCCCCTTTGGCTAGGAATCCCAAGAGTACCATCGCCACAACTACAACAATAATTTTACTCAAAATAGCAAAAATTAACATGACAAACAGAGACTGAAAATAGATTAGCAGTATTCAATGCAAGAAGAATATACAGTAAGCACTTAAGAAGAAAGGCAGAGAAAGTGAGAAAATCATAACAGATTTGGTTGAACGGTGGCTGACAGAATAATCAATTCAATGGATCAAATTGTAATTAATTTTGCACACACATAAAGCAATTAAAACTAGGAAGTATAAACTAAACGTGTTAAAGACTCTTTTATCAAGATCTCACTTAAGGATAGATATACAATGTGCAGAATTATAAGAACATAATTTGTTCTTTATTTACCATCAATAAAACATAGCAATAAAAGGCTTATATGCTCTCATCCTAATCATCTCCAATCATTCTTAATATGAAAATCATTGGCAAGACAATAATATTGTCATTATTGCACTTCGAGATCATATATCCAACCGTGTTTTGTACTACTCACTCTCAGATCACCTCTTATTTTCTTTATCTATCCCTTAGATCTGCTTCTTTAAGTCAACTTACATGTTTATAAAATAATTACTTCCAATATTCAAGAAATCATATCATTCATCCCATATGTGAAAAATTAATTATTGTTACAATATAAAACTGACAATTGACAGTGCAATACTACACATAACCATAAACAAGTCAATCTCACCTGACCCAACAATTCCTACAAACATCTGGATCACACTCCCTATCTGCAGCAAAGCAGGGACATTGACGACTTCGGCATTGACTCTTGGCACAATGACAGCCACGAAATCGATTCTTGCAACTCTTGGGACACCTTGATATTGGGAAAATTAATCACAGGAATTAATGAATGTTAGATTCAGATCATGACAGGTAGGCATGCCACAATAAAATATCCATGTAAGCACTAAGCAATAGGTACAATAATCCCCGGATTCCTGAAACCACCCAAAGATGCATAAAACCAGCAAAACACTACATCTATGCATGCCTTCTTTCATCTAGGTTCTTTGGGCTAAATTAAAACCTTACCCACAATACTTCTCACAGCAGGTTCCATTTTGAAGACAAGGACATTGCTTTCCACAAGCTGATTGGCAACCACATGGATTATACTGCCGGCAGGGCTGATCCTTTCTCTCTGTAATCCTTTTCCTAATTGAATGATAAGCAGCAGATTTCCAGGTGTACTTCAACCGACGGACTCTTCCTCTTCTACGTAAAAATCTAGACCTTCGTCTCACTTCATTATTACCCTTACATTCATTTTTACCAAAAGTTGCTTGGTTAGGCACTATATGCAAGTAAATAAAAAGCAAAGGAAAAAATGCAATAAACAAAGTTGCATTAAACCAACCTTGGAATAACCTTCCACAAGGGAATTTGCAGCATCCCCAGGAGGTCCAGACATCTTTCCTTCTTCACAATTTATGTATTGGAAAACATCCCAACATGTCTTTAGACCATTTAAGAGATTCCTAGCTATTAAGCAACTGCAGTAAAAAGCAGTTGTCCCTTATTAGGTTATTGACAATCAGTAAGAGAAAAATAGACTA